AGGAAGGAGTGGGAGAATGGGGGCGGTAAAACGCGCTGCTGAACAGCTAAGGATATTGTAATAACAGTAGCCTGACACGCAACGGACACCGACACGGGCCAAGGACTGCGTCCGCACACACAACCGCTAGTATTTTACAAGTATCATCAAGTCCAAGTTGAATGCAGCTTGGCAAAAAAAAAAAAAAAATAGAGGAAAAAAGGGCAGCGAGCGCATCAATAGAATGCAGTTCTACAGTTAGGCAACAATGGGTAACATCGCTGGAAGCCACAATAAAAGACACAAGACGCTGTCCACAAGACAGACAACGCTGGCGAAATAAAACCGCAGACACGCAAACGCCCGCCGAGGAACTGCCAGCAGGCAGCAGGATACACAAGTCCGTCCATTGACGACTTTGAGGCGAGGACATATGCGAGGCAAGTTCATTTTGCACTCTTGCAGTGCAAAAATTTAATCAAGAAGTGCAACGCCAGGCGAGCCACAAAACCCCAACCCCAAACTCAAAGCCCCACTGCACTCGCTAGCCAAAGTTGTCTTGGCCAGCAACACGCGCCAGCCCCTTGCGTGTAATGCGAGATTCGTTCAACATTTACAATGATTTTGTGATTCTTCCGACACTTTATGGCCAGCCGAGCTGACAGCTACCCTCGACTCTGCGTCGACACCGTTTGGGGAGCCAACATGCTTTGGTAAGTTGTGTTTTTATGGGACTGAGTATAATGGAGTGAAAGACTTTAAGCAAGCATCCGGATAGCCATGGTCGTCCTCATTGCTGTATTAAGTTCCAGCGTAAAGTTAACTTTGGCCAATAACAAAAATGAAAGGGGTTTTAGAAAACTGAAAATGGTACAGCGGAAGATGTTATGGGACATCATTGATGACAAAACCAAACAGCTGGTAGAGTTTCCCAGCGCCTGAAAGCTTTTTGCCATGAACTTAACAAACATTTGGTGAATTCGATTTTTAGCTATGATTGTCCAAACGCAATTCTTGTTGATTTCAAAAACTCAAGGGTTGCATCTGGGCATCGCGGCTCGAAATGAGAATACAACACAAAAATCAAAACACATTTTGTATTCAATTATGTCAATTTATCCTAATTAAATTATTTGAATCTTGCTTTTTGTATTTATTAATTAACATGCATTGTGAAACTTAAATGTACTCAATTATAAAGTTTGAAAGTCAAAAATAAACATAAGTCTCTAATTAAATGGCATATTTATAAAGTTCTTATACATTTCAAAGAGTTTGTCAACGAGCAGCATCTATAAGAAAATCTCAGTAAAAATTGCATCACCTAAATACGGAATTTTTAACATGCACTTTGTAAAAATAAATTTAAATTAATAAATATTTAATCCATTTTTGAGTTTATAATAAATATAATAATACTTTAAGCATTAGAAATAAGAATTAAACACTGCAAGTAATTCATCTTATTTTCTATTATAAGCATTATTGCTCGCAAAGGAGCACAGTAAGTGGAAATAAATGCAGTTAATTAGCAGGTGATAAGTAAAATGCATTATGAAATAAAAGCAGTGCTCTGTTCTAAAAAAAATAGCTCTCCCTTCTAATTTAAAAATCCAGATACGGCAGCTTAAAGCAGCTCTTGAAGTGCAAAGTTTTTAGTTTTGCGTATAAGAAGCGAAGGAAAAATAATGTTTACAAATTTTCTCATGTACTCAGATTTGCAAACAGGAGGAGGAGAAGCGTAGCAAATGGGAAAAGTTGAATGTATTATATTTGCCTTTTTTGATTATATAAAACAAGAAACCGCCCACATAGCAACGAGACTGGAGGCACGGAGAAACAACAGCAGCAGCAATAGCAAATGAAAAAGCAACAGCAACTTTTTGCATGGAAAAGCTATTTTGCAGAAAATATTTGCCGAGCATATTTATTCGCCTTCCGCCAGCCACTTTTGACAAATTATGACTTTGCTATTTCTTGTTTCCCCTCCAAGGTTTCTGTCTCTGTGTGTTTTTATTTCTCACAAACTATAGCAGCAAGTTGCCATGACAGCGCTGCCACATTATACAACAAGTGCTCGAAATAATAAAGTTAACAGCACTTTAATAGTTAGCTCGTTCCGCCCCCAGCCGGTGGCAAGTGGACGCCGCCTACATGGAATGGACTTGGGATACGGATTGGAATTATGGTTAAGAGGCAAAGGCAACATGTTGCCCGGCAACGGGCATAAGTGAAGGGTTTATCCTATCGAGCATCACAGCTTGAGCAATAAATTGGCTTTTATACTCTCATACAGTACATACAGAAGACAAGAGCAGCACTGAAATATTCCTGGCATCGATAGTTGAATACATTTCTCTACTTTGATTTTGAGCTTAATAAAAGTCAAATTTAAATTCGGCTGACTACACACGAGCAGAAGCGCAGTTTCAGATTCACAGGCCATACAGCTCCTCCTTTTGCTCCATATGTGCAGCATGCTGCCTTAACAACAGCAGCACCACCACCAGATTTTTTTATTGCCATGCGATGACATGAATTCGTAGCTGGCAACACAGCTTAGGAATGTAATAAACTTGGAGCGCCACACGCATACCGCTCGCCCCGCACTCGGACTTTTATGGCGAATACATAAAAGGAAATCACAGGCCATGTAAACAGGCAGCTACTTCAGTTTCCATCTCTGCTGCTCCACAATGGAAAAGTCAAAGGGTGGCCGCTGTTGCCAAAGAAGGTTGGGTGGGGCACAGCTAATGAGCTCTATGCTCGGTATGCTTAGTATCAGCACCAGTTGTGCTGACTCAAAGCGCTTATGTATGTATGGTGGTGTGGAAGGCGCCTTCAGCGACAAGCGGAAAGTTGTGCATAATTCAATTAACTAGAAACAAGCAAATGAAAACTTTGCAGGCCACCAGGCCGGAGGGTAATAAGGATGCACAAGTGCAGCCAACAAATGGCAGCCGGTCGCCTTGGCGCAAGCAGCCCAAAACCCCAAAAAGAGTTCCGTCAACGGGACTGAGGAGAGTGGATCTGCTATGCTCATGCTTTTAATGCTACGGCGAATTGGACAACTCTCCAATGGAATTGCGCAAAAATATTTCTAATTATTTCAGAGCAGCGTAGAGCGCAGAGTGCCGAGTCGCCAGGCAACAAATCAGACCTCGTCCTCGTCCTGGTTCTCAACTTTTGTTCCTCTTTTGGTTGCTTAGTCAACTATGCGTGTATATCAGAAGTATGAAATGCAATAACGTAATGAGTAATTGCGCAAAAGTAATAAGGGACACGACGTGCTGTTACGCAAAAAACAGCATGCAATCTGGTAAGGATAACAAGAATACCAACCAGCCAGCCAACCAGCTAGCCAGCCAACCGGCAGCAATTATGGATGCGGTGTGCGGGCAAAAACGGCAAAACAGCACAAAAGTTGTCAACAACAGGCAGCCAGCAACAGCAACAGCAACTTAAACAAAGGGCAGCCCGGGTTAGCCGGCAGCAACGGGGGCGTAGAAGCCGAAGCGTACGTGCAACGTGGCCGCAAAAAGTTAAAGCTCAGCTCACGCGTTGCTGCCGCGTGACTCCGATTGAGGGTCGCTGGACTGGACCCGACTGGACTGCCAAGGATTTGGCGTTAGTACTGGGTCAGGCGCGCCTCGTGCCTCGTGCCTCGCGCCTCGCGCCTTTGTCCAAAAAGGATATTAATTTCCCAAAGGTGCCATTTCAGCCAGTAAAAATCACGCAAAATGCGAACGGGCCAGGGGATAGGGGCTGAAGGCACTGCACAGCTTAAAACAACAGTAACAACAACACCACGAAATAAAAATAAAACTCACGCACACTCACAGACAAATTAAAAACTTTCAATAGCTACAATTTTCATTTAAAAATTCATCGCCATGTGCTGGGAGCGCGACAATGCGACCCAAAACGTGGCATGGGCGTGGCGTGGTGGGTCTGCTCCTACTGCTGCGGCGACTGCTGCTGTTGTTGATGGCCATTGAAGCGGCAAACAAAAGTGACAAACAGATTTATTAAAACTGTAAATCTGCATTGGACGAGTAGTTTGTCTAACAGCAAGCAATAAAATACAATAGAAACAAATTTCGAACTCCATTTAGTCTTTAATGTGATCGACTATGAGCTACCCTAAAGTAAACCTATAAAATAAATGTATTTCAAATCTCATTTTTATTCTTTCGAACCTCAAAACCCAAATAATAAAAATATATTTAAGTTCGCATTATTTCTTTCACAGCAAACATTTTGAAAGCGATTTAGGACTGACAGTTACCCTAAAATAATAAACTAATCGCATAATTAATAATTAATTTTATCTTTCCACTTTGTGCTTTATTCAATAAATTGATCGAACTCAAGTCGGGCACATAGGAAACATTTTAATATTTGTACTCCTTATGAGCTTGTTAGCCGCTCTTTGGGGCGTGCTGCAATTAAAAATATTTTGAGTAACACAAAATCGCCGTTGCTATCGCAATTGCATTTGTTGCTATTTGTTGTTGTTGTTGGAGCGACATGTTGATGGCTGGTAGTATTTCATTAGCGCGCTGACGGAGTTTTCACCGAGGTCAAACCACATCATGCAACAATCTAGCGTCTGCAGAATGGGAAGCAACGTGTAGACAAGACAAAAGCTGATTACTTGCTGCAGTGTCTGACAGGACATAGCTGGTGGCAGGAGAAAACAGGACGCAAAAGGCACTAGGTTAGGATCATGCTCGGACTTGGATTTGGGTCCTGCTTAGCGTTCGATTCGCCACGGCTTCCATTTCTGCTTGTTGGTGACATTGCGAGCGTTGTGAAACTGCAAAGCATGTCCTTTAGCTATGGGTAATCCCCAGCATCCTGCAATGAATTAAGAACGAGGTTAGCTAAGCAAAACAGCTGCTGCCAGCAGGAGTACAGCGAAAATAAAACAATTGCACTTTAATATCTACAGCAGTTGGCCATAAGGAATGTACATTTATTTCCTTTGGAGTGAAACAAAACTTAATATGTATATAATCTTAGCAATGCTTTGTCTTTGGCTTGCAAATATCCTGCATACCATAGCCCGCTGGCGGTGGCTCAATGAACAAGGTGGTGACTCCGGAGCTTGGCTCATTAGCAAAACGTCCTTTACGAGGTCCACATGGCGGCACATTGCCTGCCTTGAGTTGGCACAAGATATTCTCAACGTCTTTAATATGAAGATCCTCATAGAGATCGTCGTTCACGGTCATAACGGGCGCATGGACGCAGGCGCCTATGCAGTAAGTTGTCTTCAATGTAAACTCCATATCCTCTGAGGTCTCACCAGCCTTCAGATGCAACAGCTCCTCGCACTTTTGTAGAATCTGCGCACAGCCACGAAGTTGACAGGGCGTCGTCATGCACACTTTAATGTGGAACTTTCCCACTGGTGTCAGATTGAACATGGTGTAGAAACTTGCCACTTCCCAGACCGCAAAGGGCTCGAGCTTGAGCAAACTGGCAACAGCCTGAATGGCTGTGATTGGCAGCCAGCCATGTTGGCGTTGGGCAATGTCCAGCAATGGTAATAAAGCGCCCCGCATCTCGTTCTCTGGATAATGGGATAATAATTCCTGGGCGCGACACTTGTTCTCCGCGGTAAACTCAAACTTCGACGTGTCACTCAAGTTGCATTTGCCGGCTTTAAGATTCGGCGGTGTAGCAGAAATGACTCGGTGATTCGGCTGAGGCTGTAACACTCGGCGCGTTAGCTGTAAGAGCCGGTTTAAATTCACGTACATTGTGATAATATATATATTTTTGTTTTTGCATAAGTGTGAGGGTTGTTAAAATCTTAAAACTGATGAATATGAGAGTATTACAAGTTGCGACGCCTTCTGTGCCTGTAGATTTATATTTCAATTTTATATTGAAATTTTCAGCGCTTTGTTCATACAACGCCTGTGTGGCAAAAGCGCAATCAAATTAGGCAAAAATCCTGAATACCATGGCAACAATCGTCATTTTATGCGTGTGGCGCCAATAGCTAACTGGCACAATATGTCAATCACTACCCGATCGCCTGACTGGGACCCCAACGTGCTGAAAATTGCTCAAATTGTTCAAATTGCATGCCCCGCCTAATTGGCAATATAGAGGGCGAGAGTCAGAGTCAGAACCAGAGCCAGAGCCAGAGCATGTTATGGCCAGATGGAGCACAGCCTCTTTTGAAGGCCTCCCCCCTCACACAATTTGGGGGGGCGCGTGTCGCAGTCAATCACTTTGATGGGGCGCCATTGTTATCAACACCTGTCTCGTGCTCTTACGTTTCACATTTGCCACATTCCTGAATTTTTACAGCTATTTACGTGTCCTTCCACCCCAGTCCACCATTGTGGTCGTCCGTATTCGCCATAAAGCAATATCTCGTAAAACGTGTAATTCAGCAAAGTGTCTAATAAAAGTTTGCCATAAGCGATAATCGATAATGGCTGTTCAAAATGCCATTGATTACAGATCACATGGGCTAAAAGCCATAAGCGAAAACAATTGAAAACTTCTATGCTCCAATTAACTTTGGACAACAGCACAGATTAAGCTCAATTTCAAAGCCGACATCTGAATAGATAACTTTATGTTACATGTTATAAAAAACGATTGCTTATAGGCATGGATTGTATAATTTTTGAGTTAATGATTAAAAACATTGCTTCAAAAAATCGCTTACATGTGGATTTTTTGCAGCCTAATTATAATAATTCAAGTTATAATTTGTGATACGCCAATAACAAATCTCTTTCTAAAATGCTTTACTTTTCATAAATCGATAATTACTTATGATTTAATACTATTTCAGAGAAACTTCGCACAAACCTCAGTCCTTAATTAAACTTAAGTGATTTACATGTACAGCAACACTCTTTAGCACTTGTGTATGTATGTATATGTAACTAATAACAATAGTAAATGCATTTAAAATATTCAACCACACCCCCCCAAAAAATATGCTGACCTCAAAGCCGGCAGGCAGCAAACTGCAACAACTTCAATTGGCCACTAAGCACTTTCCAAAGTCTTTTGCATGCCAGCTCAAATAATTCGTGTTGCGATAGTCCCGTTCTTGCTCTCGCTTTCGCCTTGTCCCCAAAATGTAATTGTAGCTATTGTTGTTGTTGTGGCTGATTTTGTTGTTGTTGTTGTTGTTGTTGCTTGGTTACTTAGATGCATGGACAAGTTAGGCAGCAGTTTTCGGTTGTTGTGCTTAAAACATAATTAAGTGCTTTACAAGTTTTTGAATGTAAGAACGGGAATTTGTCATAACACAAGCCGTTGATGATGTACTAAGCAGCAATAAATTTTACTTTTAAAACAAAACTATAAGCGAAGAAAACTAAAAAGTAAAAGCCAACCAAAAGAACAACCCAGAAACCAAGTAAAAGCGAATAAATTAAATGAAATGAAATGTGTTCGTTGTGGGTCCAAACAAGCTCAACAAGTTGGCAAGTTCTTGTTCCAACTGACTAACTGACTGACGACTAAATGACGACTGACTGACGACCGAGCTGATGATGTGGCAATGGCCAGAATGGTCCGTCAGTTGAAGTTCGCAAGTCGAGCGCAAAAGTTGAAATTAAATCAAATATAAAGCTGAATCGGAGAAAAACACAGAACCCCGCAGCTTGTCAACTGAGCGCGAATCCACTCCACTCCTACATTCGACCACTCATCCAAAATGATATAGAATGGGGCACAGATGGAATGCCGAAAGTGTTGAAAACTTTGTTATATTTTTGTTGATTTTACCAAACTGCGGCGAGGCACGCACCCTGCCCGAGATCCAGCAGAAGCTTCACCAGAGGCGTGATGGATTAGCAAAGTTTGAGTTTAGCGCCGCGCTGCCTGGACGGGACACTATCAGTGGCAGCAACCAAAACGTTGCTCCAGCAGAGCCCCTATATGTTTTTAATTTTACAAAAATTGATGAAACTTTGTGTGCACAACGGATGCAGCCAACAACTGGCGACCAGCAACAGCATCGAGGGCGTGACCTTCGCAATCCACAAGTGCAGCCACTTCGGAAGAAGGGAACGACACAGAAGCCCTTTCATGTGGTAGAACAACTGAATCTTGACTTGGAAGAGAAACTTTTACACTGGACCACAGCGAAACCTTTCAGTCCCCTACAGCAATTAACCGCCGAACAAGTCAAGCAATTGCGTCGCAAAACGGCAAACAACAGCTTCAATATACTCGAATCACTCCAGATGGAACAAGAGAGACATGCCAGTCAATTTACAACGATGAAACCTTTCCATGTGTTCGAGGAGTTGGATGTTCAGGATCATGAGAGTGGCTTTGAAATTCTTCAATCAGTTGCTGCAGAACTAGATGAGCCACTGGAGGAGCACAAGTCTCTGCCGGCAGAGTCGTCACGTGCCAAGGATAGTCAGAAACGAAAACGCAAAAGAATCCGGAGACGCCGTAAGAGAATTCGTCGTCGCCGCAAACGGAAGCGCAAGAAGAAACGCAAGAAGAAAAAGAAAAAGAAGAAAAAGAAAAAGAATAAAAAGGAAAAAGGCCAGAAAAAAAAGAAGAGAAGGAAGACAAAGAAAAAGAAACCAGAAATTAATCACGTAATCGGTCAGCCGGCACAGCTTATCTATGCCAATCCCGTAAAGCAGCCGTACCACCCGCACCACAGCTACTATCCACATCCACAACAACAACAACAAGCAAATCCTACAACAATCATACAGGTGCTGACAACAAAACGTCCTGCGACCACAAAAGCGCCCTTCAGCAAGATCAAGTATCTACTGCGCCACAACGCTCTATTTAAGAAGAAGAAAAAGGAGTGGGTCAACCATGTGGGTCATGTTATATATCCCTTTATCAAGTTCGTCGCTTTCTTTACCGTGCTAAATCCTTTCACGCTGGGCGTCTTTCTCTTCACATTGATCTCGCCTGTCGTCTTTGGCTTCTTGGGCTTTGTCGCTCTAAGCCTTCTGGTTAAACCGTTTTTGCATATAGTATTTGGCATCAAGAGTAGTGTGGACAACATCGATCGTCAGCACTTGCTCGCCAATAAGCGTGCCGAGCAACTTAAACTTAATCTACGTCCTGTGACTATACATAAGCATTTCTACCAACAGAGGCCACTTCACTCTTCGCCACCGCGTCATCTTCCCCCGCTGGTGGATTGGCGACGACAGAGCACATCTCATTTACAACAAATGCGCCATAATCCTTTGTTGCCTGAGCAACGAGCAGCATTGGAATTGCTTTGAAGCTGTCTTAGCACAATTGTAAATAAAGATACTTAAGAATTAAAACCAATCATTTTAATAAGAAATAAAATACCTACTCTGTATTTGCCGTCAAAATTCAAGTTTTAAAAGCAGATTCATTATTCATATTATTTAATTGAAAAATGTTCGGAATTCTGAACTTGCGACTTCATCACGTTGCCTTGGCTGAAGTGTCCATGATCTCTATCTGCCTTGTCGGTATACTGCACTACGGGCATGGGATCCATGGTTGCGACTTGTTGTATTGGCGACAGATGCTGGCACGCTTGAAAGATAAACCAATGGCAATTATGCTGCTCATTGGCGTCCTTAAACTGCTGATGATTCTGATACGGACGCTATTAAGTTACACGGAAGTCCCACAGGAGATTGGGCCACCAATTTCAATTGTGAAGCGTCGCTATCGCCGTTTTATTGTAATGCGTCTCTTGGCCGCCCATAAAAAGTTCCTGCGCGATAAGCGACAGATCCAGCAGCGACATTCGGATCTCCTGCAGGCCATTCACCTGTTTCGCAAAGATGGTCGCAGACTCTATGAGTGCACAGCGGATCAGCTTAGCCAATCCATCCAACAGCTTCTGCCTGCTGAGGAGCAACAGGAGCTTGATCTGCTGCAACTAGGCTATGACAGATATAAATGCGTCAGTCAGCTCCGAGAGATGGACATCTATAAGCTTGTATTGGCCTTGGCCTTGCCAAAATTATGAGAGAAAAGCCAATAAAGTGCGGCACGCACAGGATTAAAAACACGAGTAGGCTGGGTAGGGCTGATAAAAGAAGCAACAAGAAGAGAAGTGTGAGTTAACCACAACAGCCCGGCAACAGCAATGTGTGGCAACTTTTTAATTAGGTTTTAGAAAGCAGTATTTGACGCCCTGATGTCTCACAGCGGGTATACCTGGTTCTCACAGGCAAGGTAAGCTTATGAATTTCAAGTAAAATATAATGTTTATCGCAAAATTGTTGACTGGTGCCATAACGATAAATATGTATACCGATAAGATTGCTTAAAAACGAATGTTTTTATTAAGCTAGAGCAAGCGATGTCACGAAAACTCAAGTTATCTGTTTTAACTTAAGTCTGCTCCGAAAATTAACACGATAACAGGGCAGCTGATTTGATTGTTTTGCCGTTTCCCTTGCTGTGGCTGTTGATGTGGTTGTTCTTAATTTTCACTTTGGCTTTAATGTCTTACAAACAGATATATAGCTGACAAATTTCATGAAATACGTATAAGGTAGCTTAAGAAGCATCACATCAGGCAGATCCAAAGAGAAAGCTGTCGTAGAGTTGGCCAATTAGTCTAATAGCCAATTATTAGGTATGAATCGTTTAAAGTTGCGCTTGATCATTGTTGTTGCGGCTTTTTTTTTTGTAGCAAATATGAATTGAGCCTTGCAATTTGGCAACAGATTGTTAGCAATAATGGAATTGCCTTGGGAACGTCATTTCTGTATTGGCTCAAAACAAGTCGAGTGCCATAGAAATGCAAGCGAGCTCCAATTCGAGTAGAGCTGAGTAGCGCACAGAAATAGAAAGAGTAATAATAAATAAAATTGTAGTCAATTCATAAGGATTTTGTCGCTACAAATGGGCGATGGGCGGTGCCAAAAGACGACAGGCGATGGGCGACAGGCGATGGGCGACAGGCGACAGGCGACATGCAAACAACATTCATTCATATTTACCAAAGGGAGAGCGGGAGACCCACTCCCAACCATATTGTCACCCTCTCCATCAGCATCAGTGTGCACAATGTGCGTATAAATAACGGATTTCCTGTTATAAAATATTTGTAACGACATTTTATGTATGTCGATTTATATGTTCCATTGTGCAGCTATAACTACAACTCCTCCTCCTGCTTCTGCTTCTGCTCCTACTTCTACTTCTACTTCTCGCAGTCATAAGTATGCAAGAATCCCTGGTGTCGCCTCGCATTGCTGGCACTCCATCATGGGGCTTGGCAGTTATGGCTATGTATAAGGTTAGGGGTATATGTGGATATAGATACGTTTCGATGTCGACGCTGAAAACGTCCTTCTGGATTGCAGCTGTCAGCGCTGCAACAAATTTCATTCGGTTTAATAGCAAACACTGAGTAGATACCATTTTCATTGATGCGCAATGCCAGCTGCAGTGGCAATTTCATAAATCACGACTCGTATCTTATATCAATATATTATGGTATATAGCTTGTGTTAATCTCTATCAAAAGTGCTGCAAACGTGACACTTAAATACAATCTAAGCCAGACAATTCTAAAACAAACCTTATCGTGCCATCAATTTTATGATTATGTCAGGTATGAAAAGTTCAAAATACGCATATGAAAATCATTTGGATTACGAGTATTGTGGGGCTTTTAGATGTGGCACTTAATATTGGACAACATTTTCCCAAAATAATGCTCCTGGGAATGGCAGCGCACAAGTTTGGACTCTTTTGGGTGCGTATGTCACACACACACAGCCCACATTGCATATTAAAGACCGAAAAGGCGTTGAAGCAGAGCAAATTCAATTCAACTACTGTTGCTTAGCCAGTTGTTCGTTGTTGTTTCTGTTAGATAAAAGGTCGAAAGCAAAGGACGAAGGACGACGGACGAAGGACGAAGTGTTGTGAAGTGAAGAGTGGCCTCAACACAGCAGCAACATCCAATAACCCAAATAATATTAATATGCAAATTGAGTTTTTTAGTTGAGTGATCTAAGCGGATAACTGCGGCCCTAGACAGGGACTAGGTTAGTGGATTGAGAAACAGATAGAGGGACAAACAGCAATGAGCCTTGAATGGGCACGTAACCCTTAGAGATCGCTGAGGCAGCGTTCTGTTGCAGCACTTTGCTTTATTGATTGCCCTCTGGTTAGGTCCGAAAGGATGGGCAATGGCAGCAAATAATGCGAGTATATCACACATTTCGATTCAAATGCGACTTGCGAATCAATTGAAATCATATTTTATTAAACGTTTACGGGGCCATTTCTCACAGCCGCCACGGGCGCAAACAATGCCGCCACATACTTGAGCCCTCGGGCTCTGGGGCACAAATCAATATGGGCTCGTGTGTGCACATATATATAACATAAATCGGATCAGGATCAGCCACAGGCTGGGGCAGGAGGCATGTGGCAGTCAGTCGGTGGCCGCCGCCGGGCGGGACACCAGAAATACATAGAAAAATATTTACAAGAACTTTCCTCGAAAGTAAACCAGCTCGAGGCAACGCATCAAATGCGAGTATAAGCACATAAAATATATCTATATATATTTCTATATTAAATATATATTTGTATATATATATATATATATTTATGTGTATTTTCAAGAAGAAGAATTGAAACCAGGGCTCCACTGTGATGAGGGCTTGGTGGGGTGGGAAGTTATGAAATTTGCTTTTCCGCATGAAATAAATTTTCAAAGAAATTGAAAACGAAAAGCGCAGCAGGCAACACAGATTGAAAGCAAACGGGAGACAGAACAGACAGACAAGCTGACAAACAGCCGCTCGAATGTGTAGAAATGGCACGATTCAAATTCAGTGGGGAGGCACTGTGGGCGTGCTGTCTGGCCCAGTCTGTGGCTCTGTCGGTGCCAACTGTGGCTGCAAAAAAAAATTGTCCCAAAGGATTTGCCAAATGTCACGCAACTCGAAGTTGTCGCTGGCGCTGACGCTGATGTAGTTGGATTTGGAGTGCTGGCAAACAGATTCATAAAATTCAAAGCAAATACCGCAAACGATTGATTTATAATTACGGTTGTGCAGGAAGTGGGCGGCTGACAGAGCCATTTACCGATGTGCTCAATTAGCCAGCTGAATAGGAAACTTGAAACTGAAACCAAAAGCGTTTTTGAATGTTAAATGGGCTCTCTCTCTCTCTCTCTCTCTCTCCGTCTGTCGTTCACTGTGGCAGTTTCTTTTTCTCGCCTGTGCGCAATTTCCGCTTGACATTCTGTTCGTTGGGCAATTTCGGATTTTTTTTTGGTTTTCTTTCAAGTTACCTTCCACCTGTGGCGCACGCGGTGCGTATGAGTATCGTCCCCTCAACATAATCTGTTAGTCTTGGCGCTGCGAGCTTTTTTAATGCCTCCGCCCATGCCTCACCTAAATTTTATGTACCAACTTTGAGTGTTTTGCTAAACATATGCAAATTAGAATATTTGCATGTGGCAGGATAACACTGGCAGCGTGAGCCTCCGGCTGTTTCCTCCGATTCTCACTGGACATGGGCACGTATGCGGCATAACAAATGTGCTCATATTGTGAGGATAGAACATTTTACAGGCGCTGTCTAGACATAATTTTAAGCCAATTTATAATAAGATTAGATAGAGTCCAAACTGAAAGTTGCTCAATATTTTTTACTTTAAATGTGGGCATCCAATGTCATCACCAACAAAGAAATAAGTCCATGCATTAAATTTATTATGATTATTTAATTACTATATAAACGTTTATGGTTTCTTTTACTAGCAAGATATATTAAGGCATGTTTCTTCAAATCAAGCTACGACAGTGATTTGCTTAAAGCATATACGCCTTAATATTTTCTCTTTAAAGCCAAGCAGCAAACAGATTGTGTAAGGGATAAAATATTCAGCTTCTATAAGCCCTTGAATAATTAATTCCTATGCTTCACATACACTCACAAAGAGAACTCACCCAAACGCGAGATCATATCAACAGGAATTGAAAGAAAATCGAATACGCAGCCCAACACACGCCTAATCCCGATGTCAGCTCACGCTCCATGCACCTTTACACATATTCTTTCCCGAGCCGTCATTGCCTCAGGCATGTCCGTTATTTTGTTTACAAGAAAACATAAATCTCGGCGAGTTGGGGCAGGAGGCGTATCCATTTTCGGTATGGGCATGTCTGTATGCGGTCGAAAGGATTGCCGAAGGTTGCCGTGTGAAATGAAACATATCATCACTTCAAGACCCACACATGTGTGGGATGCCGGATGCCCCGGCCTATACTAGAGGAGCACGTCTGGCCGGCCAACCAAAAAATAAAAAAATAAAATAAAAAGGCCAACAAATAGGTCCTGGTGGTGTTAAGGGGGTGACAGCGGAGAAGGAGTTGGTGCTTTTGAGCAGCTTTGGTTTGTACGCGTCAACTGTAAAATCCTATTTGACATGCCACGGGTAGCGCAGGCGCTAAGGGGGAGAGGCGGGACTTTTGGGTTTCACATTGACTACGTCTGTGTCCGGAGTGGTCATAAAAACTCTGCTGGCCCCTTGGGGGTTAGAGGTGGGCATGGCAGGGCCTCCTTTAGATGGAGCAATCCAATTATAAAGAATTTAAAACTATGTACCATGAAGAGGACATTCAAAGCGCACACAAGAACCAGGTTATTAGCGCATTAGTGTATGTCACCGTATGTGTGAGAGTGTGTATTAACGTGTATATGTGTATGGGTGGCTGTGTGTAAACAAGTTATTAAAAAGGAGCAAAGTTCTGAAGGGTCACATCAGTCAAGGGCTCACCCAGCTGAGCTCGCCCTATAGAAATTGTCGTGAAATTTATACGCTCTGTTTTCGGGTCGAAAGTTGAAGAAAAATATAACAACAATCCATAAAGTAAATGTTGCATTTAAACAAACAAACCAAGCGGCAGACAGCGAGGACAGAGCAGAGCAAAGTGACAAACACTGGAATCCAAAACTGACAGTGACAACTGGCTGAATGAGAACGATCGGAACGTGGAGCTAGTCCTTGATGATGTCGTCGACCGCCTACTGTCGTCTCCTGCCACATCCCCGCTTATGTAGTATGTAGTAGTAAAAAAATTGACATAAGCGGATATGTTACACAGCGCCTTTGCGAGCCTGATGGAATAAGTCTGGATGGGCATGGGGTTGCTGATGTACCCTGGGTGGATGTGGGTGATGTGTGTATGTGTGTATAGGCAGTGGCTGCATGCGCACTGAGCAGATAAATTAATGCGATTTTTCATGCTACATGTTTGAGTTTGATTTATGCAATTATACCTTCCTCTCTTTCGCTCTCCATCACCATCTGTGTTTGTGGATCTGATGTACAACTTTTGTCAAACATGTCTAAAAGCAGTCATTTTTTATATTTGATATAAAGCGGAAATGCTTACCATGTTTCCGGTTTGTTACCGACACGCACAATTGTGAAAAGTACACAGGGCATATAGATATGAAGCGTATAGCTTGAAATGCTCTTCTAACGCTAACAGAAATCAGCTTTCAAAACGTCTATAATTCAACATTTGGTCAGCGAAGTGCATGGCTATAAATTTATAAAAATTAGCAAGAGTTGTTAAAGACTAATAGGACACTAAAAATAAGTTTCATTCTTCCATTTTCTGAACAAGGGGAATATTATAAATAGTAGATATTGTGTAACTTAATGAAAGCCCCATATTAACGTTATTAAATGAATATTGAGTCAAGTTTTAGTTTATTCAAGTTCTGTAATTACAATTAATTCTTAAAGTTTTGACTTAAGCTAAAAATAAAAATATTCTTCGTTCCAATGTCAGGAAGCTACTAGTAATAAAGATTTTATTTCAATCTTAAGAGTATTAAATGACCAGCAGATGCCACAAGAGCAGCAACCAGAGGATCAATATGGCCCAAGACTGGAATTGGAAGCAACGTTAATTTGTCATGGCAGTGGTTGTGGTCAGAACACACGCATACAATTACACAACAAGTGATTTCCTTTTTGTGTACTTCATATTTGGTACTTAAATTAGAGCTCTGTGTCCTTCTACTACCTGTAATCTGGACAGCAAATCCGATTAAATGCAAATGCTGCTGGGCCCCAAAAACCAACCAAACCACACGATTCCGCACTCCATCGAGTGGAACAGCTTAGTTGCGTAAGCTATCAGCAAACGGCATTGAATGCCACAGTGGCCAGAAGTGGTAGCAACGACGGTTGCACTGCAGCAATCGTTACTCACACAAGCATCTAATTTGGAGACGACACCTATACGCATCTGTAGGTGGATGTGTGCCTAATACTGCAGCAATTCACATTCGGCGGCGTCTAATTATTATTTCAATAGCTACGAGCTTCTGAGCACTTTGTGGACTTGCATTAGCATCGAGTGCAAGACACTCATGCTCGGTCCTCTGGCCAATGGATAAACTGCATGGTTTAAAACGCTGCCAAATAGTTGCCATAAAAACTCATTTCGGCCATTAACGGACTCGACAAGTAACAAGAGTCGAATTTCGCGCTGAGGGCGAGCGTTGAAAATGAAACTCTGCTGCTAAAGGAAATGACAACCATTTTCTATTCCAATTTTTCTATGAGCAGCATCAGTTCATGGGAAAACTCACAACTGCCTTTGGTGTGGTTGGGGAAGGGGCTGGGGTGTGGACGTCGTCGACTCTTTAAAGCTCTTCGTCTGCACTATACAAATTGCTTGTTTAAAAAAAGTGCTCCAAATATTTGTTCAACATTTAAGCATCGACATTATCATCATGGTCGCAAGTTTGTTTGGCTTCGCATCAGAATTTTATGAAGCGCTCAAATATGAGACAGGATCGAGCACAAAAATTGGTACAGGGAAAAATGGGGAGGGAAGCGAGCAACCAGACGATGGTAAAAATAAAAATGCCACTTCCGTTTTATTTGCGCAAAATTAAATAAACCGAAATATGGGCGACCATATTGGCGCATAATAGGGAAAATATTTTGTTCATTAATGTGCCCCAACGAGGAGTAGATGGAAAACAAGTTACAACAAGAAAGAGCAGAGCTGCATTCGGACTTGCTCGACCTTGAGTTTCCCTGTTACCACTAATGTTCATTAGTACACAATGTTTATAAAACTATATTTTGTTTACAATATAAAATCAAGTGATTAAAGAATTTTTACACACTTTTTATAACTCTCTTTTAAATTGTAATGCAAAAATTACACATAAATTCGTTGTTCTCCAATACTCATATACACATAGCTGTCTTAACAAGGACAAGCAGGGATATGAGAACCATTTCATAACTTTCTTATAAGCATGTACTCCATGTTTTTATATCCCTGCAAAGTTTGAGTAACAGGGCATAAAAATAAATAAGCGGCAAAAAGGAAAGCCGAAAAGTAAAAGCTTTGCCACTAGCCAGTTTATTGTGTACAAACATTTGCAGGACTAAAGCAACGCTAGGACATGGACTGGGACTGGGGCAGGGACAGGGAGCATCTGCTATGCGGGAGTTGAACACCCACTAAGTGACTCTAAGAATAATATTAGATCGAAGTTTGTGTAAGCCACAAATAAAGAAAGGACGGAAGTAAGGCATCCTATTGAATGTACCACGATTACCAATCGAATCCCGCTCATTTCTTTTAAAGTGTTTCTGGGTTTCAGGTTCTTTGACAAGAACTGAAATCCATCTGCCGACTTTAGCAAGCCAGCGAGCCGCACTAATCAACACAATTACGGTGCAGTCGAAGGAAAACTTTTCTAATTGGATATGAAGACGCGCACATGCGTTTCTTTAAAAGAAATCCACTCCATGTACATAGCTAACAGAAGGTCCAAACAACAGCATCTCCATGTAGGCGTTGCCTCTGTCGCTTCAGACCTCCCATAACCCCAATGCCCGTACGCTGAAATGCTTTGACAAATTATTTTTAAGCCAATTTACAACTTGAGAAAAGTATCAAGAAAACATATCACCCTCCCATCAAAAGGGTGTGAGACGGAGTATTTGTGTGTGTGTGTGTATGTGGGGGTAAGGCAAATATAATGCGAGGGATAAAAGTGTAAAGTTGACAACCCAAGCACATTACTCACCCGAGGTGCCACCTACGACGACGACATTAAAATCACCAACCAAGCGATTCAACGTCAAATATACACAGAGCTGAGACAGAAACAGCAACCAGAGTAGTGGCGACTGAAATGAGCATGGCCAAGAAAAATGGTAATGCGGTCCTGCCAAGCCCGAGAGCTGAGCTGAGAACTAAAGCCAATGCCAGGCACAGACCCCACAAGCCTTAAGTATATGCAGCACGAGAGTTAGTCAAGAGTTCATGTTGACGCCAGCATTTGTGTTTTCAGCTTCTTCGTCCAACACATTCCAACTTGCACATGATGCCCGACTGGCTACCGTTTTGCCCAGCCTTTGCTCAAAGCTCGACACCCCTTGCCGGAAGCCATTAATTTTGTCACTCTCTCCGTGTTGTGAAGGTACACATGAGCCGATGTTGCAGCCGAAGTTCAAGTCACTCCGGTTGGAGGAAACGGGCATTGACCAGCGCAATATCGAAAATCGTGAAAAGCAATTAAAGTTGTGCACCTGTGCGATGGTTCCACAGCCAGTGATGAGTGGCGGAGGAGGGAGGCATTATCCGACTGACTTTGACGATGTTCAAGGCATAAGTTAATTGTTGGCAAAGCGCAGACCGCAATGACCACAAGGACAACAGCCACGGGGCCAATAACGAATGGCTCTCAAAAGTTCACATGACACTTTGATGATGATGCATTGCGGCTAGTTACGAAGAGCAGTGACTGCTGTAACCGCAAAAACCGCGAGCTTGTTTACAGTTTGATGTGTTGCATGTGTTGTCTTGGCAAGTGACTTCATAATTACAATGCATAATTTAATAGCTCATGATATAGCTGGCCAAGTCCAAAAATAACAATATACATAGAAATTAATTTAAATTAAGAAGTAGTTTGTGTGGCCATTGGCCTGACCAAGTCGAGTATTAAGGGGCAGCCACAAATTGAGTGCCTCAGTCTTCGATAACGCACATTATGTTGATGCCGCTCTTTCCCAAATTGACGCCCTCGAGCGCCGCCTCTTGATGTGTGCGCATATAAATCAGAAACTGTATGATAACATAAAACAAATTGTTTCGATCATGGGCGCAATTGTGCAGTTCCTTATCGCTGATGAAATTAAACTTTGGCTTCAGCTGATTGTTGGTAACCAGTATAGCGCAGTGTGCTTTGTTATTAACGGCATTTACAAGGTCCTTGGTAGAGCGTTTCTCCTGACGTATGAGAACATAGCGTGAGTGAAAAGGCCTGCCTCCACCTTGAGGCAGTGGCATCAATTGACTGTCCAAATAAACGCAAAACACATGAAAGAGTATCTAAAAAGGTACATAATTTAAGATTGTTAAACAATTAAGAAATCTAATAAGTAAGTAGAACTTACAGCAGCATCTGTGGGCAGGTGTTCACCCCACTCCTTTCCGTTATGCACATTGCCCGAGTTCCAGCGGTACTCTCCGATGCAAGAGCCCTGGGAAAGCTCCTTTATGCGCTGCACGAGATACTCCTGATTGTTGAAGGTATCAAGAAATGGCAGCAGTAGGGGCAGCATGGGTGCGCAGCTCTGGACAAACTGTTGATTTTCCGCCATTTTACGCAATCGCTCGAGACTCACAGTACCGATCTTCCAATCGCTAAGACCACGCTGCCGAAACACCTCATCCATATGGTCAATTTGCTTAACCAAACGCTGCAGTATGGTGGTAGATATCCACTAAAGTTAGAGAACATTAGCAGTGAACCTCAATTCAAGAATTACAGTCTCTTACATATCTCAGATTGCTTAAGTATTGTGACAACTTGACCGTGGATATGCGCTTGATAACATCCGAATTGCTATCCTTGAACTCTACGATGCCAAACTCTTCAATGGATGGAGCATTCTCAGTGGAGACCACAGGTGCCGGTGCCAATTGATAGACCGTACGCTTCAGCATATAAGCCGCCGCATTATTGCAGTAGTTCCAGAATGAGTTTGTCGAGTTCCGGCTCTTCATAATTGCCGCATCGGCTAGTTCATCATAGCTGCGTCTTCGCTCCCGCCTTATCCGCCTGACAAGTGCTGGCAGCTCGCGCACATCCGTTGGAAAATCTTCACGACATACCTCCGCGTAGGGTGACATGTAGGTTGAATCATTGCTCACATTGCTGGCATTAAGGGAACTGTTATTTCCGCTCATGGAGCAGTTGTAGGATTGATTGTTGAACTGCTGATGTTGTGGCGGTGGTTGTTGCGGCGAGCGCGTTGGACTGAGACTGCGGCGTGGCGACTGCGGTGTGCCCCAGCGACTATCTTCAAATGAGGAATGCCAATTGATAATGGGGACATTATCAATTATATTACTTTCTGGCTTATAAATCCGTGGCTTCGACATTGGACTAACAGTTCTGAATGAGTTTTCTAAAAGAACAAACAATCAATTAGCCATTGTATGCTTTATGAATTATCATTCTGTCTTGTCTACCATTAGTTTCGTCCAGCAGGCAGCGTTGCAGCTCTGTCACACAGATTTGGCCGTTGTCCACAATTAGCCAGCACAGGTATTTGCCAAAACAGGCGAGGACGCTCAGAAAGATGAACACGGCAAATGTGTACTCCGCCTGGTACCAAAAACGATCTTTAGCGGAGACGCACGTCTGCCATATGTCAAACGAGACTAACGCCAATATAACTATATTTATAAAGCCCCATTTCAAATAAGTTCTCGCCTCTCCACGCCGTCGTCGAATCTCTAAACTCTCCGGCACATTGACACGAGCCACCTGCGTTTTTTGTCTGTTGCGCTGAAGGACCGGACTGCGAAACTTTGGTGAGCTGCAAGTGATAAAGTTGTATTCAGTACCATTTATTTGTCATTAGATTGTACTATTTTACCATTGATTACTCGTGTAATTCATGTCTTTATGCAAAAATGTATTAGCGAAATAAACGTAATGCCGCAAAATTGGCGGCCTCAAACAGTGTGTACACATCAGGAAACAAATTTTGATATCGTGCAATATATCGATAAGATTAAGTGTGACACTCTAATAAGTAATCGTGCACTTGCAAAAATCTGCCTGCTATGAAACTGCTTGCCGCGTAATTGATAAAATTTAAAATTGTCTTATTGTTAGATTTATAAATGAGTAATAGTTCTTTATCCAGTGTTTATTGATGATGCTTCGGTTACCTCTAACGCATTTTAGTGAGAAAAGTAAAATATGAGAATGCCCCTTGTATTATCTGAAATATACCGAAAATTACATTGACCTCTAAAATAGTTTAACATTTAAATAAATACTTTTATAACGGTGGCCAGAGTAACACTAAAATACTTCAGGCCGGTAAGGTAAAAAGGTCGTGAGTTAATCTCGATGGCCATTGTGACAAATTTCATAAGTTGCACATTCTCGCGCGTATTCGTCGAGTGGTAAATAATCTGCTCCCATCCACAACAGTAATACATGACACTTATATCATCCGTCTGAAAATATTTAGTAAAATAATAAGGAAAAAAAACTAAATAAAAAAATGAAGCATAGAAAACGCACCGTTTTGTAGACAATCGAGCCGATCATTCCCAACGCCAGCAACTGACAGAACTTGGCCGTCCCCCAAACAATATAGACAATATTTGCCGATGGATTCTGTAGAAGAAGAATATGAATGCAGAGATGAATGTAATTTATTGCATTTCATACATACCGTATAAGCCTTAAAGCCCATGGCACAGAGAAGTATGGCACTAAACGCAAACATAAAGAATATACGAAAACTAAATTCATTTTCCATTTCCTCGGCGAATTGATTTAGTGCAACATGTCGATACACTATTTGACGGAGCTCACGACGAAAAGTGGCAGCCAATTCTGTAGGACTTTCCTTCTCCAGCGAATTCTTGGCTAGCTCACCTATGTCACGACATAGAATTATATAGCGAGCATTTAAATGCGTCAAGAGCTCGCCGATGACATTTAGTTCGCCGAAAATCATTGAAACTATCATGGTTCCCACATAATAATTGATGATGAGGCAAGGTATGTAGAAATACATCTTTGTGTTGTCGAAAAAATACACCTGCTGATAGAGCATATCTCGCCGGTTGTAACGATAATTCTGCACTGGTACCACAAAGAAGTTGCCCAGAGCCACTATGTAAGCAAAGGCATTTAGACGAGTCAGAAACATCTGCCTCTGTATACTAGAGAATAGCTGTGGCTCCGATTCCTTCGTCACGTAGATATCTGCATAGAATTTCTGTAGCAAACGTTTGAAGGCTTCTTTATTGAGGGCCAGCTGGAAGCCGCGTAACATTATCTCAAGTAGCACCAGAGCAGTTGGCATTCCCGTCAGCATTTTATCAATATTATGGCGATTGAGCACCAAATAGTGAAAATCCACCTCGTTAGTAAAATTAAAAATGACAAATCCCATAAAGATTTTGAAGCGCTCTAATAGAACGCCGCGACGACTAGCTCCATCCTCCAGTGGCCAAATAATGTGATTAAGTAGCCGATAAATCGCAACCGGCCAAGGTAAAGGTGCTGGCCTTCCATCCCTAAGTCTTGGTAGATAGCGCATGGTTAAGATCCAAACTTCAACTGAATTGATATTAGAAAACGGACAGCCTATTTATGCTCCATAATTACTTTCTACTTATTAGTAATGATTTAATTGCCAGACGATTGCCAAACCGACAGAAGTTAAAATACAGTCTAAATGAACATCAATTATTCATAACAATGAGCGATGGTCAAGAAAACAATAAACACAATATATTTAATATATTATTAATAGAAGAAACTATACAGCTGTGTATAAATTCCGAATTAGTAAATCGAAGGGTTTTTCGTTGAATTTATTTTGATAATTGCATTTATATATTAATTGCCATTTAGTAAGTTAGGTATATGTATACGTATTTAAAAAATATGCGACGATTAACTAAGTAAAGTTTCTCTATACTTAATGCGTTTGTGTATTGTACGGAAATTGTATACTTGGAAACTAGTGCTAAGATCTGTGTTTCTATTAGTATAGTATATGTTGCATATATTCAATGCGCACTGATTATAATACTGGCTCAAATACACATATATAATAATGCAAGTACAAATGCATAGTTTAATTTTTTCTACATATCTTTAATTTTTCTTAAAGTTTTTTCTGGCGAGCGCTTTCATACATTTTCGGAATTTACCTCAAAGATCATCATTCCCACTAGAACACTGTCGAGCAATGAGAATCTCTATTGAAAACAAGTTACCTAAAATGCACGCATTAGTTATACATATTTATATTGTTATACACAGTTAGTTTACTAGTTAAATCGTATGATAGTATGTGTAAATCCATTGGTTAATTGCCTAGAACGTCTCTATGTGGGGGATATTTGTGTCGCATTTAGTTTGCCAGCGAGCGTTTGCCCCAACCCGCATGCAGCTTCTGCCATTGATCGCGCTTGCCCCACATGCCCTTCAGGTTGTTCCAGGTCGGCTCACGCTTACCCCAGGCGCCCCTAAACTTGTTCCACCCTTGGGCCTGACGCCGCTTGCCCCAAGCGACATTCATGTTCTTCCAGGCCCGCTTCTCGAGTGTATTGTCAGCATTGTCATCAGAGTCTTCGTTGGACTGCGATTGCAACTGAGATGGTTGCTGGTGCTGTTCCAGATTGCTGCTGCTCGCCATACGCTCAAAGGTGTTCCAGTCGATGGTGTTGGTGCCGTCGGTGATTACCAGCGGCACAAAGTGTCCCGTCATATAGATAGAGTCATCCACTTCTAAGGCAGCTGGGTCATTAGATCTTTTGCCCCAGGAGCTCTGCAACGATTGCCAGGCGCGTTTATTGTTATTGTTTCCAAACAGGTCATTGTCGTTAAGCTGTTCCACCACCTGGTCGGAGAGACCTGTGGCTGCCATGTCATTGTTATTGTTGGTCAAGGCTGCGCCTTGGCTACTGCCCGTGCTGCACAGGAGAAACAGAAGCACGAGGCCAATGCTGCTTGTTCCACCACCGGAGGTCAGAGACTGCGCCATAATCCTAGAAAAAAAGGTGAAAATATTTAAACATTGAATTGTGGCAGTATTTGTCTCCAATTAAGTCAAAGCTTTGACCGTAGAAGTCTACGCCCCGCTGAGGGTTTTCCCTGGGGTACTCAGTGGGGTTTTCGAATCGCTTTTTGTTTTTGGTGTTGGCAATCATTTCCGCCTACGCCTCAAATTACAGCAACAAGCGTAACGATTTAGCTAAATAACGACTCTAATTGAAAGAGCTTGGGCGGCATAGCTATCTCTCTCCCACACCTGCTTCTGCCATCTCTCTCTCTCTCTCTCTCTCTCTTTCTCTCTCTTTACGCCCCTAGTCATAGACGGCACTCAACTCCCAACGGTGGCGTTGAGTGGCCAAGTTCAGTTGATGCCAAATGCCAACCGCTGTGTTAAAAGCCAACAACGCATAACAGTTACAATTTATGGCCTATTAATGTATTGTTGTTGCAACAGGAGCTTGAGGTAGCTCACGGTAGGCGGTAACTTTCCCGAGTAGCGGCATTTTACTGATAATACTTATACGTCATATAGTATTACAAAACTTTTCACCAAATTGCAAGCAAATGAAAATGCTCATAATGTTCATAAGTGAGTATGTATGTGTGTGTGTGTGTGTGTGTGTGTATCATAAGCACTCATTATGCCTCAAAACGATACTGGATCATCATAGCAGTAAGGCTTATGGCCATGTTTGCAGATGAACTTAAGTGGCAGAGAATTGCAATTGAGACCACTGCCCCCACTGCTTTGAAGAACATCAACAAAAGACAATATGTGGCACTAAGCGGCTTCAGATTGTTTGCGCTCAACGCTAAGGAAGTGTTTCTTATGCCTGTGCATGGCTAAAATTATTTATTCGAGAATGTAGTTGAAGTAACACTTTGTGCTATCAATTTATTGCAGGAACGGAACACTATTAATACAATTACAATGTAAGCCGCCGACACAAAAATGCTTTTCACCAAAAGTCAAAAGGTTCCACTAAAGTCCAGTAGTATTAAAAGCATTTTCTTGCTTATGGGGCGTGTGCCGTTATCGTTATCTTATCGATGCGGGTGCTGATTAAATGATGCTTAACTTTGTTGCTTTATGGCTACATTATTGAGTTAATCGGAGCTGGCAAATTTAGCATTCAGCGTTCCCTGCAGTTTAATCTTGACTCTTGACTGATTGTCGGAATGGAAGAGTCGCTGGGATTGACGCTGGGTTTTATGGTGTCTTACTTTGCATTTAATTTGTGCGCTTGTCGTTGATTGATTGACGCGCCAGATGAAAGTTTTAGCGGCTTTGTGCTTAAATTATAATAGATAGCCCCAGTTGGGATGATAGGGCACGCATCAAATTTTATGGCCACACACTCGACCTAGCAACGGACAACTAATCAACCAGGAACCAGGACATCCAGGACTATCACCCAAAGTCAACCAGCAACACGTGCAGCTCAGCTTGTAATTGAAATGAACGGAAAATATTTATTGCTTTGTTAGAGCCTGACATTCAGGGAAAAATTTTGTTGACAGACCAGACAGCATCAAGTTCGCAGTCAACTCTTTCTATTATTCAGCAGCTCAGCCAGTCCAGGCATTATTTATGGCCAGTGACAGGAACCAGGTACTTGCTGTTGGATGCTTACTAAAAGTCGATTTGTAACAGCTCCTTAGATATATGTATGCAATATACGTATGTATATAAATATAAGGTATTTCGCGCATCGAAATTAAACATTTTGATGATTGTTGCTTCAAGAGGCGTGTCTCGGCGTGAATTTCTTTTTAAGGCGACTACTTGCAAATATTTGCCAAAGGATGGCATTTGCCTGTGAGTTTTTTGTTTAAATAGGTTTCCAGCCTCGTCGTCCCACGTTCGACGACTGTCATTTGAATGAAAATCATCGCCCGCATCAACGAAAATTCGTAAATAAACAAAATATCCACATAAGTGCAAATAAATTTGGAGCAGCCCGTTTCGGTTTTGCATATTGTTGCTTCTTTACCTTACCCCATTTGGGTCGACTCTTGCCACTACATGTGGCACGAATTCGAATTGGTAATACGAACAGGCACTAATGCCTCCTTTTGACGACCTAATAATTCAATTTTTAATGTTCACAGCGTTTGTTTAAGCCAACAAACTCGTCTATTATTAAGCGGATATGGTAAATATATTTAGCCTGAGTGCTTAACGGTAGCTTAAGATACTTGAAATGTGGTCTACATAAATAAATTCAGTTAAATTCAATAATGGCTTAATGTTTTCCTGTAGACTGGAGTTAATCTGATGATATCTGAATTTTTTCCTATAACTGCTATATGCTATAGTGACCCGATCCAGTCAGGCATTGAGTCTTAAATGACTAAAGGAAAGGAACGGATATATGTCCAGTTTCATCAAGATAGATTTGAGCTGGTTTAACTCATTTAAAGGATGAGTGTAAAAAGGAGGAGATCCACTCAGACGGACAGACGGATATTTCTATGTCGACTCGTTTTGTGTTGCTAATGAAGAATATATTTACCGTATGGGTTCGGAGAAGTCTCCCTCCGAGCGTAGCACATGACAAAATTATATTATTCTCAACAAATTTTACACTCTTTTTGTCATTATCAATAAAAAGCTCTCAATCAAATACTCAAAATTTAAACAAATTTAACAAAAAAGTGCTTAGCAATCAACTCACCTGTCTGTAGATAATTGGTTGTATTTTCAATGTAGGACACTAATCGCTAAATTCGTTTTTGTGGTCGCCTATAACAAATTTGAACTCGCACGCGACTATATTGTATTTTAGTTTCTATTTCCGCGTGAAATTACTTTTATAACTGAATTTGTGGTATTGCCGCAATTCAATTAGTGCAGCAATATGCGTCTGACTGTATGGACTGGCAGATGCACTCTTCTCACTGATACAAGGAGCTCTGGTCTCGGGATGTGTACGCAAACCTGTTGATCAACTGTTAATGATACGCAGCTTGGCCGCGACAGTCGTTTATAAATCAAAACGGAAGCGAATCGAGGCACGATTGGTGCGCACAGAAAACACGAGCGCAATCCACGAAGTGCCAACACACACACACACACACACACATACCCACATACATAGATACAATGGCCTGTTAGAGCGAACATTGTTGCTGGTTGGCAGAAGTGCGGCTGCAACGACGGAAGTGGCCCAAAAGCATTGCCTACTTGGTGGGGGCAGTTAAAATAGCGTCGTCCCCGTCGCAGTTATCCTGCCCATGCCCATTGTCCTGCTTAACGAAGGCGTTAAGAACTGAAGTTGATGGCACACATGCGCGCCCTTGCTGTGTTTATTTACCTTCCCCTGGGAGCATCGAAAGTCTTTGGGCACAACAAACATATCCTCACATATATAGGAGTAAACTCATTCAAATTCATGTGCATGTTCCATTTTGGGTTATATTGCTCCTCCTTTGCTGCCCCCCACTTGAGCCTGAGCAAAGCCCATGCCTTTGCTGACCTTTAAAATTAAGCATATGTCTAATCCGAATCTGAATTGCACTCGTCGTGTGGCATGCAATTGCATTTTGTACTCACCTCCCTGTAGGTGGTAATAGCAATTGAACGCATTGAATACGATTTTTCCATTTAGGGTCAATTTGCGCTACTCTAAGCAGAAGCAGCATCCCACACATCCCACCTAAACATCTGCACAAATAAAAACCCTTTTAGAGCTTCATGAATATTTATGGACAAGAGCTTTCTTTCATTTTTGTTTTCCATTTCTTTTTTGTTTTTTTTTTTTGCAACACTTCAATTTCCCTCAAAAACGTTTTTTCAATTACGACATGAACACAATCTTTGATACATGCAATCTATTTGTGTGTGTGTCTGTATGTAAGTGTCTGATATCAACAAGTTTTCATTTGTGCCATTTGATAGCCACTCTGTGTGAGGACACCAAATAAACGATGATGGGAATATTTATGACATGGCCATTGCCACCGGGTGCGTATAATGAATGAGTTATGCACCACACCGACGAACATGGCACATCGAACATCGCTCAATCGATATAAAATGGTGCTCTTACGTAGTTACTAATTGATTTTGCCACTGATAAATCGGTTCGCAGTCATTGTAATCTAACATAGCGGATAGCTACATGTGTTTTTGTTTGCGGCAATTGTAAATCATTCGCCATTTACATGGAAAATATTATTTGACTTTGGCCTAATTTCTACGAACCCTAAATATACAAATTTAAGCTATTAGCTATAAATCTTAACAATGACTCTTAACATAGCTGAAGTTGCAGTCATGCACTGTTGCACGCGTTGAAGCCCCGCTTGTTGACCAACATCCCCCCACACATACACACACATATTTACTCTTCAGAAAGGACACATTTCTATAGGAATACCCTCGACGCTTCCATTGTGTAAGATGAAGTAGCAGACGCAGTTGGCAGCTAATAATAATTTGTTTGCACTTTGCATATGCCAGCTGGCCAGCAAAACGCCAATCGCATTGTGTTGAGAGCATGAAAATTTAATTTTATAAATTACTGAAATCTCTTGTAACACATTATTTACACAATTTATATATTGTGAACACATTTGTAATAACAATCTGTTAGTAATAATATTTAAATGTATAAAATAAGATTTGTAAAAGGATTTAAGTTGACTCACATTTGCTTTTGAAAACTGCCGCATTTTGCTAGCTGACTAAAGCTGACAGTTATCTGACAGAAGATTTTATCGATAAGTATTCATTAAATAACCTCAAACTCACATCTCTAACAGAAATTCGTACCGGCTGAAAACTAAGAATTTTTTTGCATTCTTTTTAACAAATTTGTTTTTATATGTAATGAGCATTTCATAAAGTGCTCGACATGGAAATCATACTGCCCGAGCAATATAATGAACAAAGATTTCTCGAGTGCGCTTCGCAGATACAATATGACGAGTTTAACGCAGTGAGTGCAGCATGTAAATAATCTTTACAAATCCTAATGTTATTCTTTGTTGCTGCAGAAAATGTTGGCGTTCTTCGTGAGCTGCAGCGATGTGGATGTTTATCAGCTGATACCCGAAGATCGCATCTTGCAACTAATCTATGGCTGGGATGTGTGTCGCCTGCACAGCCGCGATTGCATCACAGAAGAAGTTGGTCACATCGTCCGATTGCTAGCGCACCATTCACTGCAGCTTTGGTTTAGCCAGGAATGGATTGGCTGCTCAGAGAGTCTCCAGCGCATGCTTCTCTACTATTTAAGAAAGAGTTTCGGTGCTTTTAAGAAAATCAAGGGACTATGCGATATCGACTGGGAATATATCCTGAACTTTCAAGCCAGGCCCTGGAGTCTGCCCTACTTACAACAACTCTTTGGCAGCTTACTCCAGCATAAACATAGTGTGATAGAGCACGCTGTGTCACCAGCAACTGCAGAAGGTTTGTTTGCCTTGGTACATGTTTTAGAGACATTTACAAATACATATTATTTTGGCAGATCTAACATTTCTATTGCAAGAGCGCCTGCATCTTATAATCCTACGTTTACTAAAACTCTTTGATGCTGGCAGCTGGGAAGCTGTTAAGCAACTCTCTCTACGTGTTCTTGCTGCCTGGCTGAAGCTCAATCAGAGTCCATCTACTCCGAACTTGCCGTCTGAGGAATCGTCCGTAACATTAGTTGGACATCTTTATCTGCTCACAGTTTTTGTAGCAGACGATAATCGCGGGTATATGATTGACAATATGGTAAGTCATTCACTGTACCAACAAATGAAATATCTAATTGGATAAATTCTCTGCAATCCCGGACAGATGTACAACATACGCTTCTACGCGCAGAGCATGGAGGAGGCGCCAAATGCGGAGGAAATGGGCTACACTCCAGCTAGACTGATTGCAGACGTTTGTGTGCGTCTAGGCCTAGGCAAGGATGATTTTTTCGAGCACATCGTATTTAAAAAGTTCAATTTAAGCCTTGTGACCTCATTCGCTGTTATGCTGGAGGCTTATACCAGCTATGTGCTAGGCAATCAGCTGTTAAAAATGATGGCACTCAATGAGCATGACTTTTTGGCGAACTTGGAGAAATTCAAAGTGCTTATGCATCGGTATGTGGAAGAGCGCGAAAATAGTGAACGCTTTTTACTTAATGAGCTACAGAAGCTGGAGAGCCAGCGCAATAGCCACGCCCTCCCAAACACCGTTAACCTGAATCTTAACTATCAGCAACAGATTTGCAAGGGCAATCGTGCCAGCAATATTGGAAACTATAAGAACTGTGACGATGATGAGAAGCCGCTGTTGGACGTGGACGAGGAACTGGATAGGCAAATAGATCCAGTCTTTCAGAATGTGCCCAACAATGAGAAAGTGTTGGACTTTGTTTATAATTTGCTGGCACAGAGGGTAGGTTTTTAGCAATCCTATCATACACGGCAATTATACACGCCAGCTAATCCTAATCTATATTTGATTTTACAGAAATTTAGAGGCTGGCAGTTTGCAAAGATTGCCTTGCTGCTAAAGATCATTGGCCAGAAGCTAAACACAATTGAAGTTTGGCGTTACCATCCTGGACTGACAACAGAGTTTATGCTTAATCTAGAGCATAAACTTTCAGATAACTATGCTGATTTGGCGAAGGTGTTTTCGGAGCATGGTTTCATGGAGGCTGAGTTCTGGCTGACTGCGTTCTATCTGCATCCAACGCGCAGCAACTACTTTGAAGTCAAGCGCTGCTCGCGCATCAAAAAGAAACGAAAGGACGATGACGAACAAGTCACTAGCAGATCAACTGTGCGTGCCGACAAATTTGAAAATATCAAATATGAGCTGTTGAGCTCAACGATTGATGTGGATGAAATTGTTGCCATTACCAATCACAGTGCGCCCGTAGCCGACTATGATGATATCTACAAGGCGCTTCAAGCGCTGCGTCTGCCGCGCAGCATACTGAAGGATCTGCTGACAGTGGCCTTTCAGCCGCGTAACAAGCGCTACTCCTGGGCGCTGGAGTGGAGCACTTTGCACGAACGATGTAGCGCCTTGCTGAAAAGTACAGATCTAAAGCGAAAGTTTGTGGCTCTCAATATGGCTGAGGCCAACGATCGACTAAAGTTTTTGAAAATTGACTACGCCAAATACAAAAATCGGCCCCAATTAGACTATGGCACCATCGAAGAGGGCTACGAGAATGCCGCAAATACAGCTGAGGCGGAGGTTGAGCTAAGCGCCGAGGATGAGGATGAAGAGACAGCACAGAAGGCAGCACGAGAGAAAGCAGAGAAGGAAAGAAAACGCAAGCGGAATAAGACCAAATTCTGGACAGAAGGTATGTTAGGTAAATAGATATCAGAAATATTTGATTTATAAGTTATATGTACTTTCAGTAGTATCGGAGGACGAAGAGGAGGAGGAGGAGCAGGAATCAGATGATTCAGAATCCTATTACACTGGCACCGGGCGACGCACTCGGGTACGCGCTGCTGCAGTGGTGGCCAACGCCATAATCTCTGATATGGACCGAACCATGCGCAGTGGCCGCCGCTCGCCCGCAGCTCCTACTGCAGCAGAATTGGCGGATAAGGAAGCACCAGACGTGGTGCCACAGACCGACACTATGCAGTCAAAGCCTCCGCCGAACGAACAACAAACCATGCCGAGCCGCTCAGTTGGTGAGCTGCTGCAGTCGCAGGCAAAGTACACGAACGAAACGACTGGGTTCAAGGCATTCGCCGACATTTGGAGCTTCGAGAAGGATGAGCATATCAGCATTAAAAGTGATGAGAATATGCTGATGGAGAGTAATTCTCTTCTGAGCAAGTTCAGAAGCTTGCAGGGTCTAAGGCAGAAAACACAAGCGACAAGAAGTTGCCAAGTATCGCCGCTGAGGAAGAAGGACGCATTAGAACTGAACGCAATTGAAACTGAAGTGTCGCGATCCGGCAGCCGCAGCAACAGTGATGCGGACAGTTTGCAATCGGGAACATCGATGATAGCGATGCACGATGCCAACGAGTTCGACGAGGGACAATCTGAAGGATTTTCTGGTGTAAGTAAAGAGTTAACGCCCCCGCCGGCGACAACGTCTGATTTTACTATGGAGACAGAAGTGTTGCAGCTCAGCAGGAAGTTTCTAGCCACCGATGACGCCGGATCGGAGGAGACGGTTACTGCAACTGAAGTGGAGAGCGATACAGATCCAGGAGTAGATCCAGCTCAACCGACAACAGAAAGTATAGTTACACTGAGGCAGCCAAGTGACGGGCAACCCGAAGAGTTCATATGCAAGCCACAGACAACAGAAGATAGTTCAAGCCCGGAGGAGGAGGAAGCCAATACTGCAGTTAGCGAACTCGATGCACGTCTGATCGAGGAATGCCTGTCGCGCAAGGCCGAGGTACGTTTGGAAATGCTCACATTGCAGGATATTGAACAGTTGCGCGGTCTTCGAGTGCGAGTGAAACGCACCAATTTCCATGACTACTATCGCGAAAAGAGGATAAAGAGCAGTCGCAGCAGGCCCACATCCAGAAACACGGTGATCCACAGTCAAAGTCTCACGGAAGACAGCAACGCATCGACACCCACGTCGGAGCTGACAAGCAGATTCAAAAAAGTTATAAAGCGATTCGTGCACATAACATCCGATTCGAAGCCGCGCCCCAAGCAATTCAAACGCTTCAAGCATATCACCTCAGACTCATCCACTTCAACTGATCCCGATGAAACTGCACGCCCCGCGTCTGTGCGACGACGCCGTGGTCACAAATGGACCCAAACGAGGGCAAAGAAAATGAATTTGAAGGCGGAGCACGTAACTGCGGATACGGATGTCATAGAACTCTCCTCGGACTCGCTATCGTCGTCAGCATCGCCAGTGCCTCTGACGGTGAGCCAGTTTCCGGAAGTGGTCATGGGTTTGGAATTGGATCCACTCTATGAAGAAGAAGTTGTGCCCTTTTGAAGAAAGGAAACCATTTATTCAGCCTGCTCTATTTTAGGGCTGTCTTTGACTAGCCTCGAGCTACGTGTTTGTATCGAATGCAATTGGGGTTGTACAACGGGCACAGTCCAAGGGAAGGGACGGACGAAGCTTGTGCACACAAGCAGCTTGGCAAATTGAATTTGCCTCGCTTGTTAGAATGCAATTAGCCTGAGGCACATATTTCATGCGTAGTAGTAGTATTTGCTTTGACTCGGACTGCGTGAGGACTTTGATGAAATTATATGTATACATACAGCAGCCAGCACGCAGCCTGAGTTGTGCCATACTGGTTTTTCCAGGCTGTAAAATTTACTATTTTGGGTGCGACAAATGTTGAGAATATACAAAGATGCAACTCACATAATATTTTACACATTTCACTTACTAATATCAATATGGGCGCATGCTTCCGCTCGCACTTCAATTAACTGTTTAATTGATACGCCTTATGATTCCGCTAACCCATAATTAGCCACACGCGTCCGATCAGCGGCAGCCACTTGAGCTGGTCAGGCGTAACCAACAACAACAAATGCGTGCATCGCCGACACGTGTCGAGTTGTGAGAATTTTTTTTTGTCAACAATCACAATGTAATAAAGCAAATTATGCAAGAGGCGAAAATTTGGTAATGCTTTAAACTTGCCGCAAAATTATGAACTAGCTTAGATTTAAATTACAAAAAACTAATTGTATTCAATACTCTACCTGAGAAATAACGAAAATTGAAATAACCAAACACGGGTATTATATATTTATAGCAAGCTAATTGTTTTGACGACTTTCTGCAGATTCCAGTAAGGCAGTCTTAAGAGAAAAGCCATCAACATGTATTATAATATTGGAGTAAAGAATCTGTATTAATGTGTCAATAAATAATATACGGAATTTTTGCAAATAACATATATTTTGGTTGAACAATTGAATATTTAGAAAAGAGTTAAGTAAAGAGTTACTAATATCAACAATTATCATAACATTAAGCATTTAACATCCTAAGTACCGCTGGTAATGTAAATTTGTGTCACTTAAGAATTAATTTATAAAGTGCTCACTAGTGTCAACAATTCATCCGCAGTTGGGGCACATATCATAACAAGCCTGCACGTGGCAATTGGCAAGTGGCAGCCGGCAGCCACTTAAATCTGCAATCCCGACCGCATTTCGTGTCCTATCCCACAGCACAAAGCCACCCAAAGCGGCACATGCAGACACTTGAGCAGTCGCAAAATGAAAGCAATACCACATGCCACAAGCTCAGAACTCCCAGTTGTGTGGCACGTGCCGACGCTTTGCGTTAAGGTGGGAGTATATCATCTTCACATGTTGCGCTCCGCGAAAGTGTTGGCTGCTGCGTGGCCACGTGCCGGTAATTCGTTTAGCGACAGGCGTAAGCCCGTAATGATTACTGCGAAATGAAAATAAAAGAGTAGCGCTCCATTCAAAGATTGAAGTGGAGACCACTGAATGTGGCTAAATGTGGTTACAAAAACAAATGATAAGACAAAGTGCATGTCGCTTTGAACTTTGCTGATCCTCGACGGGCAAACAGAGCAGGGCAGAGAGATAGACATACGGTGAACTCATCCTTCCGATTGGCTTACGTGATGGCGCGCTAGCAAAGCGTAAAAAATGCTTGCATTTTAACTGGTAGTAGTAGCAGAGCCTGTGTGTGTGTGTGTGAGCTGTGCTGTGCTGTGTTGTGTGTGTTTTCTGTTGTGTGGGCAAAGCAACCCCCAGGGCAAGAGCGAGCGAGCGGCAATCACGGCGCGCATATCTTTTGGGATTTGTGACATGGCGCCGCCATCGTCGCGACCGACGACAATGCGCCGAGGGTTGTTGCCGCCTAAATCAGCGGGCTTACTGGGCACTGAGCTCAACAGCTCTGCAACACTCGCGCACTAATGGCTGAAAATAAAACCGGCGCGCACTCCTGTTCAGCTTTTAGTTGGTTCGGGCACGCGAAACGGTTAAGGCTATACACACACACACGAAACCCAACAACAACTCACGAAGAACTTTCAAATGCGTGTGGCTGACATTTGAGGATAGTTACGGCTACAGCTACAACTACTCAACTACTCACATCATCTCAACATGTCCGCCTGCTACAACGCCTACAATCCCTCGCAATCCTTTGCGTTCGACGAGGACGATGACGATGATGCCTCGTTCGACAGCGGCTACGAGAAGAGCTTCGAAACGGATGCGCATGCGAGCTCACGCCGTCGGTTGAATTTTGAGGAGCACTACAACGGTACTGCAAATGCTGGTGCTACGCCGCCTGGCCAAGCTCATTTTCCTTTGGCGTATGCCGGAGGCAGTGGCGGCTGGGATGGGCAACTGAATTCACCACCGTCGACGGCCGGATTTGTGGGTCTGCTAGACAACAGCAGCAATCATAGTACACGCAGTGGGCGCACTCTCGTTGAACATCTGAATAGTCGTGCGACGGCGGCGACGACGATCGGATTTGAGCCACAGTTGACAAGCACGCCCGTCAAGTCACCGGAGGATCCGGATGCACCACGACCGAAGCGCAAGTATGCCGTCGGCAAGAATCGAGTTACCCGTTCGCGTAGTCCCACTCAGGTGGTGCGCATCAAGAAGTTTCGGCGCATGAAGGCTAACGATCGGGAGCGGAGTCGGATGCACAGTCTCAACGATGCTCTGGAGAAATTGCGGGTGACGTTGCCCTCGCTGCCTGAGGAGACAAAGCTCACCAAGATTGAGATACTGCGCTTTGCACACAACTACATCTTTGCTCTGGAACAAGTGCTGGAGAGTGGCAACACTATTAATCTGGATCTAGAGAAGCTGCAGAACTTTACGCTGAGTGGTGAACGCATTACAAAGGAGTTATTCGATGCACTCTTTGTGAATCCTCAGCCATTTCCTATGTTCGGCAGCGGGCGCATCTTTCCATATGGGCCGCATCATCAGACTCCAGCAATGCACTATCCGTCAACTCAGGGATTGGATTATCAGTCTGCACAACCACCTGGCTTTGACTTTGGCACCAGTATGCGCTTCTACCAACAACAACAGCAGCAGGAGCAGCAGCAGCATCAGGGACTTAGTCCACAACAAACGCGATCGGGTCACTTTTCCCAGGAGAAATATGATCTGTTCCGAAGCAACTTTGAGGCAGCTGCCAATGGAGGACCATCGCCCGGTACCGAGGCTGGGCTGCATCAGCAGAGTAGCTTCTATACGCAGACGCCGCCATGGAAGGAGTATCAGGAGGAACATCCGCAAAATCAGCAGTCGCTCTATAAACAGTTTGCTCATCAGGTATAGCATAGTTTCGCGGGCATCTTTGGTGTCGGTCTTCTCTGGGTGATATGTTCGACAATGTGTTGATTACAACGGGACTGGCATCTGGGAACGATCCAAGGTCTGCTTTAGTGATTGACTTTTATTATCTAAGCAAAGTGTAAAAGTCATTTGCATAAGGCAGCTGAAAAATCTGGAATTTTATACCTTTCTAGACATCATTTCCGTTGAGGCTCACAATCAGTTGATATTTTGCAATAAGTGAACACCAAATTGATTGCAAAAGCATTGCTAACCAGCTGGCTTTATTACTCAATTTGATTAAATTCATTAAGTTGGTTCCACAAACAAATAACCAATGAGATATGGCTAATGTCAAAGGTCATGTCAAATGCAGTTTTCAATCCAATAGATTTTGGCGTCTGCTTGAAATTGATTACTTGTTTGTGGAACTAACTAGTTGACTATTGAACCTAAAAGAATATTTTATAATTACATCTTAAGAATCTAAAAGAATATTTTATAATTACATCTTAAGAATCTAAAAGAATATTTTATAATTACATCTTATAAAATATTCTTTTTGACCTTCATATTCTTCTATACTTGCTATATAATAACTTCAGTTGTCCATATATGTTTAGTAAGAGCATCCATGTACCTGGCTAATAAGCCATATATTTATATCTGCGCATCTCAGTTAGATGTTACGTAACCAAGCCATTACTACTAATCATGTATCCTTAATGAGTTTTAAGCAGTAGCTAAAATTGAAACAACTATTGGGTTCAGGTTTAGTTTAGTTAGTGGGTGAATTACAATTGCAATGCGATAAACGAGGGCTAGTCATTTTGAGATCAGGTTTAACTTTTACTGTACGTGATAAGATACAATTTTGTAAACTATTAAAATCTATTTTTGCTAATAAAGTTGAACGAAGAAAAAACCGAATAAAATGCTGTTTTGTAGGAAATTGTGAATGGAAATTGTAAAAGTCAAGGCAATTCCTGGTAGCAAAAGCAAACAACCCTAAGCTGCAGTGTGTGTTATATGTGTGTGCAGATTTCAGATTCCAAACAAAAGACTTAAATTCAAATAAATATTGTATATTGCAGTGCACATAAAATGAATGGCTCTCTCTCTCTCTCTCTCTCTCTCTGTGTAATAACTGTGCGTCTGTGTTTGTGTGTGCGTAAATGTGTGCAGCTTGTTTATCGTAGGGGGCATTTTTGCGCCCTTACAATTCGACATGGGGTGAGTCGAACAATGGAAAGATTGCCCGTCACCTGCCACAGAATTACGAGTACAAAACAAATGTACCAATGAATGTACCGAAAACCAACAGCAACCAAGGCAGCAGCCGACAATCCTGAAACATGAGCCAAGTGGCAGTGGACCTGCATGAATGCCACTCAAATTATTTAGTTGAATGAACCGGCAAGAGTCGAAATAAACTGACTGACTGACTGCCTGACTGCCTGTCTGCCTGCCTAACTGACTCACTGACATTTTCCGTTACAAGGAAAAGCGAATACGCCCAACCCCCAATAAAGGGTGACTTCGTACACTAAAAGATGCAGTATTCTAGAATGCAACTTCTCAAAGTTAAGACCGATGAAGTAAGCCGCTTGCTCTACCGCTTGCTGTTTGTCATTTGTGCAGCTTTGTTGAAGGTGTCGGGATTTATCTTTACAATAATCATTATTATAGCCAGGACATTGGCTGTTGTTGTCGCTGTGCTGGTGCGTTACAAAGGCGCAAATACGCAGCGGGTGAGCTGCTAAGCTGCATACAATTCCACAGAACTGGCGCTGAGGGATGGATGAGGGCAGCAGGATACGCGGGGACAAGACTCGACTCAGAAACCGGGCTGGCATCATTAGCGTCCTGCATGCTCTCCGCTGTATGACGGGGTAGCTGTAGATGCTTATCGGCGGATCAATAACGGCATTACGAATAAGTCTCGTCTCGCCTCCCTTTCACTCTTCATTCAGATGCTGTCTATGTATATGACTATGCTAATGCTCTGCGAGGCCGGCAAAACAATTTGGAGATTGCCCTAAGATGATAAGAAAACCAAAATGGAAACAAATTGCCGGCACGGTGCAAGTAGCAAATACAATACGATTGCGTCAAGTGCAGGTCCTCTGGGTACAATTCATATCCGACCCACTGAGCAGCAGCTTTGATTCCAGCCGGAATGCAAGCTGAAATTCATAAATAACAATGCTATATTTTCAATTTTACGAGTTTGTAAAAAACTGCCCTAAAAATGTCAAAGGAAATCTCTAAAATTGTCTTACCAAAAAGAAAAAATAAAATCTTGATTATAGATTGTGGAGTCAATATAAGTAGTAGCCTTTTCTTCTGAATGACAAAAATAATAACATTTGCCTTGTGAGAGCTAGATCTTCTTTGCTAACTGCTGCCTGGGTTGAAATACCTAGAATATCAACTGTTATGTAATAAAAGTCACAAAAATGGACATACGTAGTCACATAAATTATGAACATCGTGTAATCCTTGTTCAAGCATAAACGTGCCAATTTGTCGTTTCAGTTCCGATTCCGTTCACAAAATAGGAAAATTGCAAATCGAATTTTATTTGCCGAATTGATTGTTTTACGCCTGTTTAGCATTAAACTCATATGCGATTCGTTGGCACACATTTGCTAAAAATAAAACACACGCTTTTAACCCTTTGCGGTACACGTGCAGCATCACACATATCCTGTGCCCCTTTCTTACCCCTTTTTTTTTGCAAACACATTTCGCTCTGGTGCTGTTGTTGGTTTTATTTTTTACGGGTATGGCGAAAGCAGAGTCGAGCAAGTTGCTCGACCTTTTTAGCAATTCATTGCCCTGCTCGAATTGGTTTATCTGTGAAATCTGTGACGTCGTGTTGTTTGTGTTGCAACAGCACTCATCGCTCGGGGTTCGCATATGTATATATGTGTGTTACTGTTACTCTAACGTAGGTCCTAGGCTGTGCCCTACCTTGCCCGCTTTTGAGTTGTGTGCTCATCTAACCGAAAAACATTGGATAAACAAACAGCCGCTCAAGTATTTTGTTACATTTGTTGCCGCTCCGAGGAAGCCAATCTGTCGCATTTGTGTGCATGCTCGTCCTTAGGATAACCAGCAGTCTATGTGTGTGTGTGTGCGAGTTGAAACTGTAAAATGTGATGCAAGTTTTGATTGTGATTTTAATCCGATCTGAGCGGTTTTAGTCAAATTTAAGCAGATTTGTGTCACATTGTAGCAGCCGAAAGTGGTACACAAAAATGTAAACACATGTAAATCAAAAAATCATATTAGATACACATGAATCAAATCACTTGCAGTTTATTATTATATAAAATTACTTCAATTTTTATGTGTTACATTAATAGAAATTCTAGTTAGTTTCCTATTAATCTGTTTTCTTTTTCTATATATATTTTTGAAAATTACTGTGATTTGATTAGATGTGTAAATTAAATTGTTATCCTTTGGGAGAAGTATTTTTGTAAATGATTCCGATTTAATTTAAATGATACGATCCTCAGTGATTACTTAAAAAATATTTCAGCAGCATTTCGAATTTGATTTTATTTATTTGTGCATTGCAACTGTTCGCTCTTGCATTTGCAATCTCCGGAAATGACGTTCCTTTTACAACCCCAGGATAGCATACATATTTCATATTCCAATCACATAAAGAATTTTCCGTTTCCAAATGAATAAACTGTTAGACAAACAATACATTAAACTTTACAACTTCACACCCGCTGCCTGTGTACAGAAACCATTAGAGTTGGCCAGTTCTACCCCGAGACCCGAGACCCGTCGTTAGTGTTACGGCAGGAGCGAAACTGAAGCTGAGGCTGTACCACAAAACGGCGAGTTGATTGTTATGCAAATGAGGACAACCAGGACGAAAGCATGCACGCAACCCCCAATACACATGCCGGGCCCATCACTACTCGCTGTTCACTAGGTTTTGGGTGCAGTTCATCAAGTGGTCATAAATATATTTGGGTAAAGGAGCATCAGTGGCTGCCTAATTAATATGCAGCGCCATGTGCATAATGAATGTGACATTCGTAATTTATGCTTGATATTTGTTAATTTTTTTTTATTCGCAGTGCATAAATTGAGTTTAAGGTTGGTGCTAAAATGTCGGCAAAACAACGGTTTCATGCCCAGTTATTGTTAATGTAAACAACGGGCGATTGAATGCAATGCTACCCGTTGATAAATGGAAAGGCTGTGGAAAAATTTCTATTGATTGTCGCTTGCGCCTAAGCCGCAGAAACTATTGCTTCCGATTGTTTGTATTATTCGCTCTAATGCCACTTCCGGTTCAGCGAAAAACGCGCGAAAATCCTGTGATTAAGCGGCCATTGTGAGATTCTATATAAAATATAGAAAATATTGCGAAAAACTGCTGTTTTTACCCCCAAAGCGCAGAAATCCTTACAAGTAGTTAACAGCAATTACAATTGCATGAATTGCTCATGGCAGGGTGTGTTCTAAGTCGCTTTTTATGGCACCTCTGTCAGGGACAGGGACAGCAACAGAAGGCAACCGTTATGATTTAGATGGATATATAGCAATGGCACGCAAGGCTTTGCTACCCTAGATGTTCTTGATAGAAAGGGTCTATCAAATTTTTCATATATTTTTGTGAAGTTTATATAATATTTTCCTTATAAGTGGAATTTTTAAATAGTATGTATTTTGCCTCAAGTCATACTTCACATATTTTGATAACTTAGTCAAAATTTAAATGAAATTGAACAGTAGAAATGGGACCAAGAGTATTTCATATTTTAATACTAAAAGAGAGTATATTTAAGTCGAGTCACTTCGTGTTTAGTTGTCTACTTTATCGCTTACAAATAGTTTTTGCCGCAAATGTTAAAATGTTAAGGAAATGAGCGACTTCCCCTGCGAGAGAGTCGCACGAGCTCACTCATTAATTGTTTGCATTGTTTGTCCGTTAAAGTTGGACATCTGGCCAGCTGCTGCCCGCTTCCCCTCTCTCCCACTCACTGGCTGACTGCTCGGCTCACTGACTGACTATCTGCCCGCCAATGAATCTAGGGTAAAAAGTTGATATGTATTTTACTACTTGTTTTTTGACACTGTTTACGCAGGACACCTGCACTGTGTGGGCAGTCAGGCTATGATTCTTTGGGTACGGGTTCTCTGCAATTGCTAGCACTTGTGGCTGACTGGGCATGGAGCTGGCTGTTCACTGGCGCCACCTGGATCATGGGCATTAATTGGTGATTATTATAGCTTAGATCCGTGGCAGTTGGCGCCGTCATTGTTTAGCCAGCAAACAAAAGAGGGACGCAATGTCAACTGAGTTTGAAGTGTGATTTACGATCGCCATCATCAATCAATGTTCAAGTGGAAAGTGATTTGGCAACATTTTTAATGGGAACGCGGGAATACGAATACCCGATGTTCGGTTTTTGGGTTTTATGCTAATTGCACCGCCAGATAGAAGTAAAAACTCTACAAGTACTTTGAAGTTTCACAAACTGTAGTTACACATCTCCAGACAACCCCCAGAAAATGACAGACTTGCTTTGACCCAAACAACACTTGATTTGCTGTTGATGTTGTTGTTGTTGTTGCTGTTGCGATTTTAAAAGTTATAAAAATAACTCGTTGGATGTGGCAGCTATTTCGGCTTCTGCTAACTACTTATACTTATATACCAACCAGCAACCCCTGATCAGTTCATCACACACACACAGACATACACACCCTTTGGCTTGATGGTCTAGCGGCAGGCAGACAGTTCATTTACCAGCATCATCATCCCTTGTACTTGTTCCTGGCTGTGCCGTCGACTGCGACTGCAGTTGCCTGGGGCTAATGAGCGCCGCACATTAGTTTTAACAACATTTATTATTTATGGGTTTCACTTTTTTGCTTTCTTAGTGGAAGAGTGGTTAGAGATATTACATATACATTTACACAGTGGCGCATTTTGTAATTCAAAATTTAAATTGCAATTATTTTAATCACATAGATTTTAATTGGAAACTGGACTTTTTTTCTTCAAATTATTTATTATATTCTGATACTAAGAGAATATATCCATTTTGGGCCTAGATAGAATAACCAGTTACCAAAAATTTATTCCGCATGGAAATCTATAAGTTTCACTAAATCTGTGGAGCGCAATAAATATGGGCTGTGAAGGTTAGAAAGACAAAACAAAGCAGTCGTAAACGAAAAACGGGTATATTTAGTAATAGCTAGCTAAAAAATATGGTAAGTCATTATTTAGTCTAGTTTTCGATATTTACTTTTAGTCTCGCTTAATATTTGTTGACTTACTTTCATTTCGTTTTCATATCACATCGCATGTCCATGGAATGTGACCAAGAATTCATGTATTTTGTAGTAGATACAATTTATTTGCACACATGCTCAAATTCATTGTAGTTACTCGTTCTCATAATATACAAATATATGTATTTACCTTAACGGCAAAAATATATGCATATTGTTTGAGTAGTGGAAATTAAACATTTTCGAGCAACACGTCAACTCACGTAACTGGCTGCTCATTTGTGGAGCTTCAGGATATTGAAATTCCTGTTGAAACCAAGTTCCATATTAACTCATATTTATTTTGCACTTGTTAAGCATTTAGTGGGGCGAATAAACGATAAGATAAATATAGGTAAATGCCGTTTATTTCTACTAAAACAAAAGTATTTCATGCGTTGCTAAATCTGTTGGGCTGACAGAAAAACTACTCAAAATTCAGTAACTAGTAATAGAATCAGTGTATTCCCGCGCAGATGACACATAAAATGACTTGCGATTCGCATTCTAAAAAGTCTAAAAAGAAGTACTTAAAGCTAAATGTTTCGATTGGACTTTATACAGTTTTAAATTAGTTAATCGTAACCTACTCTACATAGGTGTATGTACATACTAGATCACGTGCATAGTATGCTTATGCTTGTATGGACTGTTTTGGCCCCATCTTCGCGCGAAATGGCCAACTGTGGTTCCAAAAGCCCCATGTGCACCTGATCTACTCTAGTTATAACCGATAGATACTCCCACTCCACTTATTTATGGGCATTTGCCAGAGGGTGCAGATAGGGCTTATAGTCTTGAGCACTAGATTACTACAATTTAATTCAGCATTGCCATTGACTGGACCTGACTGTGCAGAATATGAGCTGAGGCTACAATGGTCCATAGATGGGCTCCGAGTAGAGCACAGCGGGCATCGAGTAGCTATACGATGTGGGCGTATGCTCTGTGGGGGTTCTCAGACTCGCCTGCAGGCTGCGTTTGCTATGCCGCTTGAATCTGTGATAAAGGTATTTTTATTATTTAGAAATCAAGCAACTTAAGCCGTATACTCACTTCTTCTTCAGACAGCAGGCCGCACAGAGTGAGACCAATGCGGCTATGCCTATTAAAGCCGCTAGAATCACTAGCCATGAGCCCGCGGACATCAGCATATTGCCGAAAAGTGCAGCCGTGTGAGTGCGTCGTACCGAGCAAGATTCCAAGTCACTGACTCCATACGCAGCGTAAATGTCAATGAGCTCGTGACGCAGCTCCTTGGAGTTCATTAGCTTCTGCATCTCGCTCAAGGAGAGCGCTGCGCCATTTCGGAACATTTGGAAACATGAGCTCGTCGCGGTAAAGTCCAGGCTCATGTCGGCTCTGGTGAAGACTTGGGTGTCCAGCACATGTAGCTCCAGACCGAGTGGCTTGAGTTTCTTTTGCAGCTGCGCCTGGAATGGGCGGATGTTGTGCTGTATCTCGTTGGGCGGTCGGGCAAAGACGAATTTGAGCAGAGATTTGTCGCGGATGACAAACACCTTAATATTGCTGTGAGTCTGACGCTTGGCCTTGACGGAGTTATTGGCACAAATGCGCATCAGGAAATAACCATCGACATAGTCTGCAAACGAGCCACCGGTGCGTAGCTCACCCGTGCGATTGTTGAGCGTGAACAGACTCTGTAGATTGCCAGTGGCAAGTTTGCGGCTGCGCTTGTAGAACTGCGGCACAAAGGTCACGTTCATAATGGAGAGCGATATGGGTGCAGCTTCGGCATCTGCATCACTCGCCTTCAGTGTCGTAATCACCGTGTCAATGGGCACATTGATGCGTATACCAACATGTGGAGTCAGGACTCTCGAATTGCGGTAGATTGTCGTCAATATCTAAGATCTTGATGGTGATGCGCAGATGCGAGGGATCCTGACGATCATAGGCATCGCCTATGTACTTATAAGCCGGTTCTCCCAGCTTAAAGCATTTGACAGTTAGTGTGAAGGACTCAACAAGCTCGCGATCGATGGGCTGGCTTGTCTTCAGAATGGCCAGACTTTCATTGGTTCGCTCAATGGTAAAGATCTGTTCGTTATTGCCCTCGATAATGACATAATCGATGGCTGCATTTTCGCCCATGTCCTCGTCAATGGCGCTAAAGTTACCAACAATTGTGCCAGCTGGTTGCTCCTCCAGTACGGACATTGGTATAGGACCCTCATCCTGTTTGAAATCTTCGCTTATTAATCAAATTTAAAGATAATATTTCTTGTTTCTTACGATTTCCCTAGCGAATCTGGGCTCATGGTCATCCATGTCGAGCACTTCAATCTGTAGAATGCGCGTCAACGACTGCTTAGGCTGTCCATTATCGCTGATCTCCAGCAACACTTTGTACATGCTCTTCTCCTCCCGATCCAGTGGCTGTCGTGTAGTTATCAACCCCGTGTGCGTATCTATGGCAAAAGATTCGGCATCAGGCGTATCGGGGAGTATGCGATATGTTATCGTCCCGGATGGCGTGTTCTCATCATCGGGATCGCTGGCAATCACTTGGAAAACGGGGGCACCAATTGCGGCATTCTTAAAGTAGTATAGAAAATTGAATTTTTATAATAAAAAATATTAAAACTACTTATAATAAAACTTAAATTTCCACTATAGTTTCAAATGTTTCACATCTTGCAGACTCACCTCCGTTACATTTGCCCTTTGACCAACTCGTGGAGCCACAAAGAATGGAACACCATCATTGGCGCTCACATCACCAATGAAAATTCGCACTTCAACATCCGTGGAGAGGGTGGGCTGCTTGGGGACTTGGTTGCCATTATCCTGGGCACGTACGATGAGCACATAGGCCTCGGCGCGTCCTTTACCTGTTAGATTGCGGCGAGTGGAAAGCAAACCATTCTGGGCGTTAATGCTAAACAGTCCATTGGCATCGCCTTCGTTGACCAGCTCGTAGCGCACTTCACCGCCAGGTCCTTCATCCGCATCGCTTGCTTCAATTTGGAGGACATTCTCCATTTTCAGAGCATTTTCCGGTATAACGGTACTGTATAGCTTCTTGGAAAACTCTGGTGCATTATCATTGACATCCAGAACATCGATAAGCAGTTCCACAACGCTCTGTTTGGCATCGGTTGGTTTGCCCGGCGAGTCTTCGGCTTTCACTTGGAGTCGAATGGTAGGCGTGCGCTCTCGATCGATGGTCTGGTTGCGTGCCACGACAATCTGTCCTGTGAGGTTGTTAATCTCGAATAGCATTGCATATTCGCCTTGCAGTGAATAGATGATCTTATGATAGCCCAAACGCTCATCTCGTTCATTCAACGCCGCATCCTTGTCCTGAGCCTTGACTTGAATCACGGGCTCTGGGTAACCCTTGTTCTCAATGATGGTGGCATGATAGGAGCTCTGCTCAAAGATCGGACTGTTATCGTTCACATTCTCAACGGTTATGTTCAATCGACTGATGGTGCTGCGTTGACGATCGGCGCTATTAGCGCGCACCTGAAGCTCAAATTGGGTGCTGCCTATCTCCGCCAGAGCCTCATAGTCCAGACGCTTCTTCAAGATGATCTCGCCGGTACGCTCTGATATTTGAAAATATTCCAACTCCTTTGGTTCTACCAGTTCAAAGCTGGTTATCGCCTGCTCCGTCACTGGATCCTCGGCTTGTAGAATGAAGAGTGCACTGTCAATGGGCATTTCCTCCTTGACATTGATATGTACCACAGGACGAGAGCTGCTCCAACCTGGATTCTTGAACACTGGATCCTTATCCTTAAAGGACTGCACATAAACCGTAACCTCTGTTGTGTCCACTTGCAGCTCTGGATCAACTTCCGCGTTCAAGTCCCGCACAACCACCGTAAAGATAATAATGGCAGCCACATCGTGGCGCAAGGTGCTATTCACAAAGATCTCTCCACTTTGACTGTCTACTCGGAATGCTTCCTCGACAGGGTAGCTACTTCGATTGGTTATGCTGACACCCGCTTTGGTGGTGGCTTTAACTGGTCCCTGCAAACTATACTCCAATCGTGAATTGAGATCCTTATCAATGGCCTTGACCCGTAATACGCTCTCTCCAATCACAGTTCGTTCGGATACGTAGGCTGCATAACTATTATGCTCGAACTTGGGTTTCTCATCGTTAATATCCTTGACATTGACATAGACCGTGGTAGTAGCTGTTTCTGGGATTGGTGTACCGGAGTCAACGGCATTCACAATGATCTCAAAACTATTCATATTTAAGTCGCGATCAATACGTGCTTGAGGCGATACTGTGATCAAACCAGATCTGAAAGTGCATAATTTGTGGTAGGTGTTCAAAAATATTAACTTCAGAATTAACTTACAGTTCATTGATCTGGAAATTATCGTTCGCGCCAACAATTCGATATCTGAGCAGACTGTCCAGACCGTCGGGATCGTGTGCGGACACCGTTGTCACATTGAAGCCTGGCACCGCATTCTCCGGTATGGACACGCGATAACTGGGTGGTCCAATTATGGGCAAATTCTCAACGTTTTGGAAGTGGCCTTTGAAGATGGGACGTTGATTGCCAGAGATGCCGACACGCACTAGAACTCGTGTGGTGTTTGTAAGCGGTGGAATTCCTAGGGGCCATAAATCGAAAAATATATAAAAGGAAATCACAGATATATATTTATCTTACCAAAGTCCGTTGCAGAAACAACCAATTCGTATTCTCCACGCTCCGTATCCATGGACCTAGCTGCCTTCTGGAGTGTTATTTCACCCGAGTCCGGCTCAATGCGAAATACATTGCCAGCTATGCTATTTTCCGAGACAATGGCATACTTCACTCTGCCATTTCCTTGACTGGGACCATCTGCATCAATTGCCCGCACAAAGAACTGTGGCTCAAAGATTGCCGCACCTTCGCGTATTGTGCGACTGTACTCATTGCTCTCGAAGATTGGCTGATTATCGTTAACATCGAGGACATCAACAAAAAGGTTTGCATTTGATTCGCGGCCGCCGCCATCGACAGCTACCACAGTCAGACTGTATGTGCTTTGCTTCTCGTAATCCAAAGGTCTGAGTAGATAAATACCACCAGTCTCTGGATTCACATAGAAATTATCGGCTCCAAATCCCTTAAGCACATACTGCACACGACCAAATTCACCGGAATCCGCATCGGTAGCATTCACAATGCCAATTAAAGAATCTGTTGTCAGATTCTCGGCAGCTGTAAAACGATAGGTTTGCTCGCCAAAAATAGGCGAGTTATCGTTGGCATCCAGTAAATGGACTTCCACACGTGCCTTCGCCTGCTCAACGCCATGCGAGGAAGCAACCAAATCGAATTCGAATTTACGCTGTGCGGGATTATCATAGTCCAGGCGACTAGCATTCAGCACCTTAACCACAACGGGAGTGCGCGCCTGTCCCTCGGTAGGAGAGACACCAAACACACCCGCTGCGTTTGAGACATCCACAAGTTTGAGCTGATAGCGACTGTTCTCGCCCATGTCGCGGTCATCCACGAAAATCGATAGACCTGGCAACGGCATTCCATTCGCTAGATTCTCCGCAACTGAAACGTTAAAGTTCGACGCGCTGAACTCAGGTCGATGATCGTCGACATCGGTAACCACAATGGTAACGCGTGTGATTGTATACTCGGCTGGGATGGCGCCATCAATAAGCTCTGTGGCGCGTATGGAGAATACATAGACACCACCATTTTGTAAAATATCCGGATTTTCCCGATCCAACGGTTCGTTTGTGGTTTGCAGCATCGCTGTGCCGTCTTTAGGATCACCGAACGGCACCAGCTCAAAGTGACCAAATGGTTCATCCTCCAGCGAGAGGAAGATCTCTCTCGGTATGCCCACATCGCCATCAATTGCTTTCACAGTCAATATGCTCACACCGGCCGGAGTATTCTCTGATACTGTAGCGGAATACGGTGCATTGGTGAAAACGGGTGCCTGATCCTGCACATCGATAACGTTTATAGAAATTGTGGCAAAGGAGGTGAGACGGTTCTCCAGCGCACTATCCGATGCCGATATGGTCATGATGTAGGAAGGGCGGCTCTCAAAGTCCAGTTGCTGTTTTAAAGCCACTCGAGCTGTATAATTACCATCCGCCAATTTGACAGCGCGTACCTCAAAGATATCGCATATATTGTTCTCCTTAAAATAGAGAGTTGACTGTAAATTTGGGTTATACAATATGGGTTCTGGGGGATCTACCTGAACACATCTTATCTGCACTTCAGCATTCAAGCCCTCGTCACGATCGACGACAATGATAGGAGGCTCCACCTTAAGTTCAGCGCCCACAGGCAGCGACTCACTGACGCTGGCCGAGTAGGGTCTACCATAAAATGTGGGCTGGTTATCATTATAGTCGCGCACAGGTATTTCGCGGCGCTGAGAGACTGTATTCGGTTCTGTGCCATAGACGCCCTCGTCTGTTATACTGATAATAACCTCAACGGTGTCTTGAGTTTCGCGATCGAGTTCCTGGCGCAGGCGCACCACACCCGTCTCCCGATCCACAGAGAAAACTGGCCCAGATATGCTGTACTTGAGGCGACCACCCTCCGGATCAACGCCTGAAAAATATAACAAATTAGTTGGGACTTGTGGACTTGTGAATAGCAGTAAAAGCGGTTTGTCGACTTCTTGTCGTGCTCGATACGCTCACTGCTTTAATTACGAATGGTCGTCGGAGTAGTAGGAGTAGTAACGTCATCGGCTGACACTCTGGCTGTCGGGTTATGTTTAAGCGTGTGAAAAATGCTAATGAAGTTTCCACAACCTCCTCCACTTTGGCTTTTCTAGTCTAATGCGCTCGCTGGCAGTTTAGTTGAGCGTGGAAATGGAGCTAGTATGTAACTAACTCTGGGAGTTGGGTCAACTTATTTATAAATATGGGTTGTCTTATTCTCTAACATGGCAGTTTCTCTTTCTCTTTATGGTTTTTTGTTTATCACAGGAAACTACTTATGCCATGCATCAAAATTCCGAAATTCAGAAACTCAGCTTGGGGGCAAACACGAAAAGCATTAGAAATTCTTTCGAAGTAATACAAAGTGGAGAAAGAAAACAAATGATCCCAACAGCGCATGCACAAAAGCTAACAATAATAAACTCACCGGCGGTCTGGAAAACGACTTTTGGCACAGACGCAGGCAGGCAGACACTCTTATTTCTTTCTTTTTTTCAGGTTTTGTTGAAGAAGACGATAGACTGGGAGACCGACAATTGCAGCACTACGACCACGAACACGACATGGACTCAAAGCGGGAAGCAAACAACACGTTCTCCAACTTACTACACCCAACAACAACAACAACAATAACAACAGCTAAACAATTGCGGTCGCCAACCCGAATAGCTCCCATCCCAGTCCCCACTGCCCTCTGGCGCGTGAGTGGCCGTTTCCACTTTTAATGTACATAATCATTTTCTAGTTTTTCTTTCATTTTTTTCGGGGTTTACACATAATTTTTATTTTTTTTTTTGTATCTCATACGTACATATATTTGTACATACGGGGCCAGTTATATTATTGGGTCTACGATTGTTGTTACTGCCTCGTATGGAATCCAGCTTTGCGACACGCTTAAAAAAGAGCTGGGAACACTATCTGCGGCCTAAAATAACAATTATGCTAGTTTTTTCAAAACTGAAACTTTTCTACTTTTCACTTGTCATAAGAAGCAGCATGTCTTGTTGAAAGACTGGGGAGGGGTAGTAAATAATTTGTGATTTCATGCTTCACGAAGCGTATTTGTTAATATTTTGCTATTTATTACATACAGTAACCAAGCGAAAGACAATGGAAACACCCGCATTGTGCCAACTTTTGCCCAATTATTCGTCTTCGTTTTTTGTTTAGACACCAGTTTGCGTTTAGTGTGTATATAATTACCCCACGCCATATATTTAATTATGTTATCCATATCTTGAAAGCAATTTAATCTAATAAAGCTAATTTAGTAGCTATAGAAAGTAAAAATAGTTATCAAAATGGGTACTTTAACAAAATATATATACTTGGATTTTTTTCTATCTATCGAAATTCACTAAAAACAACAACATACCAATAAAATGTTTGAAATAAACAAGATACCAAATTATTCTTGACTTATGTTTAGTTATAAATTTGTAGATACGATAGGGTAAATACGACCCTGAGCAGTCTTTTGTTCCATTTGTATTTCTTGATTAGCGGCGATTAACACTGATTTGTCAACTGACCAATTTGAATATAAATTAAAAATAAAAAACCTGTAAAATGTATTTAAATATTAAAATTAATTTGATTGCAGCTAGCAAATTGGCAGATTTTGGCCTATTGCCAAAGAGATCTGTGATGCAACCACGTAGATGATTGCCAGTAAAAACTGCAATAACAAATTATAGAGGCTGATAGAGCCGCTTCCTGCCTCATAGTTTAACCAAGTAATTTCAACGTTTTCGACAGCTATTTTTCAATTTGCTTGCAATGTCTGCTCACTTGTTTGTCTGTATTTATGGCACTCTTGATTTCAGACGCAGTGAGCTACAAGTTGTTAGCTCAAACGTGTTTTCTTTCAGACAGTATCTCACGGATGCAGCTTGCAAAAGTAAATGACTGATAGGCCCAACTCACTCAGCTCTCAAACACATACAACAAAATTAATCAAAATTAATCATAGATGAAAAAGTTAATGAGCATTCATTTAGCTATCGACTACTCAGTTAAGTCAAATTCTTGAAATAGTTTATGTCTCTTTGAGGTCTTAATCGTGCACACAAAAATTATATTAAAATATTGTGAACTATTATTAAGATACATCTATTTAAACTGGCTTGAAAGTTGTCTGCCTTGTTGTCTGGTATTTCTAACCTCCGCGTTGGGCGCATCAAATTACAAGCCGCATCTCTGTATTAAAATAACTGGGCCTCTGTGTTAGGGTGTCAACGGGGCGGCCGACATGCACTTGTGGACAGGTGTAAGAGCCAAAAGCAAGCATGAAGATGAATTGAACGCGATCTCGTGCAGAATTCATAGCGAATGCCGACAGTTTGTTTGTTTTATGCTGTTGGATAATCATCATGCGACGAATTATTATGTTGCTCGAGAAGCTACTACATGCAGTTGCAGGTGCCGTTGCCGTTGCAGTTGCAGTTGTAGTTGCAGTTGCGAAAGGAAGCGATTATGCAATAACTGGCAGGCAGGTGTGAAAAGCGTTCGCTGCAATTGTTACTTTCAATTGATTGATGTCGTCTGTCAAAGTAAAAGTATCATAGATTCTACGCGTGACAAAAGTGAGTGCGCTTGGCCATTATTATATTATACGCTTGCAAATACCAGTTGCTGGCCATCAGCCAGCGATATTTGCATCTAATTGGCAGCACGCCATTCTCAACATAATTGTTATCAATTGCATGTCGCCATGCGCCATTTATCGGAGCGTTTGTTTTGCTATCACGAAAGCTACGCACAAACGTGTTCAAATGCATTTCCGCATCAACCACACAAAAGATACCAAATACATACACTTAGACATGTGAATCTGTTGGCATTGTTTGTGTTTGCTATCATTGATTACCAAACTGCATTTTTAAGCATGCGACCCAAAAGTTTTATCGCTTATCGCTCTTACCTCTCCGCATATTTGGCGAAATAACTTAAGTAATCGCCAAAGATACTCTACAGATACATACAAATGTACCGACATGCAGAAACCCGTACAGAGCAACAAAAAAATGTAATACTCTTGGCAAGGTTATGCAAAAGTAGGTGGCGCTGTGGCGAGCCAAGCGCTTAATATTTCAATTATACACATTTATAAACATACACGTACATACACACTCCCCGCTAGAGCCCCCAAATAAGCGAAATGAAAGTCAGCAATGGCAATCTGAGATTTGGTGCACAAAAACTCAAATTACCAAATAATTAAATTATCAAATGACCGGCAAAATAATACCAAAAGCGCGCAAGTTTTTGAGTTATACAATTACTATTCACAAATATAATGAAATTACTAAGAGATTGGCCTGAACTCATGAGCATGAACTAAGTTGATGGCCAGCAGCGTATCTCTAAGTTTAAAATAATAGTTTTTCTGTTTTTGTGAAAGGTTTGCAGCAATTGATGTGAGAATTGGGGCTATTGTTGCTAGTTTTTTTTATTATTTATTTATAATTATGAAACCTGGGCTTGGTCATTTGTTGACCTCAGTTTGAGTAACTTACCTTTAAGCTGAAACACGGGACTGCCAACTGGCGTATGCTCCGATAGGCTAAAGCGGGACATATCCCCCGAGCCGGGCACAAAATGTGGCGGATGATTCTGCAGCTGTGCTCCACTCAATCCAAGCAGCAACAGCAACATTAGCGACGGCAGCAACATTTTGTTGCCGTTACCAATTCCAGTGCCGTTATATATATATATATATATCCGTTAGCTGTGATTAATTTGGTTTGTTGTTTTCTCAACTATTTAGCACATGTAGCACAATATTCACTTCTCAAGAGTAGCACTTATTTTTAACTGTCTTCTGGAGATGCCATGCAAAAACAAGAATTTTGGTTTAAAACAACTCTTTCAATGTTAGCCACGCCGCCCACTCGGCCTTGGCTGTGGTGGGTAATGGCAATGCAATTGAAGTTGCTGTTGCAGCATTCGCGCTCAGTCAGCGGAAAAGTGGGAAAATTGTGGCAAGCTCAATACCAAAACGTTTGTTTAGGCTACAACTTTGAGTCTTGGCTAGCCGCTGTTGTTTGCCTAATTGAAAAGTCATGCAGTAATCGCTTGAACATACTAAGCTATTTGCTATAATTAACAGCCAAAATTTGACAGATTCTAAAAAAGAAATTCGTTGCCGCTGGCAATTTCACTTTATGCACATGTGAAAAGTGGCACATGATGATGAGGCAGCTGCTGATGTTGGTGCTGCTGCTGCCGAACAGTTCCAATCATTGGGCCGAGGCGCTATTCGAGCCAAGCGGCGATTGGCAAATGTTGGCTTTCTCGCACACACACAATTACACACTCACACTCGGACTTGGAACAGCTGGAGAACGAGGAATGAGGTGTGTGGATCATGCGGAGATGGCAAAGAAAGCAAGCAACACACTAAAGACCGAAATGTGCAAAAAGGCAGCTAAAATAAATAAGCGCAGAAAACAGAACTGGTTGCTCTCTGGCGCTGGCGTGGCGTGCAGACGCAGACAGCCATTTGCCCGCAGATACACAAGTATCTGCAAGGTAGATATAGTTATTTGGTCAGCGCTCTTGTTGTTGTTTTGGCAAAAAAAAAAAAAATGAAGGAAGCAAATATAAAACATAGAAGACGCAGTCATTACTCATAGCGCACCTATGCTCTGACGCTGAAGTGCAAGTAACTTACAAAGCAGTCCCTAAGTCACTTAATCAGATGCAGAGTTATTCTACTTATATACTCATTATTTCACATTTATTGACAGAAACGCACCGAAAAATACACACGCGAAAATAAAACAACGCCAAAGTATGACGCCAGGTACGAAACTTGATTCTGGTTCCAAATTTTTGTGTATTTCTTGTATTTCGTATGATTTTTTGCCCACTGTCACACAGTCACTTCGCGACGAGTTTTCAACCGCAGTAACGTCTTAACGACGCGACGCTCGCTCACCTTCTGTCTTATGGTCGTTTTACCTGTTGCTGTTGCTGTTGCTGCCGCCGTTCTTAGCTGGCCAACAGCGTGCGTGATTCGGCCACAGGCCACAGTAAATACTGGTTTCATGCTGTCGCCGGTTTTGTTTTGATACACATTTCGCGCATGCGCAAAACCAGTGGTAATGAAATATGAAATGCGAGTGTGTAAACACTGGTTGGGGAAATTTAATGAAGCAATATCATTTTCACAGATCACCTAAAAGTATGCTACACATTTGACAACACATACACTCCAGCTATTGCTTTGGGTTGGTGCAGCTACGAAATACCAATCTTTGAAGGAAATTCCTACTAATTTATCTTACAAGTTTGTCCTTAAAATTGAGGCAGGTATTTTATTTTTGTGTGTGGCATACTGAATACTCTTTATCAAAAGCTGCGCACATTCTTGGCTCACGATCTTACGGAATTCCAAGTTTTCAACCGTTTTATTTTTTGTTTTGATGTAAACACTTATCATATTTGATTTATTTTTGGTAAATAAAAACTAACAAAAAAATCAATTTATAGCGCATCGTCCACCTGGAACTGTATTAGATCCTCAACGGGAAAGCGAAAGAGCGAAGCCGTTTGAGCCTCGGCGGCCAATTGATCGATGTGTGGATTCTTGTGGTAGCGAAAGTGATCGCCAAGAACGCTGTAGCGACCTGGAATTGATGGGGGATTGCCAGTAAGTGCAGCAGGACGCGGCAGTTGAGGCAACTGTGACACCTCAGCCGCCACGATAGGATGTTCAAAGTCAATAAGCGACAGGTTATCGCTTCGTGAAATAGAATTATTCGTTTGATTCTGCTGCAACTGAGTTGCCGATGTGGATGCAGCAGTCAGTGAAATGTTGCCTGTCTGCGACTGAGCCTGGGCTGCCACCTGCCGTGGCTCAATAGGACTGGGTGGCTTAGGCAGTGGCTGCTCCCGCTCACTGGGAATGAATGAGTTACGCTGCAAGCCAGCATTATAATTGTTGTAATTATGATTATAGAACGGATTAGTGGAGGTGCGCACTGTTGCCGTCGGCTTCTGTTTGGGGAAAACATTTAGATGCAGCATTATCTGATTGGCGTGCGTTTCTGCTGTTGCACTATGGGAATTGGAATTGCTATTGGACTGCTGGCCATAGATACAATCATCGGCGACCACGTTTTGCTGAGGCAACTGGGCAAACTTTTGGGCTTGATAGAGTGCCTGCTGCTGACTGTAGTGTGTGGCCTGATCCGGGAATATCATGGGCAGGTGACTAGGGGACTGTGTGGGAAACTTGAAGGGTGTCTGATAGAGGCCGTGCTGCATTCCATGATGCAGCTGCGGCTGCGCATAAGCAGGTACCGTGGATGCGGTTAGAGCATCGCTCTGAAATGGATTGCGCAGCATCGACGTAGGCCGCGAAGGGGGCAATACCGGATATATATCCAGGTTAACCTTGAAGGGTATGCGCTTATGTTTCGGCTGTCGGGTGGCATTCAACGCAATGATGGGTGGAAAACTCTGTAGAAATGGATCGGCCACAAAATGCTGCTGGTGGCTACCATGCTCCAGCAGCATGTTATAGTTGCTCTGCTCTTGTTGCTGCTGCTGTTTATTGTGCTTCTTTTTGGAGCTGGGTTTGCTCGACGGCGGCTGCTGGAGAGCCAATAGATTTATGTCCTGTGGCGAGCGTGGCTTATAAGGATACAGCTGCTCAATAGCTACGCGCTGAGGCGTTGCACCACCATAAAGTGGCATGGACATTCCCATGGGAAACATGGGCAGGGGAATGCTAAACTGCATCTGCTTCTTATTGCGCTTGCCCCGAAAAAAATTCGCGATACCGCTGGACTTCAAGTTCTTGTAACTGCCTGCGATGTGCAGCCCAGAGGGCATCATGACTAGCGAGGGAGCCTGCATACCCTGCATACCATGCATACCCAGCTTTCCTGGCAACTTGCTGGGCATCATGCTATTGATGTGCAGATTGTGCAGTATGTCCTGGATGTTGTTCAGCGCTTCGCCCTTCTTAAACTGTTCGGGCAGCGGCCCTTCGTAGGGAAAGTGAAAGGGTTTCGGTTTGAAATCCTCGCGAAGCGCCAACGAGCCAGGGGTCTCCGAGAACTGGCGACGCAGCAGCGCCACGGAGGGTGGACGTTGCGTGGAGAGGCGTGGTGGGCGAGACAGCTGATCGCGCAGCTGTGGCGTTGCAGTGACGGATCGTTTGGGCAGGCGCTCATACAGATGATGATCATCATCGATACCATCGTTACCAGGCGCGTTGAGCTGTACTGAAGTTGCGTGCTGCAGCTGAGGTCGTCTCGCTTTCGTGCGCCATGTTCCGTAAATGGGCGCAACGTCGTCTGCACGCTCCAATAAGTACGCAGTTTCGCCAGCAGCAGCAACACCACCATTAGCACCACCTACATCGCTCCCTGCTATAGCATCTATTTCGCCTCCAGCTGCCTCTACTCCATTTGCATGCAACTGCATCTGATGATGCATTTGCTGTAAATGCAGTTGCATCTGTTGCTGCTGCAGACGATATTGTTGCTGCTGCTCGTGCTGCAATTGTTGTAACTTGGCACGCATCTTCTCAATGTTTAGACGTTCCGCTGAGTTGTCACTTTCCGTGCTGGGCGTTGTTTCGGACTCCTCTGCTGACTCAATGTAGTTGAGTAACTGCTGCTGCTGCTGCTGTTGATATAAGGCTGCTGTGGATCCGACCTTGACTACCATAAGAGACATCTGCAAAAATTGAAAGTTTACGTTTTATTTTTTATGTTTGCAGCATGCACTAAATCGTAAACTTGTCTCACAATTATGTACACATAGAGCGGGCCCATAATCCGACGCAAGCGTAACCTTTTTCTTGTAGCCTTTTTGTTACCGCCTCTTGCAGGATCCGTACCCAGCAGGCGTTTATATTTTGATTCTGGCTCTTGTTTAGCTTCTAGCCTTATAAACATTTTTCACTGTTTTGAAAATTTAGCTGAGCTTCGGTTTTAACCGTTCTGCTTTGATATCGATATCTGTTGGCACACTGGACGCGACTTCCTCATCGCGAATCGCAAAGACGACTGCCTGCAGTTTCGACCAAGCAGCCCCTAAAAACTTGCATTCATTGTAGAGCCAACGAGTGCAGCTAACCAATTAGAAAGTTTAACATACGAAAGAAATAATATATGAAATAAATTAATTGCCCAAATGTTTTCGTGATGCCAATATGTGTGTGTGTGTGTCTGCAAAAGAAAGAGATATTTCAAAAGCAGCGACCATGAACAACTGGAGATCGCATACACGAATACACACGATAAAGAATTAAAACGATATAAACGAGGATAAACTTATCCGAAGTGCTTGAGACTCTGATAAATAAAGAAATAAGTATTTTGAATTGATTATAAATATTTCAAAATGTGTTAAATTTAAAAATTAATAGTACGGTAACAATTACTTAGTTATTTTCAAATAGTGCGAGAATCAAAGCAACTCCCTAACTAATTTAAAAAAAAAAACTTATATCACAAATATAGTCGAATGTTTTTTAGTCTCATAATTACTTGCAATACAAACCAGATATAATAGTTTTATTACCCACCCAGCAATATTTATTGCCAAGCTCACGCAAGGTGCGTCTTGTAAGGCAAACAAATATTTAACCACTGAAAACACATTTTCCGTTGTTGAATTAAAAATGCATATAAACCACATTTGATAAACTTAATTTATTGTTCGGGATTTAGAAATGTTTATAAAAGATATTTATTTTTTTAGTGCCGAGACACAAAGTGCTGAGGAGACAAAAAACACACATTGTCGGTTCACATAAAGCATAGCAAGAGTGGGCATAGCATTTAAGGTTTACAAAAGTAGATACATATACAGTGATCCCTAGTTGTATAAGTTTTCGATACATTAAGTTATAAAAACAAACAAGTTACTTTCTTGCCGATGTGAGAGTGTTTTCGCGATTTCGAGCACCCTCTTGAAACGGTGAAAAAATCTTTTCGACTGTATTGACTAGATGTATCTAGCCGTAGAAATATTGTTGGCATTGCATTGCTAGATATTGAGCATCAGTTATTAAGCATATCTTCTTAAGACAATATAATTTCAATTCAAATGAAATCAAATGTCACCCAATAACCGTCGTTGAAATCATCGACGGTCTATAACTGAGCTAGTAAAACGGGTGCTTAAAAGTCGAAAGGAATGTTCGGAACGGGGTACTGGTATCCCGAGTGCTTGGTCGTTACAACAGGTCTCACGCTAGCCCTCGTCGGAGGTGGGACGTACTGGGTGGTTCTACGGGTTGGTGGTGGAGTTGGGCGACGAGTCGTTGGTGGTGGAGGTGGTCTACGTGTAGTGATCACAACTGGAGGCTGTGGCTTATTTGTTGGTGGCAAATACGTGGGAGCTGGAGTGGTACGTGGTGTTGGTGGACGAGTCGGAGGACGAGTCGGTGGACGAGTCGGTGGTGGAGTGGGTCTACGGGTGGTCACTGGAGGCAGTGGCTTGTTGGTAGGTGGCAAGTATGTTGGAGCCGGAGTGGTACGTAGTGTTGGTGGACGAGTCGGTGGACGAGTCGGTGGTGGAGTGGGTCTACGCGTGGTCACTGGAGGCAGTGGCTTGTTGGTAGGTGGCAAGTATGTTGGAGCCGGAGTGGTACGTAGTGTTGGTGGACGAGTCGGTGGACGAGTCGGTGGTGGAGTGGGTCTACGCGTGGTCACTGGTGGCTGTGGTTTGTTGGTAGGTGGCAAGTATGTTGGACCTGGAGTGGGACGTGGTGGTGGTGGACGAGTCGGAGGACGAGTCGGTGGACGAGTCGGTGGTGGAGTGGGTCTACGCGTGGTCACTGGAGGCAGTGGCTTGTTGGTAGGTGGCAAGTATGTTGGAGCCGGAGTGGTACGTAGTGTTGGTGGACGAGTCGGTGGACGAGTCGGTGGACGAGTCGGTGGTGGAGTGGGTTTACGCGTGGTCACTGGTGGCTGTGGTTTGTTGGTAGGTGGCAAGTATGTTGGACCTGGAGTGGGACGTGGTGGTGGTGCACGAGTCGGAGGACGAGTCGGTGGACGAGTCGGTGGTGGAGTGGGTCTACGGGTGGTCACTGGTGGCAGTGGCTTGTTGGTAGGTGGCAAGTATGTTGGAGCCGGGGTGGTACGTAGTGTTGGTGGACGAGTCGGAGGACGAGTCGGTGGACGAGTCGGTGGTGGAGTGGGTCTACGGGTGGTCACTGGTGGCAGTGGCTTGTTGGTAGGTGGCAAGTATGTTGGAGCCGGGGTGGTACGTAGTGTTGGTGGACGAGTCGGAGGACGAGTCGGTGGACGAGTCGGTGGTGGAGTGGGTCTACGCGTGGTCACTGGTGGCTGTGGCTTGTTGGTAGGTGGCAAGTATGTTGGTCCCGGAGTGGTGCGTGGTGTTGGTGGACGTGTCGGTGGACGAGTCGGTGGACGAGTCGGTGGTGGAGTGGGTCTACGCGTGGTCACTGGTGGCAGTGGCTTGTTGGTAGGTGGCAAGTATGTTGGAGCCGGAGTGGTACGTAGTGTTGGTGGACGAGTCGGAGGACGAGTCGGTGGACGAGTCGGTGGTGGAGTGGGTCTACGCGTGGTCACTGGTGGCAGTGGCTTGTTGGTAGGTGGCAAGTATGTTGGAGCCGGAGTGGTACGTAGTGTTGGTGGACGAGTCGGAGGACGAGTCGGTGGACGAGTCGGTGGTGGAGTGGGTCTACGCGTGGTCACTGGTGGCTGTGGCTTGTTGGTAGGTGGCAAGTATGTTGGACCCGGAGTGGTACGCGGTGGTGGTGGACGAGTCGGTGGACGAGTCGGTGGTGGAGTGGGTCTACGGGTGGTCACTGGTGGCAGTGGCTTGTTGGTAGGTGGCAAGTATGTTGGAGCCGGAGTGGTACGTAGTGTTGGTGGACGAGTCGGAGGACGAGTCGGTGGTGGAGTGGGTCTACGCGTGGTCACTGGTGGCAGTGGCTTATTGGTAGGTGGCAAGTATGTTGGAGCCGGAGTGGTACGTGGTGGTGGTGGACGAGTTGCCCTCGTCGTTGGTGGTGCGGGCCTACGCGTGGTCACTGGAGGCAGTGGCTTGTTGGTAGGTGGCAAGTATGTTGGAGCCGGAGTGGTACGTGGTGGTGGTGGACGAGTCGGTGGTGGAGTGGGTCTACGCGTAGTCACTGGAGGCAGTGGCTTGTTGGTAGGTGGCAAGTATGTTGGAGCCGGAGTGGTACGTGGTGGTGGTGGACGAGTTGGTGGTGGAGTGGGTCTACGCGTGGTCACTGGTGGCAGTGGCTTGTTGGTAGGTGGCAAGTATGTTGGAGCCGGAGTGGTACGTGGTGGTGGTGGACGAGTCGGTGGTGGAGTGGGTCTACGCGTGGTCACTGGTGGCAGTGGCTTGTTGGTAGGTGGCAAATATGTCGGTGGTGGAGTTGGTCTTCGTGTGGTAACTGGTGGTTGCGGCTTATTTGTTGGAGGCAAATAAGTCACTGGGACACGAGTTGGTGGTCTGGTGGGCGGTGGTAGAGTGGGGCGCGTTGGCAACTCAAACGGAACGTCTGGGGGTGGGTAGTGGTACCCGTCAGCCGCACGAACCTTACGCTGAAAGAGGTAAATTTTTCAGTAATATATCTAAGGCATAATTCTATTTGCAATCAAGTGCTTACCTCATGCGTGTCCGCTGTTGCGGTGGCAAAAGCCACAACGCAAAGCGTCAAGACGAAAAGTGCACTTCTCTGTAATGAAAAGAAACAAAATGTAAATATGTTCAATATAAATAATGAGTACAATTTTAAATTATTTTTAACTGAAAAAGTTCTGACTATAAGCTTTATTCTAATAGCCTTATCGAATTATTCATGCAAAACAGTTTTTAATGATCTAGGCCCAAATGACAAGTAACTTTGTATAAGTGTAGAAAAAACGTTCGTTAAAAGTTCAGACGGTGTCAGCCATTTGAGTGGAGTATTCAAATCAGCAACACCACAACAACAACAACAAAAGCAATTAGTCTAAATTGTTAACGTGTAAAGTTGAAGACATTCAACTTTGACATAATCTCTAGGTCATGGTAGGTGTCCAAAACTAGACCAAACAAATCCATACTTTACTTAAATAACTTGTTTGTTTATCGTTTATTTGGAAGTGATCAACATTTCTTGATCAGTTTTATCTACAAGCTTATTAAAACAAAACATAAATACTAATTTAGGTGAAACAATTAATTACTTTGGAGGCAAGATCTTTGGCTGAATTCGGAGATTATGTCATGTTGCCTCTTCCGTTCGACTGTCAACGACTATAATGCCTTATAAATATAATTTTATACGATTAACGCATAAATTTCGACAAGGCCAACCTGAAGCTTTCAGCATTAACGTTAACGAAAGTGGTAAATGGGCAACTGCAATTAATTTGTGGACATATTTAATCACTAAGAATTTTGATAAGCTTTGTGTGTATGTATATAAAAATAGCTAGTTATGCAACAAACCGGATGCCAAAATTCTGCTTGACTAGTTTTAAACACAATATTATATAATAGTAATGGGCAACGACCATTAATAAAGTGAGAAAAACTGAACTCGTCACTAAAATAATTAGCTTTAGCAAATTAGCATACGCACTAATCAATGCCAGCAGCTGGCATAAGGCCTCCAGTGGATTAGCTTTATATTCACATTTCTTCGACTTCACCACATAAAAAAATAATATATTCATCATATGCATATTCTTGTATATTTGTGTATAATTTTTTTTTTAGCAAAATTCGACAAACGCTAAATCTAAAAATATAAAAGACATATTTTACTTTTACTTAAATGGCCAGACATTTTTTTATTGGGAACTTGAATTTTGTGGTTCTTTTAAACTTGTTTGATATTCAAATATGCAAAGTGCTTGAAGCTAAATTCGTTGGTAAAACGTTTTTTTAGCACCTGCTGCCATGAAAGTGAAAGGACTAGAGCTGATTGATATCACACAAAGGTATGTAGCGACAGCTTCTCGATTATGACAGCACCTCAAACAAACTAAATTAAGAGATGGTATCTCGTCTTAATGAACTTCTTTTTAGGTTGTGTTGTGCGTTTCTGTCTAAAGATTCAGATTTCTGAGATTGTTCTATGTGATTTTAAGGGCCATGCTAGTTAAGGGCCTTTTTGCTTAAGCCATGTGTCATATGAGTTGAATTTGTCAGTAAGCTTGCTTCCCAGTTATCTATTATGCTAATGTGGGCTTATTAATTTATTTAACTCGCTGACACTGACCTTGCGTTCGGCTCGGAAACGTCAATGACGCTCTTTTGGGTCAAGCTGTCTTCAATGATTACATTTTACGAATTTTCAATTTATTTCATTGATTGTTTTAACGTAAAATCTGTCCCCCTAAGTATAAAACACATCTTTGACAATTTCTTAAAGCTTATTATGTTGAGTCATTACTTAAGACCAATTAAGACTAAAGATTGCGCACTAAACCAGCGTGTGTTCAGCGGTTGGCCTAGGCTGTTCTTTTATGCGACTCTTTGATAATTTAAAGTTAAATGTCTGCAGCCATCGGAAGACTGAGGCAACGAACTTGCTGCGATCATTAACTGCCAAGCAATGAACTAACGTTAATCATCTTTTTTCAATTGCAGAGCCAAGAATGAATACATGTATTGGTTCATTTAATGGTCATTTGCCTAAATATGCCAATTCAAAGGTCAACCCATAAAATATGACAACATCTGACATAGAAACCCAGGCTAAATGATTTCAGTCAGCTTCTGTTTGCAGCACCTGAGCCACAGTCAACGGCAAGTTAATGATTTAATGCGCAATTACTGACAGCTAACTGAGCAGCATAGCCCCCGCCTTGATTTTGTCACCACACGTGGGTGCATCGGGCGTATGCGGAATCTGGCCAATATACACCTGCTGGCCGCTTTACTGGCTGTTAGTGCCAGTTACTGGTAGACTGACGCCTGTTTGCGCTACTAACACACTCACACTTGCACAATAATGGAGCAAACAAAACGTGTAATTGGAAAACTAAAACTCTTCTCCGCTTAAATGTCACTTGGGCCATAAGATAAGATGCCTCAACTCAGACTGCCTCGTTAAATATTTGCAATGCAAATAGGCGATCGTGTTAACGTAATTGATTTTGTGTATTGTTCGATTGTCTTTTCATTTTGGTCACTTTTTGTATTGCACTTGTTTTCTTCTTTTTTTTTTGGGCACGAATGTCTTTCGTTTATTTATGCAATTGCAACTAATTTTAGTTACCATGGTGAACACTTTTAACTGCAACAGACGGCAGCTAGATTACGCTTAAGTATATAATTTATATATATATATGTATCCCGACAGATGGTGTTTGTGTGTATAATCCTTGTGTTCCGATCGTATCAAAATTCAATGGTCAATTGAATTTTTGATCGATGCCAAGCAGAAAAGTTGCCTCAACACTGGGCTAGCAACTAAAGCATCAAAAGTTGAAGATTCTCTACTTATATATACTCGGGGCGTTAAATAAACCGCTGCTGCGGCGGCGGCGGCTTCTGCTGCTGGTGCTGCCGCTGCTGCTGCTGCTGCTGCGGCGACAAAATCGACTTGGGCGACAGCTGTTAACATTCGCAGCGAGTGAAGATGCTGCCAACGAATACGCTGACGCAAACAACTGACCAACCGGTGCCACTTTCGGTTTCAGTCCCTCAGCAGCAGTCGACACATCAGCTGCGCCGGCGCAGTCATCGGCGACGCCGCAGCTTTTGCTGTTGGCTGCTCTTAATGTTAATGGCAGCGTTGTTGTTTTTGCGGTTTAACAGTCGCATAACATAAGTAAACTCACTAAAACAAAATAATCATATGATAATCATAAATACAAAATACGAAGAAAAAAAAAACACCAAAAAATGCTTTTATAGAGTAGTTGAGACAATGTCGCATTTAACGTCTTCTAAATTTGTTGCTCAGGTGTTGTTGCTATTGATATTTGCATTTAGCTACTTGATTTCAACAAATATATTAAGTTACTAGTGACTTCAGTAAAGCAAGCACTTGCCCATCTTCTTAAAAGTTGCCATACTTGTATTTGATTTGGTTTTTTTTTTTTTGATATTTATTATTATTTTATTTTTTTAATATTTTTGCGAGCAAACGAGTATTTTTTTGAGTAATATGAACGCCCCTGGATAATGTGCTCGGTGAGTGTTAAACATATTGTCGTGCTTAGTCTAATTGGTAAACGAGATTAACATTCGAGAGCTGGAAGATGTTGTAATTTTGGCAATCGCTTTCAAGGCTTCAATCGAAGCACATCGCGCAAGGCAAATAAGTATTTAGTGGCTGAAGTTGCAGATGAAATTAGCTGCAATAAAATAGTTGAACAACTGAATGCAATGCAGGCGTTGTCTCTAAGTGCAAACATGGCCAGTAAGATTACAGATGTTTGTTGCTAAGATTAGGCCTACATGCTGAACATGAAGATGAACCGGTTGAGCTGCCTCTGATGCGTGCTTTACTCGTCTCGCGGGTCAGTCGTGGAGTCCAACTTTGGAATTGAGCTCTGAATGTTAAGGTAGGCGCGCAGCAGACGCTGCTGCAGCCCCAATAACGAAATGACCTTTAAACGCAAAATGCGCTGTCAATACAAAAATAATAATAAAAACAAAAAGGAAAAAACACACACGCTCGACAATCGCCCGTACACATTTTGTTTTTATTGAAACAAAAAGATGCTGCAGCAACGGCTGCCAGATGTAGATGGAGATGCTGAGATGTGAGTGCCAGATATTCGAGTGCCGAGTGCCCGAGCCAATGCAAGTTGAAGCCTGAAGCTCGAAGCCGTTGGTGCATCATTTTTGCGCGTCCGCCCGGCTGACAGCAGCAACAGCAGCCAAACGAGTTTTCTCTCTCAGTTTAGACAAGCTGCAGCGCATTTGTTAATTTCTTCTTCTTCTTTTTTATTTTTAATAAGTTGCATTTATTAATTTGCGATGCCCAAAACACGATCAAGTCGTCACGCAAAGCCTTATCACCGTTTGATCCAATTTGGACAACAGCCCACGCAATAATCAACTTTTGGAACTTCAACTCATCGGTTTACGAGTTTTGCATGCTTCAAATATTTGTCTCTTATTTAGAAGATGTTTTAACGAGGTGCTAAACTGGCTCATAATCAGAGTTTGTAATCAAACGGCTTTGTACACAGCATCAATGTGTGCTTACACTCAGAAAATAATTTTTGTTAAAGTTTTAAGCACTCTTAATTGTTTGAATATTAAAAAAACTCTTTATTTATTTAAAATTAAAAATACAACTTGAATTACTGCTTAATGAAACTTACTTATGATAATACATATTAAGTAAACAGAATCACAATTTGTTGCCCCAAAAATGTTCTTCGAGTGTAGTTCTTTGTTCGAATTGTGTAATAAAAAAGGTGTTTGTATCAACAAACAAGTTGCTAACAAAGTGTGTTAGTAGTCATAATTACCTAGTACAAAGTGAGTGCTGTACAGTGGTACTATAAAATTCACTTATATTAAACATAATCGTAAAAACTTTTGCTTTAGGAAGTCACCCTTAAGAAGCTAATTGCTCAGATGGCCGCCAGCGCACACTTAGTTACTACTCCATCCGCCTATTAATTGTTCTTTTTATGAGAAACCTCCACCTGAGTAGAGTCAGATACCAAATACCAAAGACAACCGGCCAGATGCGATGCGATGCTGTTGGTGACGGCTAACAATTCGGGTCATAACTTGCTTTGCACGTCTGCTCTCAGAGGCAATGACACTTGTGGTCTGCTGACATTTCAGATAAGTCATTGTGACAAGTTTTATTACAGAAACAGAAAAACCATTTCATAGCAAGTATGAATGCCCAAAACTTTGTACAGGGAAGAAAAGTCAACAATTACAAATATATATATAGGCATATATTTATTTATTTATATTATTTTATTTCCATTTTTATTTTTTTGACAACTCATTAAGATTTGCAACAATGATGATGGACATAAACCAACTCTAGGTATTATCCAATAGCGATGTAAAAAATACAGACGGCCGAAGGACGTGTCAATGCCTCTCGTGCATAGTTACGGATTGTTGAACGGAGCTGACAAACCGTGTGCATAAAATTGATTAAAATTAATTAATAAACTGGCTTGTCAAATTAACGCACCCGATGTCCGTGACATGGGCCAGTGCCAGTGTGTGGATGTGGATGCCGCATTTAACCAAATTCTAGACATATTTTTTATCACTAGAATTGTGTGATCTATTCAGAAATTAGCAGCATACTAAATATCCGGTACCGTAGACATTGTTTTTGTTAAGAAGTTGTTCATCTTTTGTATTTAGTACGGAAATGATTTGTAACATTTATCAGAGCACATATCTAATTTAATGAAGAGTATATAAATACAAAAATGTCTAACGCTTTTATTAAATGCTTAATGCGATACATTAATCTTCTCTCTATTTAGGTGTCAATTGGAGGCAAGTAACAAATGTTTGACCAGCTATCTAATCACCGTAATTAAATACCCGCACGCACAAACCATTAAAATTATAATCAACGTTTTAATACATATTATATCTAGTCACAAAAAAAAATAAATAAAAAAAACAATAGCTGACAATAATAGGCCGAATATTTATAACATTCTATTCACAACCACATTTCCCACATATCTACATATTAGTAGAAACACATATATATTTGAATATATTATAATTTGGCGGATCTCGTGGAAGCCACATAGTATAATATAAATTTCCAGCCAAATGTCACATCAGTTGCGTCAGCATAAGAATACAACTTTTGGGCATATTCAATTGTGTATATGATTTATGCAAATTTATCCTTTATATACTAAATATGCTCGATCCCATCTACATACTAGTCAAGGCAGATCAAATTTGATTACTTGTCAAGCCGCTTTAGATTTATATATGTATATGTAAATAACCATATAGCAGACAACAGCCAGACCAGACCAACTAGTTCGGATGAGGTTTGAAATAAAAGTTGGCAACATTTTGTTTAAGGAAGTTCAAGTATACAACTATGTATTATGTTTTATAATGGAATATGGTAGCGTCTTCTCTTCTTTGTGAATTTATTAACAATTAAATCAACTGATTATCTTGGTTTTGATTTTCCTATTAAAAAAATATTGAAAGCTCAAAGAATACAAGTTTACAAGACGATTAACAACCATCAGAAATCTACTATTCAAACTTAATGTATTTAATATTTTAATATTCTATACTAGGTGTAGTTACAAAATCTCATCCAAATAATACAAAAACCTTGATCTTTAGATAATGGCAATGTTTAATTCCTGATGTTTGACATTTCATTATCATTCAAAAATTATATTTCTCCTATATTTATTTTGAATACCATATATATATATATATATATATTTATAACCTATTTCATTCAGACGCTTAAACAGCTAAAAATTATAAATTATAAATCGTTATTGGCTTTGATCGTATTGCTGGTTTATTTCTGCAATTTGCAGTCCAGTAAGTCCCGTTATTAATTCACAAACACGAAACAAATCGAAATGGAACAAGATTCTAATGATCGTATAATTGATGATAGTCGAAGTCGCTGCAGGTTTGTTAATAATTATTTACGCTGGCTACCAACTGTGCTTTTTGAGTGTAGTGTTATATTTCATGCCAATCTTATATTTATTAAGTAGCTGTGAAATTTCAGTTAAGCAAAGCCCGTAAGCCCTCGACGCAGTAAACAGCGAGCTTTTGCCAGTCCATATAGGTGGCCCAGAAACATGTTTCCCCCAAAAAATCCATTAATACGTCGCACCAAGGACACGGCAAGCCAACAACAACAATAAGCAACAACCAGTTTTGGAATGGCCAATTTATTGCCCCAATTGCAGGCCATTGGCATTGAAATCCTTGTGGATGTTATGCGGTGGATCTGGTGAATCTGCCCCGAGGGTCACGTTTTGGGATCGGGACGATGTTTATCGAATTCCACTGAAAAAACCTGTTGCTCAGAATCATTGTGGGAATTATGTAATATTACTTAAGCGAAAGTTTTTAATAAGATTTTCGCATAAATCAAGTGTTTATTATAATTAGCCAAAGTGTAAAAGGCTAAGAGCCGGCTATCAAGTGGTCATCGAGTTAATTATTTATTTAGCTTTTTATTTACCTCAAGAGCAAGCTCACGTCCAAAAAAAGACGGGAAGTGCTCCAGCTGAAACTGAAACCAAAAGTTGAATATGATTTGATTTATTGCAAAGCACGAGTGGTGGACTTCAGATCCAAAAACAACCCGATGGCTGGGCTTGAAAATTAGTCTAGTTGTGAGTGTGTGTTTGCTTAAAGAAGCAGATGCGATTTTCAGTGCAAATCAAGCTACAAATTGGAGCACTGTCGTTCACACGCGCCGACAAACATACAAGGCTGTTGAGTGAACTGTGACCTAAGTCAAAACAAAGGCAAATTAGAAATATTCATATAATGTATCTACATAATAAACACAAACATATACGTATCTATATCATTTTAAATTATATATGTATCTATAGTTGTTTGTTAGTTGTTAAATAGGAGATTCAACTGGCATCGAAATGCTGCCACTGCTTAACACATTCTACGCGTCTCGACCAAATAAAAATCGAAAATTCAAGAAATTAATTTAAAATAAACGTCAAACTGAACGAGTTATTTAATTTGAACACAAACTGGTTCGCCTCCTTGTACCTACATTTGTATGTATGTATATGAACATGTATAGCCCTTCATATAGATGTCTCTGTGCTGTAGACAGAAAGGCTCTGAATTCTATGCCCAACAATTTATAAGTTTCACATGCAAATTTTCAAGTTTTGAGCATACATATTGAGTTCGAATTTATTATCATTATTATTATCTATAATATGGATAACTACTGGTTTGGGACATATTCAAGTTTTTATTCAAGTTTGCCGACACTGGTAACAAACATTCCCGTATGAAATATTTGCCAACTAAAATTCAACTAATCAGAGTTCTTCCCCAATTTATATGGGGTATGCGACCAGCTAAGTGAAATTTCGCTTCCGTATAACTAGGCTGGCAATAAATTATCAAAGAATTCTATATTAAACTTCAGATCCTGCAATTGCAGCCAGACATTGGTTGTGTATCTTATTATTATTGGGGGGAAAGTGCACCGCGCCCTATTTGATCTAATGTGCCCCTTTCTGAACCTATAGCTCTTCCATCAGCCCCAGCTCCCGCACGAATGTGAGGCTCCTTGTTGGATTGAGGTCTTCTATGTCTCTGCAATTCAAAACATGCACCCCTAGAATGCTGCGTCTTCTTCTAGTTAAGGCGACACATTCTGCTAGGATGTGCATCGAGGATTCCTCCTCTCTTTCACAAAACCTGCACAGATCGCTAGTTTTAGTTTGGTGACTTCTTAGTCTACAGTGTCCTGTCAATAGACCGCTAAGTATCCTAAGGCTGTTCTTTCCCATGGCTATAACTTCTATCTTAACGAAAGGCAAATTAATTAGTTGCTGCCCCTCCCAGTCTGCGATGTAGGTGATTTTTATTGACTGAAGGTTAGGCAGACTAGTTTTCAGATCTTCTGTTTTGAAATCAATATAAAATATAATTTGGTTTTAGGCAAAGGCTGTGGCCAAAGCCAGATCGCATAGGTTTTGCAGCCGAAAGACACAAAAATGAGCGCTTAACTATTTATTAGCTTTAATTTGAATTTCGTATAATGCTGCGAACCAAACTTGTTGAGCCGCTTCTGCCAAAAGATGCTTCTACATATTTCACAAAAACAAATACGAAATAAAATAACACAGCGTTAGCAACAGCAACAAAATCAAGTTCACCTCGAGTGTATCAAATTTGTATAAAATTCATCAGTCAACAAATACGTCAGCTGGAAATATGTAGATGCTTGAAGCCACAAATCTTGTGTTATGCAAAACAGAGGAAGCACTGCGGTGGCCAAAGCCAACTTTAAAGATACAAAAATACACACTAAATGGCACGTACGAGTATGTTTCTCCATTTAAGTGTACCTGTTGAACTTATCGATTAGCGTATTTGTAGAAGCATTAATGATTTTCACTAATATTTCAGACATAAATCGGTCAGTAGTTTATGCATTCGATATGGCCATTTACTTTGGGCATGCTTTTCCCTCAAACGTACCACGAACATATATAAAATTATGATTATGTCTTTATACGCTTGTAGACAAAATGTTTAATGATTCTCTATTATTCGGTACGCTGGTAACCATAGCCTTATGCATTCATTAGTTTTTGGTTAGTAGTTTTGACTATAAAAGCAATAATGTTTTCAGTGATCAAGTCTGCATGCTTGCAGTTATCACGACTTCTGAATCAGGTTTTTAAGCTACTTATGTTTTTGAAGTTGTGGGCGTAATTATAATATATTGATTTACCGTTCTGTAGTATGTGTGCGTTATTAAAAAAAACCCCATTTTGCGACTATTGAAAAACAAAAAACCTGATCCAATTTAATTTAAAACATAAACATTCCAATTAATATAAGTTTTCAGGTTTATACTCGGAATATTGTGGATAGTATTACTACTACTATAATTAAATTTTATATACATATAGTTTATTTTGGTTTTAGTAGTAGTTGTAGTTTGTAGATTTTTATCGTTTGTATTTCGGAAGGTAATTTATGAATATCTTAATAACAAAGTGACATGAAATCACAAAGGATAAAGTTTTTGAATTAACAAAGATGGGTTTGCGGAGTCAAAAGCCTTATAAAAGTCTGTGTTAATTACTCTGTAATATTTACTTTGCATACTTTTCGACAGATTGACTGAACAATATTGGCTGCATACATTTAGGCTGACAATGTTTAAGTAATATTCTTGTCTACATGGAAATGGACATAAACAACATACTAATGAGCTTCGAAATAAAGACAACGAACTGTAACAATGCAGCTTTTTTTTAACTTTTTGCTATAATAAAACCAAAGGAACTTGTTTATAATTTACTAATTGTATCATTTATTTCATTAGATCGTTTTTTTTGTAATCGTTGTGCAGTTTACTTAACAGTTAAACGCAAATTCGTACACTTACTACACAGAATTATAGGACTATGTCAAACTAAAAGCGAATACATACATATATTCAAATTATTAACAGGCACACAGTTATATAAACTTAATAAACATACACAGACATACTTACGACTTGCTCGCACACATTCACAAATTTCTAATATAAATCTTAACTACTTGTCATCCAGCTGGAGGATGACATCTTTTAGTTGTGGCGGTTGAATGACAACAGAATTATGTATATAAAAAATGTACTTAGTTTGTAGGACTAAAGTATATTTACGATATAAACTAACGTTAGACATGATCTCTACATATATATACAGTTCAAAACTAGAAGATACACTTTGCATATGGGCATAGTTCGCGTAATTCGTAGCTTAAAGTTTAAAGGATCTGCTCTCAATCAAGTATACAGATTCAGATACATTTATTTTGGATGCAACAAGTCTTTTTGAATGTGAATGTTTCGTTCCCGTTTTGAGGCCTGGCCACGGTTAAAGCAGTTAACAAATGACAGCTTACAACTCCGTCGAGTATTCTTCGGGATTAATGTTGAACTTGCGCCAACAGATGTGGTCGCCAGCAGCGGCGGACGTAGGCGGAGGTAGCTTGTGATTGTTAACATTCACCACAGAGCTCGCCGAGCGCTTGATATGACTGTTGGGCGGCTGTGGAGCCGGCGCCGGCGCCAAGCATCCCGTCGAGCGGCCCAAAGGATTACGGGACATGGCATTGCCATTGATCTTGCCATTACCATAGGTAATGGACTCATTGGAAGGCGAGATCTCAATGCGTGTCGCATGACTGCCACTGCCGCCATCCGAAAGCCGCCGGATATAAACCACTTCGCGGTGCTTCTCCACCGTCGTCGGCCCCGGTGGCGGCCCTCGGGCCAATGTCTGTGGCTGCGCTGTTTGACGGGCACGCTGAGAGTATCTCAGCGGTTTCCCATCGCTGGCTTGGAATGGCACGTACTGCTGTGTACTGATGCCTGGGAACTTGTCCACACTGATGTCCTCCTCGATGGCCGAGTCACCGAACATGGAACCACTATAGTTGGGCGAACTGTTGCCCGGCGTGGAGGATTTCCAGTGCGTTTGTTGCGTCTGCTGCTGCAGCTGCTGCTGATGGGTAATTGTCTGGCCATTTGTGGCCAACTTCTGAGCCGTAGAGTACTGACCCTTCTTGATGGAATGCGTGTAATCTCGCGTACCACGGCGACGTAGTGTAAAATCACGTCGTCCTGTATCCTGGCAGACGGAACGCCATTGCTTCCAGGAGTGACGAGCCAGCGGATCGGCCGGACCCCATTCTTTTGCCGGCTTCGAGGCCTCACAGATCATGCCAAAGAAATTGTACTCCACCTGGCGGAAGATCTGTACACAGGCAATAATGAGAATCACTGCCAACGCGAAGAGGATTGGCGCCCAGCGCGGCAAGTAGCCCGCAAGGAGATCATACTGATCATCGTCGGCACACCACCAAACCAGTATGCCTGTGAGAATTGCCGGACAGCTGCACCACAGCCACATCCAGCCTCGGAAAATGGGCCTTCCTATGGAGAATTCCAAATCCGTGTAGATATTCTTGGCTCCATAGATCCACGTAATGGCAATCAGCTCGAATACTAGCGCCGTCACGATCAGAGTGCCCACAACTCGTGAGTCTAGGACACGCGCTATGAGGAACTTGGGCGCGGCAAAGGACATGACGGCAACCACCAGAGCAATCAGACAAATCACATAGTTGGGCCTGCGAGGAACAAGTCGAGTCGACGTATAGACGGCAACGGTGATGGAGACGAGCGCGGAGAGGATAATCAGCGCATAGATGAGCGAAGGAATAAGATGACGCAGTAGCTCACTCTCCGACTGGGCGCCGTACAAAACACGATCATAGATGGCAGTCAGTGGCTTTAGCTCATCCATCAGTTGATAGCTATTTGAGGAGAAATCAAACTGAACCATGAACAGCGTTACGGCGATGGCATTGATCAGCAGATTAAAGCATAGATAGACGACAGAGGTGCGCACGGCATCACCCTTGTACAGGAACTTCCCCGTCACCATTGGCATCGCACCGAAGCCGCAGTTAACCGAGAAGAGCACTTGTATGAGTGCATTAAACCAAATGTTGCTCTCGGCCAGCAGTGAGCTGTCGAACGCCCACAGTTCGGGAAAGTAGTGGCGGGAGAAGGAGTAGCGCACCTCCCAGCCAGTCAAGGCGCACAGCAGACCCAATGCTGCCAGGCCATAGACGAACAGACTACGCCGCAGAATCTTTCCATTGTGAGTGCTACAAATAGATTAAAGATTACAAACTATTTAGTAAATTGTGCTTTTCATACGTACCACAACATGACCACTATCCAAAGGCCAATTAAGCCAGCTGCCAGCAGGCCAAAATAGAGTGGATTGCGCCAAAACGGCGTCAGAAAGGTCTGCTGCAGGCACTCTTGTCCACTGTTGCCTGTCACTGTATAGCCGTGCTGCAAACATAATTAAATTAATTTACTCGTTTATGAAGATTAATCCAAGATATTTACCAAGTTAAGCTTCAGGTTGCCCACGCATTCGCGAAAGGGTATCCCATTGGAGACGAACATCCCTATATAGGCCAGTGCAAGCACGGCCTGCAGTGATATCCAGATTGCCGAAACCCACGAGGCAAAGCGACTTATTATGCTGGCTCCTGTAAAGAGTGCGAATTCAATAAATAAATATAAATACAATTTAATACAAAAATCTAATTTTTGGTCTTGAATTTTAGAATGTCTTCAAATCGTCTTTCAAAATTGATTTGCAGTATTAATCCAGATGCCAAACTATTACGACCAATGTATTACTTTTGAAAATCGGTCAAGTTTTCGCTATGCGAATTTCATGTTTAGACTTGGTTATAAATTGCATATTGATTTAAGCAGGTTAATGTGTTGGTGGCCATACACATAATTATAATTAAGAAAGTACCTGTAACAGTTCAAGGCAAATAACAAATATTAACCAAAACCAAAACGCATAAGTATAATAATATTAATGGTAAAAAAGGGCGATACAACTAGACATTCCAGCAGCACCCAGCAATATGTGTTGTATTTTACTGAGGTCTTTTTTCGAAGGTGTTGTGTCGTAATTTGCAGTTTTTCCTTTTTGCCATTATTAGTAATGTTGTTGCACTTTTCTTGAATATCTTTGGTTTTTCGTTTGTTTTGGTTTATACTTTTGTTCATTTAGAATTTGCCTTAAACGTCTCTATGGTTAGTTTTTGTGGACGCGCCCGAGTCAGCCTTTTCCGCAAGGCTTTGGGGGGCCGACTTGACCAGTTGCCTCCAGCACACAACTGCTACGGGAGACACAAAGGAGAGGGATAGACATCCCACACATTGGGGGTGCCTCTTCTCCTCTGTGAGAGCGATGTTGTTGTTGTTTGCTTCGTTGTAGTAGTTTGCTCCTGGAGTATGACGAAGAAGGGGTAAGCCCGCCCCGGTTTGGGACCCCCTCTCTTCACAGTCGAGCCAGCCCGATTAGATTGGGCCGGACCTTGGCGCGTCAGCGATTTCACGAACGGGACACACACACCAATGCAGTTTTTTGTAGTTTTAATGTTTTTTTTTGTTATTTTTTCAGAGATTTTTTTGTCGTCCTGATAACACACGATGATTTTATAACCTAGGTTCACATTTAAGTTGCATTTTTTTTAGTGTTTTTATGTTTGGTTTTTTAGTTTTTTTGTTTGCATTGGATATACTTTTTGGTCTGATAATTTTTTGTTTGTCTTTGATTTATCTTTGCGATTCGTGATTTCTTGTTTTAGATTTTTGTTGTATTCGTTTTTTTTATATAGTTGTGTTTTATATTTTGCATAATTCTTGCTTGATTTGCTTTGGATTTTTGCTTCAGAGAATGACGACGAAAGTTGGCCAGCGAGTGATATTGTTTTTCAATCGTAAATTTCTGCGTTGTAACCCAAAGTGGACACAATTTCTGAGTTTGCGGGTAATAGGAACGGGATGTGTCCAACCGTCTTTTACTGCTGGAATGCACGACCGCCCCAACCAACAGAGTATGCTATGCGCTATTTATGTTGCAACTAGCCGAATTGCAATTTGGGAATTCCAATGCGACGGAAGTGCAATCCTTGCAGACACTGCACAGCTTTTATTTAAAGCTTTGTCCTGCAAACTCGCTGCACTAAAACAGCTTTTGCTTCCCCAACACACAAATGCAGACAGAGAGGGTTGCTTGCTACCACCTGTTGCACACACACACAGACACACATAAACAATTTACAAGTGTTTGTTGTCGCTTACCTTTGAATATGGGCGAGGCTCGCCAAGTGTGCGCCGCCCCCTGGCCCAGAAACTGTCCCACAGATATCTCGAGTAGTATCATGGGCAGACCGACTAGAAACAGCAGCACCACATACGGCAACAGGTATGCCGAACCGTAGCGATCCAGTTCACGTGGGAAGCGCACCACATTCGCAAAGCTGACGTTCAAGCAAATGCACAGCACAAGGCCACGAAACACCGAGCATTTTGTCTGGTGGGAGAAAGAGTGATAAAGAAAGATAGATAAAGAGAGAGAGAGAGAGAGAGAGAGAGTACATTAGTCAAAAATTAGTATTGATAAAGACAGATGTCACACACGGTTGCCACATCCGCTGGCAATTGAAACACCCACATTACAACAGTCATTTCCGCCACTTCCGCTTTGCGACTTGTGTAACTTTGTGTCTATTTATTTACTTTCGGTTAACAATTTTGCTTGATGTTTATTTGTTTTATGGCTACTACCATTTCGCACAACTTCCCATTTGGGTTCTTATATTTATCTATCGCGTAATGAGCAGCAAAAGAAAGTATGGCCCATTACGAAGGTCTCCAAATGCTGACGCCTGAGAAATGTGCCGCATAAGCTCATTAGATGCGGAGCAAAAAACACTCAACAACAATAGCAGTAAATACTTTCAAAACCAAAAAGGCAAAGGAGAAAAAAAAACTTAACAGCTCAAAGCCAAAGCAAAAATCACAAAACACTAAATAAAAAATCGCTTGCCACTGGAACGCTTTTAAGTGAAATTCATTCAAGAGAGCGCAAACAGTCAAGCTCAGGACGGACAGACAGACTTGGCGCCCAAGAAAACGCAGTTAATAAAGCGAAAACCGCACAGTGAAAATGTAAACAAAAGCCAAACGCCAAACGCCCCAACCTCAAGCAAGCGTATATTTATTGGTGCGATTGGCAGTTATGGTTAATATTTAATATGCCTGTAATCATATAATACCATGTGCCATATGAAGCATACAACTGATACTACCATTAAACAAACCAAGCGTTAAGCAACTGTTAATTTTACACGATTTTCAGATTCAGTTTTGCATATGTGAATATCTGTTATCTTGGCACTTACTTTGCGATAATATCTGAAGGGCACATCCTCATGCACAACATACAGATAGTCGGCTAGATATTTTGTTGTTGGTATTTCCATCTTTGGACAGATTTTGTATTGCTTATACGTGCAGTAGAATTTGTCATTTTCTTGCATTTGTTATATTTTGCATATAATTTACGGAGATTTGCTTTTTAATTTCAATTTTATGAAATTTATTTCGATATCTATGAGAATCGAACATTAAATAAATAAACTACAATCGGTTTAAGCTTTTGTATTGTTTTATAACAAGTTGTGGTGGAATCTGTTGTTGTATTAAGCACTTATTCAATTAAGTTCACTTATGTTTAAGTTAAAAACTTTTGTTTATTTTTTCATGCAAATTTCAGAGTCAACTTTTTACATTTAAATTTTCGCCGTTTATTTCAGTGGAATATCGTATATGTCACAACAATAAAAAAAAAAACTAAGAAACAAAAAAGGCGCTGGCTTTAAGAAATAACAGAAAATACAGTAAATAAACACAATATGTATATAATATATATATTATATATTTATATATATATGTGGAACAAGTTATCACGTTTCGACGAGGACGCTTTAAATATTAATTGGCAACACCTTCAATGCTCAGCCCTGAACTGCTTATTGAATATCTTTTTTGAATTGCCAACGGCGACGTCAGCGTATCAGAGCCATCGACTCATATATCAACGATTTCTGGTGGTGCTGCTGCTGCTTTAACTTTAACTTGGCCAAAAGTAGTGATGCCGACGCGTGCTGGTTCCGTAAACGAAGACGGGCGGCAGAGACTGTCATTAGATATGGATGGAAAACATGAGCATGAGCAGACAAGCGCGACACACACGGCGTATGCGTAATGCTGCTGAAATGCAGCAATCGATCGGCAAATAAATTTCGCACTCGTATCCACTGTGGCAATTGTGAATTGGTTACGCGTTGCGAGCACCACTCGTCACCGGAGCAGCGTTCACATGCGACTGGGCCAACCGACACCCAAAACGAAATGTACATCGATCGATGGAAAATCGGAATGAGAAAACGAAACGAGTTTTTCATTAATAACTGAGCTAGCTATTTGATTTTCCTCTTGCGACCGGTAGAAATATATTCGAAATCGCAGACGCTTTTCATCGCGGCACTCACAAACTGGGATCTGTGCCTTGGGGCTTGCGGGGAAACAGAGAGACTCTGTGAGATTGGAGACTTGCAAGACTTCAAGACTGACACTGGGGGCGAACACACGAAGCGTGCGAGCGAGCTGAACTGAACTGCTCTCTCATTAATGCAGAACTGACTCCGGCTGGGCGGCCGCCAAGTCTCTAAAGCGTGTGGCTTTCTATGCACAGTCACTGCGCAAAGTTAGCGTCCCAGCGCCGACACCGAAGCCGAACCGACCAAAACCGAACAATGCGCTTGCACCGCATGTGCTTAAACAGTGTGCGCGAATAGTTAACTGCTGCCATATGGTACGCCTCACTGCTTCTTCTCCGAAGGCAGTTCTATGTATGCGTTAACTAACAACGAAATGTATTTGATACATTTTACCGCATCTTCTTGAGCACATTTTTATGTTTATATTTCTGTTATCTGTAGATACGGGTTCGTTTTTCACTCTTGGAACGCCCACAAGCTGCGACTGCGACTGCGACTGCGACTGTGATTTAAAATTAAATTGAAAATTCTGAGAGACGCTGTGACGTTTCCCATATCGTGAGCATAATTAACTCGTATGCTTTATTTGTGGGCAACGGGGCAGCAGAGCAGCATGAAGTGGGCTAGAATAATGTGAAGGCGAAGAAGAGAAAACCCGTCCATTAGTCTTTTGGTTTGGTTTTTGTTGCCACCACTGCGTCTACTTCACACAGTTAAATTAAATTTCATTTTAACACGTTCTAAGCAGCACAGTATAATTTCATAATATTATAATTATTATGTAAGCATGCGAGCGAAACTGGATCGCATCGAGAGACTCGAACTCAAACTCAAACTAAAACTCGAACTCGCACTGAACCCGATAGCAAGCCTTATTGTCTGGGCACATAATTAGCAACACTCACTGTGCTCCGCAATAACAACAATAAATGATTTCTGGCCAGCTCTGTTATGTGCGCGTTAATAGAAAATAAAAATATTATTTCTGACGCACACACGATCTCAAGTCGAATAACAACAACAAGAAACAACGATAATCACAACTAATGTGCTGGACATTTGGCATTACTCAGGCCTTTAATGTTAAGTTAAGCACGGAAATTCATATATACATCAATAGTTTATTGGCTCTCTGTTAACTGATCGAGGCACTGACCATAAGCGAATCTTGCAACGGAAATGTCGACCCATTGTACATTCGAAATATTGATGGATTGGCTTGAACACCGCTGAGAGCGTGACTTTCCCGAATTTTTTAAGTATATTTGATAAGCATTAATTGAGCTTCACTTGATGAACATAATACCCTGGATTTGAGAAATTAGTTTCAAGTTTCATACATATCGAGTACAAATCTGTGCTATAAAAATGTTTGCTTCATATATTTCAGATTACTACTTATATTTTTCTTAGATTATAAAATAAAGTCGCTGCAAGAATCGCATTCACAGGGTATTTTCTAGTTGCTCATTCTTTAATTCTGTACGCTGTCAGGTTTGCTTTTTTATTGAGGCAAATAGAATTCTTACTTTTTGCCTTGCGTTTAGCATTCATAATTGCTTTATTTTCATAAGCATTTTGGTGGCTGGTGTGCCTGGCATTTCAAATGGTCAAAGTGGCCGTTAAAATTTTTGCTTCATTTGAAAATAATATGAGGCCACAACGAGGCGGCAAAAGGGAAGAGCGCAACTCTTTCAGGCCAATTATAAACTGAGTGGAAGGCAGCTGAAAGTTGCCTATAAATATACCCATTCTTTAGTTTTTCAAAGTTTTCTATGTAGAATTAATTTCGAATGCGATTTCATATATGTAAGTTTAATTCCGCTTTCATTATGATAGTAGTTGTGGCCTATCAGTAGCAGATTTGTAGCTTTTCTCATTTACAACAATTATAATTTAATAGCGTCTGTCAATTGTTGAAGCTCGACACGAAATTGGAGTGTGAAAATGCGTTCACAATGCCACTGAAGCGGAGGCTGTTGCCACAAAAGGTGCCTGCAAATCTTTTGTCAACAGATTGAATAAGAGACGCATACAATTGTAAACGCGGACAATCGCATTGTTGGAGCACTTGTTACTCGGCTGGCGAATGTTGTAAAGTGTTGAAGTCTAGTGTAGTAAGGGGATGCATCTTGGGGGCACTGGAGCATTGCAGTTTGTCTGTCTGTTTGTCTGTCTGACTGACTGACTGTCTGACTGACCGTCTGACTGCCTTATTTGGGACAGAGGGCCTATTGTTTTTCGGTTGATGTCTCGTCTCTAATCATTGTGGCAAGTGAAAGGAATTGAAATCATGAAGCCATATAGCTGCCAAATCGCTAACTAGCCCACAGTGCTCCGTTACACCCAACCCGGTAGCGCAGTGTTGCGTTGCGCTGGTTGCCCAACTGTCGTCATCTTCGAGCTCTGGATTCTGTGAAACGCGCCCTCAAATGTGTATAACAATTCTTCTGGTCAAACACAGTGCCCACTATTGGCCACTTTCACTGCGCCAAGCTGCTTTCCACAAGTCTTGTTCGTTCATGCAATTCTAATAACCGCCAATTATCATATTGCTACCCACAATCACATTGAGTTGAGCCGGTTTTTTTTTCAATTTTATTTTAATACGATTCGCTTTAGTATTTATATCAATGCTCCAATGCAGCAAATGAAATGACGTCATCGCTTAAGCCAACAGACATACAATCAGTCAGTCAACCAGGCAGCGGGCGAATCTGTCCGTCATCATCTTTCCAATTGGGGCTGTGGCTCTTTTAACGCATTCAAAAACGTGCAACTTGCGTCGTCGAATTCGCACCGAAAGTCGATGCACATTTTTCGTTTTGTTGAACTTGTTAATCAGCGAATTGGAAACGAAAAGGCATAAGAGATGAAGTAACTGACACAAGTGTATGTATTCTGTCTGTGTGTGTGTTTCTGTTTGTATACACCCGCCTCACACACACACACACACATACATAGATAAATACACAAGCGACGGGGCGGCTGCTTGTTGTGGCAAGCAATATTGCAAATGAGTCCGCGTCCGAGTCTGGGACTATATACATTCAAATGCGCATACGAATAATTATTATATGATTGTGAATTTATGGCAAATATGCTCAGACGCTTCGCAATGCAGTATTTATTTTGAGTGCATGCTCGGAATGTATTCTATAATGCTTGTATTGGTAAACTTTTAAGATTTCTGCATACTGACATATGCATGTCTGTATGTGTACACAAAAGACTTAGGCAACAAACGCAGCTGCAACCCTGAGGTTATGCAGTGGTTTTTTGAATTGCTGCGTTACGATGACAAACTGTACAACATACTTTACGGCTTTTCTTTTTTAATTAGATACATAAATTCGAAGACAAAAATAACTGTTATAAGTGCTATTTAGCCTGTTTCAAAATTGTAATTTATTAGAAATACATTTGAATACTATTTTCTTATTATTTATTAAGGGAAAACACAAAATTAGTTTGTTGGTTTCAATATGTACTCATAAAGCGAACCATTTATAATTACAGATATTTACATTTTGTATAACAGTCAGAAGTTATCAGAGTGTATTTTTAGTTTAAGCAATCTAATTTCAAATTAAGGACACTCAAATTGAGAGAACTTAATTAAAACCAATTAGCAGCTTTTTGACACACATTCAATGTGCACTTAGCACTCATTTCAGCATACGAATTCATGAATGCAATTAACGCAAATTATAAAATGCCCCGCTAGACACTCACTCGAAAAGCAATTGGACGCCTCAGAGGCCAGTAGAAAAGTAATGAACGATGGCCAGTCTCAGAGTCGGTGTTAGTGTCCGAGTTCCAGCCCAACCCAACAGCCCGTGCCTCACTAACCCAAATAACGTTCCAACGGCATACTAACTAATGCCGAAACTAGTTTTTATGATGTTGTACAGACAACCCTATAAAGCAGGCGCATTAGGCCAACAGCAAATGAGCATTGGCAAAACAAAAAGTCAACCCGATTTCTGACAAACGAGTCCAAATTCATTGCAGATGTCAACAAAATGCTGTGCTATTTTTTCAGTTGTCAAGGCCCGCAGCAATCCACAGAAACTTTGAGAGGAACAAGTTTTTCTCCTCCGATCACTCGTAATCGACATCTTCGCACGACCAATAGCTCGACACGATAATAACAAACAAATAAGCACACACAAATAATATATAATAAGCGCGAAAATTAATGCATGAAAAAAACGCCGCTCACAGTGGGCAACATAAATCTACGGCCACGGAAGCTTACGATTAGATAAGCCGAAACAAAAGTGATTCATATCGCACGTAGCCCAACATCAAACTGATTATAGAGATCTTAGACGATCTTTGGCTCCCCGATTGATCGATTCGTCTACGAATCTTCTCCTCTGTTCCGGTCACGTATATTCCAAATTTTTTGCTCATTACTCAAACCGAGCAAAAATGTTGCACGTTGAGCAATTGATTCATTCATGAATAAGCTAAATACACCTCTGATAAGATACAATGAATGCGTGATTAGATAAAGCTATCAGATGAAATCTATTTTTTTGTGAACGTGAATATCTAATAAAATATATGTAAGAACCTAACAAATGAGCATTTAATAATATATTTGAACCTATTTGAATATTGTGTCTTACCTGTTGATTTGACTCATCTTCTGCGGCGGGCAGTAGCTTGGCATTGCTGGCCGTCGTAATGTTGTGCGCTGAATGCCCTGACGCCGAGGCAGAAACAGAGGAATAGTTCTTGGAGACGCCATCGTGCAGATGATCGTGCTCGTGGTAGCCCTGTATGTCTGTGAGGGTGTTGTTGCTTCCACTGAGCGTAATGATGCCGCTGGAGCTGATGCGTCCCGAGGTGGCTGTCGTGCGACCGCCACCACTGTCCACCACACTCGACACCGTCGAGATGCAGCTGCGTGTTGTCTGTGGCGAGGGTGTCACTCCGGGCAGTTCGGCGGCATCTGTTTTGGCACGTCGCATATTCAGCCAGGACATGCGCTGTGGCTGCCGGCGGTCCAGAGTTGCCGACGAATTGCTGACGACACCTCCTCCTGCTCCCCCTGGACCGCCAATGTAGACGCATGTGCGAGCTGAGGATGTATCGCTGCGTAGTCGCTGCTCCGCGTCGGGGCGTGGCAGTGTCGCCATGCCGCCGGATATTTGTTTATAGGTGAGCGTTGACGGGGGTTTGACACTTCTAGGCAGACTCAGCTGCTCGACGAGAGCCTCGTCGCTGGTGTGGCTCTTATAATTGTTGCTCATCGATCAGATCTGACAAAAACAATAGAGAGAAAGAGTGAGAGAGAGAAAAGAGGTGAGATTTTTGGCTGCTTATTAATGAGTTTATAAACCTAACCGGCTTTAATTCGCACGAAATCCACAACAAAAATCTGTTTCAACCTTTTTCAAAGGAAATGATTCATAGGTTAAGGTTTTTTTTTGTGTGGATTTCCTCTTAAACAACAATTTGCATGCGAATCGAATGCAAATTCGGCAGCGTTTGCAGAACAATAGGAGAAATACTATTAAACGACTGCATATTATCGAAAGTAAAAGAAAGTGAAAGGCACAATTCTGGGCACATCCCAACAATGGACAAAATTTGTTGTGTTATGTGTGATTATGACACTATTACTATGCCGGACTTTCATTGAGTTCTGTTTTTATTATACAACACAATAATATGTGGCAATAACTTCTCGAGCATTTTGCAAAATTTCACTGAACTAAATTCAGCTGTGTTTTAATTTACGTTTATCTCTGACGGGCGGTGAAAATATTGTCACAGACAGAAATACAGAAAGCAAATGAAAATAAAATAAAAAACTCGCAAACAATGTCGTAAAAACAGCTGTTTCAATACAAAACTGACACAAAGAACTTGGCTCAAGTTTCGAATATGTAATTTATATAAAACTGAAAGTATTTGTGCAAGACTTAGCTCGTTAAAATCATAGGGAAAAGTAGAATCATATAAACACATTAGGTTTAAGGCTTAAGCTAAAATATATGTGAAACAATTTTGTCAATGCTTTTAAGGTTTGCTAAAAGTGATTCGCTTTCCATATCAAAGACGTCATCTGTTTATATTTTTAGCGGCCTACCGTTGAGGGTTAATATCAACTTTGCATATAAATAATAAATGCAATTAATACGCATGTTTAAACAGCTTATACAAAATATAAATAAAGTCAAGAGCGTCATTGAATAACATTAGCGTGGCAACAATTTCGATGCGAGTGACTCAAATGATCGACTATCGTCTATCGAGAAAGGTTAAACAAGAGTTGTGTCATTATATTAATGACTGTGTTTTTGTTTGTTTTGCTTTTGTTGTTGCTCTTGGCAAACAAAAGGCAAGCATCTTATCGTCACGATGGCATACATTTTATCTTGCCACGATACTGGAAACAAGCACAGACAGGCACACAAACGCACAAACACACACACAGACTTACAAAGACAAAAAAAAACACAAACTAAATATTTATCAGCTCTTATCACAATCACTTGGAATGCACATTTTACAAAATAATTATGCATGCTTGCACAAATCAATGAGCTCAGCTCGAAAAGTTTATAGTCAAAACAACAGCAACGAGAGCAACAACAAAAACAACGGTCAACAGCATTTATCACGAGTTCGTTGCCACTGCTGACCACGAAACAGGCCAACAACAGCAACACCCACTTTGAATACGTATCTCAATCTTGAAAGCGTTTAATACAAATTTTAAGACTGCAATTGCCAGTTCAAAAAATGAAAAGAAAACAACACCAACAACCACACGATATATGTACATATGTATATGCAAACTTCACGTCATTTGTGCAAAATGTTTACGAGCTGAAGTCGGCACTCTTAACGCAAATTAAGGCACCAAAACGACGTCGCGTCGGTTACGGCTCTTTATTATTGAAAATGTTTATTTTTTCTTCTTTTTTTTTTTTTGCAGAAAGAAACGCGGCGCCGGCCAAAGCAACGATACAGATACAGATATAGGTATAGGTATAGGTATAGGTATAGAAACTGATATGAGTGCATATACCCAAACAGAAAAGCAACAGACAGACAGATACTTAAGTATATACTTCAGTTGAAGGGCCAGAATCGCTGGACCGTTGGCACTTGGGCAACTCAGTGTGTGGAACGGAATCGGAGACGAAGACGCATCCAGAGGTGGTGGCAACGAAATGTGGAATAAGGCGACACAGTGTTTGTGCCTGGAGTCAGGTTTGTAACTACTGCATCAAGTTGCAGGTTATTAACAGGTACGTAAAAATGCAGCATATACGTCATTACGAGCCAAAACCTAATTCTGACAACAGCCATTCTTTCGGTTGCTTTTCTTTGTGCACTCAAATTGAACGTCGACAGCTATAACAACTAATTCTACAAGAAAAAACGAAGTTTGACAATGTTGCTGCATTGTTGTAGACTCCTCGGCATGATAAAGGTTCTGACATGCCAGCACCACCTTTTACAGCAGCAGCAATAGCACCACCGCCACCACCAACGCCAACAGTCGCTAAGTCAGCGGCGCGTAACCACAACAAACTCGAACTCAAAACTCGGACCCGCATTCGAACTGGGCCCAAAGTCTGGAACTGAAAACTGTTGCCACTGCCAAGTTGAACGAACATTAACATGCCATTTAGCCCAAACTGCACTTGAGCTTGCCGGCAAAATTAAAGTGTTTTTTTTTTTGTTTGTTTGTTGCTTTGGTAATAAACCGAACCGAACTTTTTGCCCAACATTTAAATAGTTCTAGGAAAGATAGACAGGTGCCATAAAAAGCCAGAACTCATAGCATACAAACTCGATTAAAGTGTGTTTGGAAATATACAAAAAACTAGTAGTAGTCAATAGAATCACAGTATAATTAAGATTTCATGATATGCATTTTAATTTTCAAAAATTATATGCAAAATCAAGTTATCGAGTGATTCTTTTTAAATTAAAGAGAATATATGTTTTAGTCAGACCACCGAAACACAACTTAAAATAGTTTCCGACTGCCATTTGAACATGTGCGATCTCTGGCCAGCTGCCTGAACATATGCAGGAAGTAGCTCCATTAAAATGGCTTGACCTTTTAATAGAGCGAAAGTCCCACATTAAAGCATCATTAAGAGATTCTCGGGTGAGTGCCTGAACCTGAACTTATTCAACAAATGTCACAATGATGGAGCGTACACAATGTAAAAAAAAACCCCAAATGCGAGCTCAGTAAGTACATTTGAAATTCTAGCAGCAGTGTGTAATTAATGCCCGATTGTGTGACTAATTTCAAGATGCATTCGTTAAGCCACAGGCGCAGCAAATTTTAGCAATTTTTGTTTCGATTTGGAATAGTTTCTTATCCAAGTAAGTCCCGCCTAGAAATGAACAGCCAAAGTCAGCAGGCGCTCAAGCTGCCGGATAACTAAGTATATGTGTGTGTGTGTGTGTCTTAGCATCTGTATTTAGTTTTAATAATTGAAAGTCGTCGCTTGAAAAGAAAGGAAAGTAAAACTAGATGTGATTGTTTGTTCGTTTGTTTGTTTGTTTCTTCTTGCCGTTGTTTGTTGTTGATTTTACTGCTAAGCTGCGCCACGAACGAAAGTAAAAACAACAAATAGAAACAAGTTCAGCATAATGGTGCATAATACGAGTATGACTGTGCGTGGACTATGCGACCCAACTGGCACCTGCCAATCCACCAGATACATCAGCAACAAATGCAGGTGACTTGTCATTTCACAGTCGGCTTGACACACTTTTTGCTTTTGCTGCTGCTTCTGCTACTGCAGATGTTGCTGCTGCTGCTACTTTATAGATGCAAAAACAACCGATCGACCAGTTAGTTGATTATGTAAAATACTATGGTTAAGTCTGAAGACTAACGATGCCGTCTGTGCACTTGTAAACAAGACATGGGTAAAAGTATTTCTGTGTGTGTGAGTGTGTGTGTTTTGTATCGCGCTGATTGCTTTTTATTGATTGTTCAATCGAATGTAATTAAATGGGGGGCCAGTGGTGCAAATCTGTACACGACACGCCCCACAACAAGACGACAATAGCAACAAAAGACTCAACGCTTCAATGATTTCATTCCATTCCATTCATATACAAAACAAATTTTTCACATTTAGCAAGATATTTCTCAAATTGGCCCAGTGGCTTTATTTCACAACAACGGAGAGTTCCATCTTCATATCAAGCAACCGAAGCGAACACGTCGCGCAATTAAACCAAATTTAAATTGCATTTAGCACTTCGCCGTAATAAAGATCAAGGCAGATTATACAGCAACAACAAGCATTGCAAATTGAAGACATTCACATTTTTCTGGTTTTAATTGTACCTGATTTGCGTATATATCCAACGAAATATTTAACACTTTATAACTGTGTTAATAAAGTGCCCCATTCAAGCGCGAAACAGAATACAATTTGTACGTCTCTTACTCTCTGTCCTGTTGTTCATTTGTCAGTGGGTCAAGAGCATTAAGTTAAGCATTATTTCTGCACTTGGCAATTCAATCATTATGTGCAAACCGCAAGCCTAAACCTAAACAGCCTGAAGTTGAAGTTGAAGCTTGTCTAGTTATGATCGTAGTTAAAGTACCTACCAATGATTTGCATAAATATTTACTTCGTGCCGCCCTTGTTGCGTTTTAATTGCAGTCTTCCAGGCACACACTCAGACTCCGACTCACACCTGGCAATCATAATCTATGCAAACAATGCAAATCTCAAATCTCGCATCTGAGTTAAACGACAGCGCCTTTGACTTTGCTGTCTATCCATTTAACAAAAAGCATTCACACAATGGCAATTATCGAAATCATTAGCCACAAAAATGACCCCCTGCCCCATTCAAAACACCACAAATTGAACAAACAACGAACTCAAAGTCAATAGAATTGTGAAAAAAAAACAGCTAACAAGCACACGCGAGGCCAAAAAAAAGGCGTAGTAAAAGCAATTATTTATAGAAAACCGGCTGATAAAGAATAAAAAAATACACCTAAATAAAGCAAGTGTTCTGATGGAATCTTCTGTTAGTTATGTCATCATAAATTTAGTTACCATTTGAATAAATTGCAATTTATGCACAGTGTAATTTATTAATGAATAAATATTCACACATACATACACACACACTATTTATGTAGGTAATAAATCATAGATTGCACACTTCTGGTTTCAATAATATTCGGTGACTCCAGCTCTAACTGTAAAACGTAACACTGCACACAAAAAACTGGTAAGTGAAGCCGCGGTGCTCCATAAAACTCATCCGACAGACAACATTAAATGGGGTCTTTGGAAATGACGTCGCCTCATTTGCATTCAGGTTCTCCTCTGACGTTCATTCATGCACATTAAAACACCGCACTCGATGTCCGAAAATCAATTTCAATTCAATTGCGAAAAATTCCTGGAAATTACGTCGCAGCCGTTAATGTGTGTATGGTTTTTTTTTCGGGCTTTTCTGATATTCTCAGCAATTTCGATTCCCACTGAAATCGTATACGAAACATTCAAAACAAAACAATGCCCCGTCCAGGGTCTGGAGGAAAAAGACGCGACAACGACGAAAGATACGGAAAGACTGAAGCGAACTTAACTCACCTGAGCTCAGAGCTGAGCTACCTGTCAGGTAGTTAATGTGCATGTGTATGCGGTTGTGTGTGTGTGAGTGGTGTGTGGACATTGAGTGAGCAGAGCGGGCGTTCGTGTACATGAACCGTTTTACAACCTGATACGCCGCTGCAACACGTGTAACCGGCACACAGTATCTGTCTGCTACACAAGTGCTCAAGTATCTGATCTGGCGACTAGTAGCTGCGTTAATATCAGCGAAACATGCAAACTCTGTGCCAGCAAATATCCTCACACATCAAAATTAATGCTCGAACAAGCTACACACTAATATACAAATAAATACATACAATACATACATACATATATAGATGCGTACATCTGTATTTCATTGAGTAGAAAACCTTCAAATTGTGCGTTTCGGGTTTTTTTTTGTTGTTGTTGAATTTCTTCTTTTTTTCTTGGTTCCTGTCTGTTCCCAAAAGAAGCCGCACAAGCAAGAACGCAGAACAAAGTGCGCATAAACAGGAAATTAATCACTCGAGTGTGTATAATGCCGATACCTTTTCACATACATATATACAGATATTTAGATATATATTTGTACTTATTACTCTTTACCTGAACCGAGAAACTCAAGCCCCGGGGCTGGTTGGGCTAAGGTTGGAAGGTAAACAAAATGAAACAAACCGAAGCGTAGATACTTCATTAAGGTTTCGGGCAGAGAGAGAGATAAATTTACTTATAGCTGGCGAAATTTTCAAGGTCGCCGCACAAACGTTTTACAACTTCATTCGGTTCACGTTTCCACGTTTCACGTCGACGACAATGTGTAATTGAATTCCGTTTATTTTGACTTTTCGATTTTTCACACACAACAAACAACACACAATGCAAATGGGCAGGTAAGCAGCAGCCGCAGGTAATACTAATGAGTTCCTAGTTGGCGTTATAAATATTTTATGATGATTCAATGCGGCGAATTGCGATTATGTTTCGTTGGGATAAAGATTCTTTAAAGATGCTGTTGATGCTACTGCTGCTGATGCTGTTAGAGTTAACCGAGACGAGTTACTGGTTTCCTGCTCATTTCTAATTTTAAACCGACAACTCAACAATTATTATTGTTAATAATAATTCAAGCAGCACTAACATAGAACATTTGCCATAATTGATGACGATACCACTCAAACAATACATTTTTAATGCCCCAATAACATGCGAGTGTTTAGCAGTTTTTATTTGAAATCTTGCGTCTTTCGGAAATTCATCTTGCACGAATTTTTGCGTTAAAACACCCCAGTTTCATGCTTCCGCATAAAAATAATTATAGGATGTATATTAATCAAATAGGAAACTTTGACTTATTATTAATAAGTGACCCTCCTACAGCAATACATCTATGCGTGCCAAAACCACACAAATCCAGCTAACATGTTTTGGCTAACATATAAGAAATAGTCGTAGCAAGCTGGTCTACATATACATATGTATATATAATGTGAGACACGAGTCCGTCTTCCCATTCCACTCGCCGCTCGATCAGCTGCACGTTTTGCTGGCTGAAAAGAGACCAAACCAGCAGAAGCTGAAGCTGAAGCTGAAGTCGTGTCTGCTCCTCAGTTCTGCCGCCTGTCAGTTACCAAATTGAGTGCAACGCCATTTTCCGCAACATGCTTTAGTTTATTTCTTTTTTGTTGTTTTGTTTTGTTGCTTCTTGCCTTTTTGGCCACTTTCTAGCACAAGTCTAGCCATGGCAAAGAACTTCAGCTCCATGTTGTTGTTTATGTGTAAAGAGAGCCCAGAGGCCCAGAAGCGGCAAATTGCACCACTTTCAGGACGATCTGGTGTGTGCGAGTTGTGCAGCCAAAGAGGGGCATCATTATCATCATTACAACGACCATTATTTGCTGCAGTGTACCTTACCTTACCTTACTGACACCATAAACGGTCGCAAACAACTATTGCCTACAATCTGCCGAGTTACTTTCAGGCTAGTTTTGGCTTTCGGTTTAGGCATTAACACCCAACAGTTGCTACAGCCAGCCAGCCTGCCAGCCAGCCAGCCCTTCAGCACTAGCTACTTTTAATGGTCTTTGATTAATGCACTTGGTGCTGTTGTTTGACTAGTATTAGTTGTTGTCGTTGCTGCTGTTGTTGTTCACATGGCTTGAGAACACAACAATAAGATTCACTGCCCCAGACGCTGGGTGTATTATGTAGTGTCTATGCATATGCATACATATGTATATATATTTAGTTAGTTAGCACTTGCCGTAACTTTTCTCGCTTGCTTTTTAATTATATTTTTTTTTACTTTTTGTGACTCTTTGGAGGTGACTTCATTTTCTCAGCAGCTGTGACATGCAACCCGCTTAATTTCTATTATCGTATAACGCCATTGTTTTGAACAATGTGCACTCAGTGCACATTTCCACTGCATAATAAACTATACAAACAAACCATATTATACTCGTCTTTTTGTCCATATATGGCACACTTTGCACTGCATATGTTTTTAGGGGGTTTTTTTTTCTGATTACCAAATCCGAAAAATGTAAAAAAATACGTTAAGGCGTCACGTATGTACCATGTGCACTCAAATGCCAACTATTACTAAAAAAAAACTGCTGCCACCTGAAAATACACACACAATTTGGAGGTGCTCAGCGATTAGAGTAATCCAAGAACTTTCGTGGCTTTTAAGCTGACCAAAGCAAAACGATAACTAAACAACTCTTTTTAATTAGTCTAGTCGGTAAAAAAAAGAAAAACAACTACAAAAAACTGTATTTCAAATAGCGGTCACTAGCTTTCATATGCTGCAAAAGCTGTTGCGGCCCACTGCAGCTAGTAGTAAATGGGAATAGCAGACAAGTTGCAATGCCAAATGCAAAAAAGAAAAAAGAAAGAAAGAAAACGAAACGAGAACTAGTAAGAAAAGTTATTTATACAATTCGGAACACAAATTCTAAAGGCAAAACTTAAATTACTCAACTCAGGCGCAGTTCTCTCTGATCTCTCTCTCTCTCTCTCTCTCTCTCTCTCTCTCTCTCTCTCTCTCTCAAGCCTTACAAGCGCTAAGCCATAGTTAAGCAGCTCTGTAAGCAAGTGTATACAAAAATAAACTGCCACATTTTGCTGGCGGGGCTAACCTCAAGTAAACTTCAATACCCAGTTCTTTGGCTCAGCAATTGCCATAAAGTACACAACACAAAGGCTGAAAGAAAAGTGTCTGAAGAGCGAGCTCATGACTCAGTTCAAGCCCACGAAGAGCACTAATGGCCCTCAGAAGCTCCCAGCTAGCTAACAGTTGCCAGTTACCAACTCGCGTTCGTCTATTCTGAACAATGCAATATCTGAAATAGCGGCACACTGCATATATATCTATGTCTATATGTATATATTACGATAAGCAGACTAGCGAGAATTCACAGCGGATATTGCACAGTTTTAAAGCATTTCCCTTGTGGTCATAATATATATTTATATGATTGGGTATGAAAACAAAAGTAAATATTTTCAAGTCATATACTTTTGTCAACAATACTCAACAATAAATAAATGTAAGCAATCCTCAATTTGACACGATTAATAGAACGAACGTTAAAATTGAAATTGTTTTAAAAAATTGTTATCAGCTACTGAGAAAATTGCGATTTTTAACTGTCAATAAACAAAATTTAGTTTTGTTATGTAACAAAAATTAAAAAGGATTAATTATATTAATATATTTTGTATATTACAATGTTTTCTATAGATCATCTCAACATTTTCAAAAGCTTTTTGCCAGATCGTATTCACTTCGCTTAAACAAATAATGTAAATCATTGAAGAGTTTTGTATTTCAATTACCCAGTTTATTACACAATATATGTATGTATTTCATTATATCACGGAATCTCTTTCGAGTCTACTTTTTCATCATTATTTCAGCGCAATGCATTTTATTGACACCTAACCTTAAAGCTTTTAATTTGAAAATTTATTTTACACACACACACAGACACACAGTTTATTGAAGTTCTTTTATTTTTGTTACGTGGTAAGCAACTAATTAATGTTTATTGACCCGCAGGCGCGTAGCGGAAGTCAAAAAATGCATTTTCAACGGCAACATTGAACTTGGTTTTTGTTGTTGTTGTTGTTCGGCCAATCGCTAACTTGGACTTGGCAGCCCGCGGCTTATCAAGGTGGCCAGCTTTTAGCAAAAAAAACGTATGTATTGCTTAAAATACAGCTAAGGCAATAACAACAAAAACTGATGACCGCCAGAACAAACGAAGCTCAAAGAGCAGCGCAGACGGATAGAAAGAAGGAAAGGAAATACTACGTAGCTGCCGTTGTTGTTGTTGTTATTGTTGGTGTTGTTGCTGCCTACGTGCATTTGTATGCAAAGGAAAATATAAAAGAACATGAACAGGGAGCAGGCACACATACACACACACACAGACACAAAGAGCGTGTGCATAAAAAATGCAAAAGCAACAACAACAAAAACTTGTCGAACTGGTCGCTTACTTTATACTTTGTGTGCTGGGTACTCGGAGAAGAGGCAAAACGGTTACCTTTTAAACGCAAAGGATCGCAAGCTGTAGGAGGGACGCGTGCGGGTGCTAGGGGAGGCCTTTAGAACACCAGGCCAGGCACAGACAGTCAGACAATAAGTATATGCACCCGGTTTGCTTGCCAATTTATTTGCGATCGTTGCGGCTTTTTGAATTAGCTTTAGCATATCACACACTCACACACACAAATACTACTCACACACGCAAGCGCAGCGAGCGTCGACACAAGAGTTTCAAATATAAAAAGCGAAAATAAGCTCAGCGCGCACAAACGAAACATCCGCACGAAACGAAGCGCGCAAATTGACTGAGCGGAGAAAAAGCTGGTCTCCGAGCAGACAGCAAAATGAAATTCATTTTGATCTCTCTCACAGACAAACACTCTCTTTTTATCTCGCTCCCTCTCTCTCTCTCTTTCGCTCGTAACTTTCAGAGAGAGTCAGCTGTTTAAATAATGTGCGCGTATATTTTTTGTCATAAAAAAAAACAAACATCGCTCTAAAAACTATTGCACTTAAATGTAAATCGCTACTGAATTGAAGTAGAAGATTAGCACTCAGTGAGAGCGCGCAATGTCCGAGAAGAAGGCGAGAATGTCCTGAATGTTGAACTCGAGATTGATCATGGCGCCCGCATAGCATTTCTGTATACGTTCCTCGAGATAATTGTACTGGGCTATGAACTCCTCCTGCATGGCATGCCACACCACCTGCAACAGATTCTCCTCTTCGCACAGATGCTTATCGACTTTCTTGTACAGGTTCTCCAGACCCTTCTTCACCTCACGCGCCGGATACTGGCTAATCACTTTGCGCAGCTCCTGCTTCGAGAAGGCCATTTGGTAGCTAATCTCTGTCTCTTTAACGCCCTGCGCCACTTTCAGTTGGACGCCTTCAAAGAATTGCTGGAAAAGGAAAGGCAAACATTAATAGTCATGCTGTGTATCCTCAATGTGCGAAAGGATTACATTTAGCTTCTCCAGTGGACGTCCAAAGTACTGTGTGACATATGCCTTTAGGGCATCAATGTAGCGACTCTTCGCCTCCTTCTTGAGCGCATCAAGGCCGGGCACCTTGAGCTGTGCGAGCAGTGCATACATATGATGATAGTTCTCCATGCGCACCACCTGCGACGGCGTCTTTGGATGCTCCTGCGCATGCATGCTGATGCCCTCGAATATGGCATTTACCAGCTGCAAATACCACTTTTCCATGTCGGTGCGTCGATCCGAATTCCGGAATATGCCCTCCGCCGTCTGTGCAAAATTCTCAAAGTTCTCCACATACGGCAGGATAGCCTTTGAACGCTTGTGTAGCTTTGCCTCCTTGATGGACTGCAGCTGCTGTTGCATAAAGCGATCAAAATTACGCTTCACATGCACCAAGGCGGAGGCAAAAGTCATGCTGAGAAAGGAATGTGTGTCCTGGGCGGACATGACGTGCTGCGTCAAACGCACCAGCACATAAAGCGAATAACTAAATGATGAGGAGCACAAGATTAGCAAGATTCGCTGACATATTTGAGAAGCGTTGCTTACAAACTATCCACACGCTCAAAGCTTTGGATAAAGCTAACCAGCTCGGGCTCCAGGCAATCAAAGAGTCCCATCATCAGCTTACGCACATCCTCATTGATCTGGCGATCAATGCGCTTTTGAGGCACGCCAGCAGCACCACCACCTTTTGAACTGGCACTGGTCGGAGAGATTGTTGAGGAGTTAAAGGACTGCGTCATCTCCATACCCTTATCCTTATCCTTATCCATATCCAGCGTTGTTTGTGTGTTCTTCGTTGTCGGACTTATCACATCCATTTGAAAGAAGTTGATGCAGAACAACTGCTCCTGTAGGGCAATCGGTTCCAGTTCGGCCAACACTTTTTCCAGCAGCGCATCAAAACGCACACGATCCGCACTGTCCACGCCAGGACCCCATTGCTCACGATTAATGCCCAGCGTGCCATACGGAATTGTGGAGACAGCCGATTTCCGTGACGAACTGGACATATCGAGGTCTTCCCGGGAACTTTGTAGCTTTTCCGAAACCTGCATTTTCGCCTAAAACGCAACGTTTTCATTTCGTAATATTGAAAGCCTATTTGAGAGTTAAAGCCCTCTTACCAGATTAAAAAACGATTTCACATCCTGCACGTAGATCTTTTTCAAGGAATGCGTATAGACGTTCATTAGGCCATCGTAGGTCTTGCGATCCATGGCTTTAGTCCAGTGCATCAGTTCCGTATACGGTGCCAGTTCCCTGTGCACCGTTGAGTGATTGGGCAGTGACAAATCGGTGCTGGTCTTCGACTCGTTGCCCAGATGAATAAATAGGTTATTCATGAACCGACTCACAATGGCCGAAAACTTTTGTTTCCATTTCTCGAAACGCTTGCGCTGATCCTGCACGGCTTCCAGGCGTAACAGCGCTGGATCAATGTCACTGTTCATTGCCTGTTGCAGGCACTGAGCTGCCGCAATTGCCGCCTTGAGGCCGGCCGGTGTCTTTAGATCGGGATCATCCAGTGCCTGCTGCTGGCTGTGCGGCAAGTCCAGTTGGCTCTAAAAGATGTAGGATTGGAATATTGAGATTAATCATAAGCAAGGTTCTAGATTTATGGTACACACAATAACTTTGTTGAGTTCTTTCATCAATTTGATGTTGTTGTTGTTGGCAATTTCAATCATAGCATTCTTGCCGCCAATCTTCTCCATGGTCTCCTTGACATGCCCCAATATATCCTCATAGGTATCCAGACGCGTTTCAAACTTATCTGCCTCGGTTATAGCACTATCAATGTGCTCCATCATCTTAAGCACCTTTTGCTCCGATGCCAAAACACTTTGCATATTGGCCTGTGAAAATAGGGATACGAATTAGATTGGATATGATTTGGTAACTATAGTTCTCTCTTACGCCATCCAAATCGTGCAGCTCCCTTGAGAGTTGTTCGATGAATTGCTCCGCATCCTTGATGGCAAAGTCGCATTCCGAGAATAGTTTGCCCAACTCATTGGCCTCCTTATCGGTTAGCGCTGTAAACTCTTGTGCCTCCTCCTCGTCCTCCTCATCGTCAGTGTTCGCTGGCTTCTGGGCCACACTTCCTGTTCCCGCACGCCCAGCTGCAATTTTCTCCGGCGATTTCTCGGACAGCCAAGCGCTGGGAACATTCCGGAACTCGGCACGCGGTCCACGCACAAATTTTTGTATTTGCCGATTGAGCACCGCCAGGAAATTCTGACGCTCATGCAAATTCAGGGCGTACCATTTGTAAAGCTTCTCCAATTGGATATCAAATTCGTGCGTCTCGAATTGCTCGTTGCGTCCATCGATCCATTTGATCTCGTCCAGCAGCCAGCTACGCTTGCGCTTATACTCGCTCTCCCGCTGCTCCGACTGCTTCACCAGGCACACGGAGACAACGGGAACTGGGGGCGCTGTCGTCACCACGCAGAGGTAACAGGCTCGTTTGTCTTTCTTTTTGAAGGTCTTCGTCACCGTCACCACGGAGAGCAGCCGTTCGCCGCTTGTCGAGACGTTAAAGAGCTCCTTTTGCAGTATATGCTTGATGTTGGCCAAAGTGCCAATGGTCAGCATGACTAAAGAATGTTGGCAGTTGCCTTATCTACAAGTGCAATAGTAATTTAATTGTTTCCAAATTGAAGAACGCCTCCGCCAAGAACAGCTGTTCGCTGAGCCACCGCTTGCACTAACGCGGCCAACTTCACGCGAGTCACAAATTGCGCGTAACCAACATAACTATGTGCGATATTTAGTATTTTTGCGCCCTTAGCAGACTGTCACACTGGTCGATACATAGGTAACAATTGGTGAGTAAGTTTGTAACGCAAGAAAAATATCGAAAATATAAAAACACAATTTTGCGCTTTACTGCAACTTTTTAGCAAACATGTTGGTTAAACATATTGTCAAGCAGGGTCTGCTGTTCAGAAATGGTAAGTGAGAGTATTGTAACACTGATTTTTAACTGAATTCGATAACCTTAAAAATTACATAATGTGCCCAGTGTTTTTGGTGCTCCTGCGTAATGGAACTAGAATTTATTGATTATACATTAATTATGCTTATGCATCGTTTTTGCAGCTGGTGCCATGTCGCGTGCCGCTTACCATAGCGGTGGACACCACCATCATTCCACCATGAACGACTTGCCCGTGCCAGCCGGTGACTGGAAGGAGCAGTACTCTCGCAACAACTCCAAATACAATGCCGCCCTCATCACCGGAATTCTGGTGTTCGCCGGCACAATTGGATTCGTAAGTGTAGCCATGCCTCCAATAAGTAGACTCCTTAGTAATAATCTTTATCCTCCACAGATTAAGTCGTCGGGCTTGGTGCATTTGAACTACAGCCCACCCAGAGACTTGGATTAGGTCCAGAGAGCTCTAGATTCACGTACATTGCAGATATAAATTTATATATGTGTGTTAAATAAGCTTAAAGTGGCGAAATAGTAAATCACAAACCTAAACACTGTTTATCAAATAGTTTATTTCTTGCTTAGTATACGGGACCATCGTCCAGGTTGTCATCCTCCTCGTTGTAGGCTTCGCCATTGTCAAAATAATCGTTGGCATAATCGTTCTCCTCGTCCATTTCATCATCAAGCGCCGCCTCAGGATCTTCGGGCTCATCCTCATGCTCCGAGTCGCTCTCCTGCTTGACCTCATCGTTTTCGTTGTCGCCGCTGCTCTTCAGCTCCTTCTGCTCCAACTGTTTCAGTCTATCCTCAATGTTTGTTTTCTTTGCTACCAGTTTGGGTCTCGGTTCTGCGGCGCGCCTCTTTCGACTGGTTGTGTTTACTTCCCGCGGCATAGCCTTATAATTGAATTCGGGCTCTGCCTTATTCTTGAGGCGCTCTAGAGCCTTCTGCAGACGGAAGAGTTGTGGTTTTATATTAACGCTATATATTTGCTATTTTATTATAGTTTACCTCTCGCCAATCTTTAACGCTGGATTTTTGTTTCTCTTGACTGGCTGAAATGATGTAGTAGGGGGAGTCCCGCATGCGGTTTAGAAAGTCTTCCTTCCACAGCAGCTGATAGTTCTGTGAGGCAGTTGTCTGTCAAATATGCACTTATTTTAAATCAGCGACACTTTTTTACTGTTTGCTTACTTCAAGTGTGATTGGCTTGTTGAGCACCGGGGGAAATGTTGGCGGCGGCGCCGATTGCACTTGGGGCATATCTTTGCCCACACAGCCCAGTGCTTGCATCTGCTCGGCAGTGAGCGAGCCTGTTTTGCCACCACGCCCACGTCCAGCCATTATTAGTTTATTTTCTTTGAATTACAAGTTATGTTTATGTTTTAAAACTTGCACGCGTTTATTTTGCTGGCAGTGCGTGCTGCGAGGGCTGCATCATTGCAACAATTTGGCGTTGCCATGTTGTCGCAAAAAGGAGAAACAAATTTAGTTTGAATTACATTTATTTTATTATTGAAACTTGCACTTTCTGCTTAAAAACTAAAACACTTAACACATATCTATATAATTGTGTACATGCACTTGCTAATATCAAAGCTAGTTTTATGAACAAAAATTCGATTATAATTCGGGTGTAGGCGACGCAGTTGGCTCCTCATCGGTTGGCGCCAGACCCACTTTTTGCATCAATTCCGTCAGCTTTTGTGCCTTGCGATCCTCATTGTGGGCAATAACCGTGCACAGATGCTCCGTGAGCAGCTCCTTCTTCTCGGATGCATTGTGTAGCTCAATTTTTGCTCTCAAAAACTGAGCCTCAATCTTTACGTACTGCTTTCTGCATAGACGAATATAAATATAATTTATCAACAATTTTGTAACTAAAATTTCACTTACTCCACATTGGCAAAGTGGATACAAGCGTTGTCAATCTGCTTGCGCAGCAGGGCCACATCCACGGCCAGATCACTCTCCAATTTGGAGAGTTCGTGGCGGATCTCTTCGATTTTGCGCGATTCCGCTGCAGTTTTCTGCGTATGTTGTTCGATTGCCTTATAAAGCATTTGTTTCTTTTGCTTATTTTGTTCCTCGATCATTTTCCGATGTTGTTCGAAATCTTTCAAGGAAACCCCCTTGAAGGGTGATTCTGTGTTGAGCCTGTCACCATTTGAATCTCTTGTGCTGGGCAATATGCTAGCGTCATTGTCCGTTGTGCTCAGCTTCAGGATGGAGCTATCATCCGTCGGTGTCTCGCTGTCGCCAGCAATTCCTGCATCGCTGACCACAGATTTCCCATTGATTCCCATTGCTGTTGTCGTTGTTGATTTGATAGCGGTGCCACAATAGAGTGCCTCAACCAGTGAGTCTGTCAAGCCACGCTCCAAATTGAGTGATTCTTCTTCTTCTGCTCTTTTATCATCTTCACACGGCGTGGGAGTGGGAGTGGGCGTCGCTACGGTGGGCGTGGCTGCGTTCGACTTGGCCTTGACAACTTGTTGTTGCTGCTGTTGCTGCTTCCGCAATTGATCTGCCTGTCGATAGATTTTGTCCGGCATTCGTCTAATGCCGGGCTGGTTTTTGAGCGCTTGCTTTGCTATAAATATGCACAGATATACACACAGCTTTAACAATTTCTAATAACAAATGTTTTGTTTGTTTAGCACACACACACACAAACAGCCAATCACACACTGCTTTACCGAAATCTTTAATAAAACTTGCTCCCCACCTGCTTCAATGTTTGATCTAGCTGTGACCTGTTTCGTTCCTGTTCCTGTTATTTTGAGAATTTCATCGTGGCTAAAACCATTAAATTTCTCAGCCATAATGAAAATTCACAGAGTAATTATCCATCAGCCGCCTCACAGCAACCACAACAACAATAATACATATCAACACATCAGCAAAGCAAGTGAGCGACATACAGCGTTGCCAGCTATTTCGTATCGATCACTTGTTATCGATAAGGAACGATCGATGTGCCCGCAAATGTTAACACAAATTAATAGAGTTTAAATTACAAAATCATAATATATTTTATTGCAACAATTTAATGCCCAATTCATTTCGCAGCTCATCAACATTTTGTTCCCAACGCCGCTCCCAGTAGATGGGCATTAGTGGCTTCATTTGTTTGCTATTTTCGATGGCCCACGGCAAGTAGCGTCTCAAGTATTCTCGCCGCTGCCTGAAATACACATGAAAATTAACCATTATAACAGATTGCTGTCTACTACTGCACTATTCTTACTTGGGTCGCAGTCGTACCGCTCCAAAGACGGCGCCCCCATAGCACATGGGCAGCCCAGTGTTGAGAGCCTCCACCCATTTCACAGTCACTTCGCACAGCATGTTTGTTGGCATGTTAAGCACTGCATGCACCAAATCGTGGCATTCGCGATATCGCGTCATTACATAGGCCAGCTTCGGATCGTCTAAAAAATGAACTTCCATCCGCGTATCTGGGGTGACATTCTGTGAAATCAGACCAAAATGTGTAATATTTACAGGGTATATTATCGCTCGTATTACATTATCTTTCAGAAACTTGGCATAGGTTGCCCCAAATGTGTCCGGCGGCATTGCCTCCAAGCGTTTAAGGTCAATGGTTCTGGTATTGATGCGTGGCTTTTCGACCAGGATTCGTCGTCCCTCCTCACTGGCCTGCATGGTGTCCAGAATGTTCCACAGCGCATTTTCACCAGTCGTCTCGCCCAGGCACGCAATCATGTCGTGCCTTTAAAATGCGTAGTTAGATATTCACCTAATCATATACTCTTTGCTTTTTCTTCGCTTACCGATGCGGATCCAGAAGAGAAGCTAAAGAAGAGCCAGCACCCAGCAGCAATCTTTGAAATGGTGTTATCTGTATGCGCTGCTTCAGGTATTCACGCTCAAAGGCATCCAACTCGTCCAAGGGCGCCTCAGTGGCCGCAGTACGCTTACTTGTTAAACTGGGGATTAATCTGCGCCGTGCCAGCGGCAGTGAGATTTGCCAGCAACGCTGCATCATCTCTGTGAATAGAAGCAATTGACGTAGTCAATGGGAGCCTCGTTGACCTCATGGCTGACTAATTATGTATGTATGACTTAGCGGCTAATAGCCGCGACCCTGAATACCACAGAATCCACTGTTTAAGCGCCGCTTATACGTGACTCCATAATAGGCCCAAACAACAAATTCCCCCTCCCAGCTGCGAGTAAACAATTTGTAGTCGAAAGATGCATAAGTAAACATTGCCGCCCCTCACAGCGGTTAATGCTTAAAGACAGCAGCAAATATTGGAAACCGGTTTTTTGTAGCTTCCACTCTTTGTATGCTAGTAAACACAATTGAACCTTCAAAATTTGTGCTGAACCCGCTGTCGCTGACGACCAACTGAGTGACTGACAAATTGATGGACGGACCAATGGTCCAACCGGCAAACGCTGCTGTTCCTATTCAATTTTTATTATTTTTATTTTTGTGGCTTCTTTGTTGAGTAATTTGAACAATGAACACGTGCAAATTTCTTAGATTACTTTGCAATAAAATGTACATAATTATATAGAAACTGTATACAGGCACGAATCAAATTTAATTTGAACAAGATAAGGCTTTGCTGCAAAATTCAGATAAGCGCGTAATAGTTGTAGCAAGTGATAACTAAAACCGTTTACCAAATGGGCTTATCAGTGCTGTATTATAGGTGCAAGCAAACTTCCGTTTAACTTTCTGAATCTTTTTAATATAAGCTAGAATTAAATTACATTTCAATTTAATATATAAAAAATAATCAACAGATTCCAGAAGCCGAAAAGTTGTCGCATAATTGACAATTAAATTCACCAAAACAAGCAACAACTTTTGCTGTGCACGTCAAAGATCTTATCGGAGACCCAACAATCTTATCGAGTTTTCAGTGCTCTCATTCAATTTTGAAAAACACAAAAAGTGGATCACATATAGTATATAGTATGTAGTAAATTATGTGTAAAGATCATATACACATTTTTACATATTATATAGTAAAGTATGCATAAAGATTGATCATGCACACATTAGCATACGTATTTTTGTAAATATATATTTAAATTCAATTATCTATACTATGTATGTGGAGGAGGTCTACGGATGTTATTCATGTTCATTAACTTATGACACAGTTGATGCGAACACACACATTATCATAATTATGAATAAATTATACAAGTGCATTTATGATAATAATAATTAGAATTATGATAAAATACATAACTACATATGTACAGTTTACAGTTTACAATACACGCTCGCTTTCGTTATCGATGATCCGATTCTCTATTGATATAGATACATAAAACATTTATGGCTTTGGCAGAAGGCTCGTCTCGGCTCCTTTTTGTAGAGATTACACGTTCTCTCCGCGAGAGCTGGGCAAATTGGTTTGCTTATCGGGCGCCTGCTTCCGCCGGAATGTGACGTACGTGTAGAGGAGACTCGCCAGTACACTGATGTTAATTCCGATGCAATTGAGCCACGAGAAGACATAGTCGCCTCCAATAAACATGCCCAAATAGGTGACGCATATGTTCTTGAGGCACCCAACAATTGTGGTGGTCAACGCCGAGTTAAATTGGGTGCAGAGTATTGTGCTGTAGGAGAGTATGAAGCCCATGATGCAGCTGAGCAGAAACTGCACAACAAACTGCGGATCATTCCAGCTCTCAAAGGCAATTGCACTCGCCAGATCGCCCGTCACATAGTTAAGCATCAGAGCGGGCAGAAACATGAACAACGAGTTGTAGAACATCAGGCCATACTTTCCAATCTCTGAGGTGTCCAGTTTCTTCTTGACGAAGACTCCATTAGACGCCGTCAGCGCATTAGTGATCATCACATACGTGTATCCGTGCATATTGAAGGACAGATCATCTGAGGCTGCTATCAAAGCGCCTCCAATCATTGCATAAACGCTAATCTGCACCGCTGTCGTCGGCCGCACACCGAGTATCTTCAGTTCCAGCAACATGGTCATCAGAATGGAGAAACGTCGCAGCGCAGCAAACATGGGTAAACTTAGCGCCTTTGTGCCCCCCAAGCCAAAGATCATGTTGAAGCCAAAGATGAGAGGCAGCGGAAAAATCTTGGCAAACGTATTCCGTTGTAGTGGCGGATATGAGACAAGTTTTAATTTCTTGCCAGCACTGAGGACCACAATGCTCGCCGTGAGTTGACCCAAACTGAGGAATAGGAACGATGGGAACTTGTATGACGTCAATACCGTCTTATTCACCACGGTTATCATGAATGAGGAAACGCCGTAGAATAGAGCGCTGACAACCTTCTTAAAGAATATGGCGGCATCAGCTTCCTCTCGCTCTCTGTCCCGCTCCCGGTCGCGGTGACTGTTGCGCAGATCCTTGGATCCGCCACTGGCGACGACATTCAACAGGGCGCCATTGGATTTGGAGTCGTTATCGCTGTCATCGCTGTCCTTGCCTCCAGCATCGAGCAGCGGCGCTAAATCTAACGATGTGCTACTATTGCCATTATTGCCACCACCTCGCGAAACACTCATGTTCTGTTCTGTTGCTGCTTTTGTGCTGATTTGATATTTTCTTCTGTTCGTCAAAACGTAAAATTTGCATGTGGGAGTGGGGGATTTGTTGTATTATATGAGCTCTATTTATCACTGTTCGTATTTCATTTTGGGTTTTGAGTTCACTATTCTGACAAAGCACACATATTGCTGTATTGTATTGTATTGTGTTGTATCAGCATTATTATTATTACGATGCCCGTGCCATAAAACGAAAAAAAACTATTTGTACTGACGCGGTCTCACGTCCCGCTCTCTCTCGCGACAGACAACTGAACATATGTTGAGCAGTGTGACCAAGCGGGGCAAACCACCAAAATATCATTCATACGTGCATGATTCAAAAAACATAAATACTAAATGGCAAAATTAATTTCTTTTCGTTTTCTTTTCAGAAAACAGCTATTTCTTAAGAAAATAGCAATCACAAGTTTAGTGTATTAATTAAAGAACACACTAATGACAAACCAAGAAGCTAAGTCATGATTATTCAATCGCAAATAGGGTGTTAAGTCAATGCCTGAAAGTCTACCGGTGCCGATTACGAATTTGCGTTATAAACAACTCTTTAACTAAACCATTTTCTACTTACTGCGAATAACTGATTGATTTTAATTTACACACAACTTTACAACAACAACACAATGTATACGCAATTCAATCTAGAATAAAATTCTCTTCTCAGCTGTTTGCCACAGCTTTGTTATCGATGCCAATTTGTATGTTAACTGCGGCAACTCTGGCGCGCAGCTGATTCTGTTTTTCGGAGTTTCACACAAAAGTCAACAAAAAGTTTGTTTGTCAGCTAAACAGATATTTGCAACATGAGCAGCTCGAAAAAAAAGAGTAAAAGTGACCAAATACCCAAGCCCATAACCATCAAGAAGGAAAAATCCGAGGAGGATCGTTCACTGCAACCCATTTCCCACTACATCGATGACCGTCTTGAATTGGTCAAACAAATCTTTGGCACCCTCAAGCCAAAAACAATTATTAATCTTGCGCCCGAGTTTCTAAAGGTAAGTCGAACAACAACGTAATGATTTTTACTGAGTTGCTGACTTGACGAGTTGCTTAATTCGCAGAAAACAAACTTGGATGAAATTGAGGAACTTTGTTTAAACGAGCTGCTTTGCATCTCAACAAAGCGATTGAAGTCCATTATAGCGAACACACGCTGCCCCAGCGATACGGAAAGCTCCGAGGATTCCGATGTGGAGCATAAGCAAGGTAAGTAAGATGAATACACCCGACTAAGCAAACATTTTAAAATATATAAATATTGCAGAACATGTCTCGCTGGAAGAGATTTCGTCTGACAGCGATATTGGCGGCAGTGTAATGCGGCGTGGTAAGTCGCGAAACGCATTTGAAATACAATGTAATATCTCAGGCGAGAAATGGAACCATAAAATTACATTTCATACGTTTAATTTAGATGCATCTCAAGAAAATGTCTCTGTACAACTGCACGCAGTGGTTTGTTAACTACAATCCGAAATCATGTACCATATTTGAATTTCTCGCAATTGAAAACTGGAGCGACGTAGAAGGCGCGCAAAATGCAGACATCCTCGCCAATGCCTAGCACAATATTCTCGTTGTCCTCCTTGCCTACCTCGAGAGTCACAACGAAATCGCCTACTTCCAGGCAGCCCTTGCGACGCATATAATCCACCCCAAACTCAATGGGGCTATAGTTGCATTCATTCAGATCGGCTGTATACAGAATGGGATGCGTGTTGCGACGCAAGTGCAGCGCACGGGCCAAATCGAACTTACATTTGATGGATGTCTCGTCATCGTATTCGTTCAGTGGCATCATCATATAAACGGGACAATAAATCTCTGTGCGCGCCAATGCAACACTTGCATTCTCACATTTGGTGAACACGAATATCGCCTGGCACTCGATTGTCGCAATTGTTCGTATTATAAAGTTCACAATCGTCTGATAGGAGGTGAGGATGCTCTTCACCTGCTGCTGCGTCTGCACGACGCCTACGCGATAGTCCTTAATAGGCATTAGTTTTTTTACGATCAGCGGATACTTGTTGCACCACGGACTCTTCTGCATGTGTATCGTATCGATCTTCCAAAGAAATTCATGCAGCTCGAATCGCTTGAGGTCATTGCATCGCTCCAGCGGCACAGTGCCAATCACTGGCTTCTTTTGGCAGTGGGCAATCGGCAGTGCATCCTCCATAATGTAATTGTACACACAGCAATTGACATTGAACATGTCCGGTATCCAGATGTAGTCCAGCAGCTTGATAATACCCAGCAAATCTAGCATATTGGTGCGCACATACTCAAAATCGATGCACCCAATTAGCTTCAGATCAAACTCTTCATTAATAGCCATGCGAACTGCTCGCAAAAAATTCTTGCAGCGTATTTTGGGCAGCACCACAAAATTAGCCTTGAGCAGCACAGCCATCTTCAGATCATCCATAAACAAATCGGGATAAACTTCGGGCGCCAAAGAATGACACTGCCGTGGCAGCTCAATGAAGTCATAAGAGGCCAGCAGGCCTGCATCGATAATCAGAACAGCCAAAGCTTCCTTTAGTGTCTTAACCACACGACAACGCACCTCCTTTCCAATTAGAATTATATCATTTAGACGCACAGATTTGAGATAGACGCCCAGATTAATCACATAGACAATCTCGCGGAAGCCAGCATAGCGATAGGCGGTATTAGTTGTTAGCGTCACCACCGAGCCGCGTGCAAGCATTGTGGTACAGTTATTTCTCAGTCGACCCACCCGACAGCAATCCCCGTTGATCTCAATCGCTAATCCCGTCGCAATGCGCAATTCCCGTTCATTGGTGTGGGCGGAAATTGCAATGCTTAGGGTTTCCAGTATGATGGAGAGCTCCTCTGACTTGAAGGCCACCATGTCCACGTGAAAAGTGTAGGTACCGTGCTCCAGCAGACGGCGTAGCTCATCGTGCGTCGTCTCCATCACCACTTTGGCCATAAGACCAATGTGATAGTAGCAACGCCTTCGACGCTTTCGGGCATGTTTCTCGTGTGCATCGCAGGCGGCCTTAAACTCCTTCAATCGTTGCTCCAAATCCTTTTGCCCATTGAGGCGTACTGTGAACTTCTCTGGATCGTATTCGCCTCTAACTTCCTTCTCCTGATAGTTGATTGAAAGGCTGACAGTGTCCTTTTGAATCATATCAGCCATCGTGTGCATTCAATTTAAATGTTAACTCTTTGTTTCAATTTGACAATTTTTTGCAGCTAAGAAATTGCGGAAATCAAACGCAAATAGAGCCGATAAAAAGCAGGAACGTAAGTTTTTTACAAATACTAAGTATAATATTGTCTACTGCCTACTACAACTAACTAGCACTCTCTCTCTCTCTCTGTCAGCGAGTGCACAGATCAGTGTGCTGGAGCTACTCGAGTTGCAGGCTCGTGCTCGAGCCATTCGCTCCCAGCTGGCCATGGAACCCATAACAAAGATTGAGGTGAAATCGGATGATGATGATGATGATGATGAGCAGCCAGAAAAGAATCAGCGAGACAAGGACAAGCGTAGCTCTCACAAGAGCTCCAATTCGAAAAAACGAAAGTCGACCGAGCTAGCAACGAGCAAAGTAGTGAGCAGGGAACAGACACAGACTGATGTCAACGGGGGCATACCAAAGTCATCGGCAGCTCCTCCAAAGAAGATCAAGCTAAAGCGGAACTATCGCATTTCCACCAAGTCGCCGGAAAAACAAATCGAGTGCAATCCAACAGCAGCGAATACATCAAACTCGGAGTCCAATAAGGAAACACCAAAATCACGCTCGGCCTCTCCGGATGTGATACAGATTCCAGCAGAGCCGGAAACATTGCTTATTAGTGACAGCACAGACGATGAGGATAAGCAAGCGTCAAAGCAACAAAGGGAACCGACACCAGTGGAGGCAGCACCTCCCCCGCCACCACCACCACCAGCTGAGGAAAGCGAGCCCGAGGAGGGAGAGGTGCGAGATGATGTTGAGACTGTAACTGAGCCTCAGATTCCAGCTGAGGCTGTGCAGCTGGAGCAACCTGCACAGTCGGAAGTTGACAAAGAAGAGCCTACTGAAAAAGTAACCGCTGCTGAAGAAGTAGTCGCAGAACCACTGCAGGTGGAACCCATTAGCAATCTGACAGACGCCGGCTCCAATTCGATTGAAGATGATGAGGATCAGAATGATGACGTCATTTCCATTGGCGGGGATCTGGAAATGATTGAAGAGCTGGCCAAAGTAGAAGACGAGCCAGCGGTTCAAGTGAAAAATGAAACGGCAGAGAAATTAGCCGAGCCGGATGAGAAGGACAACGATGTCATATCGCTAAACACCAGCGATGATGATCACGAGAAGCTACAGGGAGACAACTCTGAGGTAATATAAAATTCAATTAAAAAACAATGAAATAATTTCAATTAAAGATAATAATCATTAAAAACGCCATTTTCAGTCGTGGCGCACACGATATCTAAAGAGCTCCAAGGTCAGCCAGGTGCTCGCTGCCTCGCGGTTGGGCAAACGTGTGCGTGATAAAATCAAGAAATCAAACCGCGCCCAAAAGCGCAAGGAATCAAAGGAAGCCGCCAATGAAAAGTCGCCACAACAGCAGCAGCAGCAACAACAGCAGCAGTTTACCTCCAAGCATGAGGATGGGTCCATGGAGCAATACCAGGAACTTTTACAGCACCGACAGCGCAAAAGTTCCAATAACAACAGCAGCAGCAGCAGGAGCGACAAATAAACGACGACCCCGAGCGATTGTTATTGAAAAGTCGCTTAGTATATTGCCTAGACGAAGAATTATATAGCATATAAAAACTCACAATAAAAGTGGTTCCAAACAAACGCACAGAAAATTTGAATATTTCGTGTTAAACGCATATTTGATTTTCCCTGTTTTTCTTTTTCAATATCCTGTATCCAAAAATGCGCCAGTGGGCATGACAAATATGTGTTGCAGTATGAAATCAGGCAGAAAAATACGTTAAGTGTATGTATATAAAAAATCTATATACAGGGAATTTTGTCGTCGAGTATTCTAGCATGTTTATTATTGCTTTGCTTTTTTTGGCGCTCGCGTTTTTAGTTTTGTTTGTAGTTTAAAAGAAATGCGAAAACTATGCCTTCTCATTTCCGGGCAACATTTGGGCCCTTCGACCAAAAGCCGCACGCAGCTTATACATTCGAATTTATATTCGTATTCATATTGTTGGCAATTTGAATGTTGTTCAAAAATCATTACCCAATTTAATGGCTGGTTTTGCATTTGAAGTTAACCCAGTTTGGCTTTTGTCAAAGGACTTGACTCATTTCAAGTTATTTGCGGCTTACACTAGCCACCCCCTGTTGCTAAAGGGGATGGGGGTGCTATATCTCAATCATGCTGTGTGATGTAGTTGTATGTGTGTATGTGTGTGTGTGTGTGTGTGCGAGAGTGTTGCACCATAAACGATGATTGTTTTATCAGAGACTGCGACATGTTGATAAAGTATATTAAAAAACTGTGGAGTGGCAAGAATGAAATAGCTCTCTGAGAGACATTTGACAACAGCGCATGTCCTCTGCTCTGAGGGTGTCTCGTGTGTGTGTGAGATATTGCTGTGTCTGTGTGTGTGTGTGTGTGCTTGCGAATCCATCAAGTGGGCGCGCTGTATATAAATATACATATGTACATGTAGGAGTAGTTAGTGCCAGGTGCACTTAAAATATCAAATAATTAATTAACATATTTTAATAGCTTTAAACACGTTAGCCTAAAAGTAGCCGACAAAATATTTGAAATATATATAAGCTAGAAAAGCACATGTTAACACACAGGCACACTTCGGCAAATGCCCAACGCCCACACAACGAAAGTAAACAAAATAGCAACAGAGCGCCGATATCCGCTCAAGTAGTTGGTGGGGGTGCTGCTGGTGGCAGGGGTTGGTGGTGGGGAGGTGGAGTTGCTCTTGGTGTTGGTGTTGCTGGTGGTGGTTGTTTTTTTGTTTTTATTTTTTTTTTTTTGGCTTATACTCTCTCGTGCACTGCCTGCGCTCTGTGTCTCTCTCTCTCACTTGTGTGGGAGTTTGTGCATCCTTTAGGGCACAGCCGAGACAGGCTAGCAAACGGAAAAGCTGAAAAACCCAAATCAGTCTACAGAAAACGCGTAAGTGGTGCAGAAGTAGCCGCGCGTGGCCACCACAACGGCGTGCTAGACTTGTCGGTATGATAAATAAGTGAAACGCCCTGTACAAGTTCTGTAAGTTTCAACAACAACAACAATAACAACAACAACAACAACTAAACAGCAGCAACGACAACAAGAAGCAACAGCAAGCCAAATACGAATATGAGAAATATGAAATGAATGCCACTCTTAGTGACCGAATTCTGTGCATCCTGTGTTTTAATGAAAATGAATGAATATGAATAATGTGTCATCTCGCAGGATTTGATTTAGCCATGTAACACTTGTAAAGTGCTGGGCCAAGATAGTGTATAAATTGAGAGCTGAAAGTGTTTTCGAATGTAAACAAAAAACGACAACAACCAAATAAAGGAAAGGAAATAAACAAAATTAAAAAATCAAAACGTTCGCCATCCACGTAAAATGTTGCAAATTTTGATACCAGCCAGTTATGAGTTGCCAATCGTATTTCTGTTTAACACAATGCCGTTGATAATCCTGATCAGAAAAATACAACTCGTAACGTTGCGCGTTTATTTTCATATAAGTTTACACGTAGGATTAAGGTGCGCTCTCTGACTAGAGACATTGTGAGTCCAAAGCCAAAGCCTCAAAAACTTAATCAAGATGCAAATCAAATATAATCTTAGTCAAATAATGTGCTGTTCAAATTTGCTTGCTACAAAACCAACAAAAAAAAAAACTAAACAACAATTGGCAACGCTACTCATAAAATTTACTGTAAAATTAAAACAATTGGCTTTTCAAATTGGCATAACTATAAAACTGTTTTGCTTATTGCTTTCGTATGCATCGATCCCTTAGATACTATGCAAGTGCCGTTAATTTCCAGTTGAGATAGAAAATGTGATAATTGAAATTGATTTGAAGCACTTTACGGAAATTAACGCACGACATAACTATTAAAAATATAATAAGAAATATAATATATTAGTGTAGTTGATATTTGTTCATACATATTTAGTCTCATATATTTATCCAAAACAATATGCATGCATCTGGGCTAGCAACTGAATAAAGGAATAATTCTCGCAACTCTAAATTAATAATTATAAAATATTATACACCCAGAAGTTCGTCTGTTGAGCTGCAAAAAGATAGAAATTTTTAAAGGTTCCTCCTAACCGTAGATTTCGCAGAGATAATCATTTATTTTTTTGGACGCTATCTACTTTTGGGCGCTCTAATGCACAACGCACTTTGGCGTCGCTATGACGCACACACATGCACACACACACACACACACAGACAGACACATCCGGGAACTTATGAAATTTAATTGGACTAATAAATTTGGTGTGCTTGCGTTTTTTTTACTCTTCTTTTACTCTGTATTCATAAAAATGACTAAAAAGGGTATCATAAAATGTTTATAATATTTTCAACGGGCAGAGCGAGGTATACTCGACTCAATGATTAACTGTGTACTAAGCTTAAAACATTTATAAACTTTGATAAAATTATTATCAAATTGACTTTTTGGTTTCATTGTTGGACCTAAGGCGAAAATGAGCCAAAATCTCTTGTAGATCGATATTTATAACAAAGTAAGTTACAGGGTATCTTCTAGTACTGCTTATTCAACCAACGATACTTGATACTTGTTTTATAAAACAATGGCTGAACACACACACATACACACATACAACTGAAATGCATACAGCTGATATATATGTCATAAACTTTTATTAATAATGAAAATTGTACTAAAATTGGTGGGGCAATTTATTAAAAAGTCTCATTAGCTGACAGTCGCTCGCACACACACACACACACATGACTTTTATCGCGCATTACGCATACGCCACAAGGACCCTACGGGTGCTAATAACGTAAAAATAATAATAATACGAACGACCAAACGGGCGCACACTAAAAAAGGGCAGTATGAGAAAAATCGCGATAAAGTAAAATTTCGATATGGACATAATTAAAGAGCAGCTCGTCGCCTCGTCGCAAATGCCAGGGGTGGGTTTCAGTAATAACTCCGCTGTGAGATTAAGTATTTTTAATGCGAGCGCCAATAAAAATATAAAAATTTCAACGATAAGCCCGATAAGATCGAAATCAATTTTGTTATAATGCATATGAGTACATTTATGTGTATATATATTTACACAGATACATATTTATTTCCGTTATGTGTGTATATAAGCGACAGATAAACCGTCAACCAATCATTTCTGGCATGTGTTGTCGAAGTATTCATTTTATTTTATTTTATTTTATTTTTTTTTTTTGTTCGCTTCTCTCTCTTCTCAAAGTTAAAATCAATAAATTTCCACAATTTTTCGCCGCATTTTCATTTGCGTTATTTCGTTGCCGTTCGGTTGTGGTCTGCTGAGCGCCAGCGCTCGGCTCATTATTAATATTTTTACATTTTGTATGCCTTTTGATATTTCGTATAGTATAGACCAAGGCGCCAGGCAGTCATTCACCCCCTCCCCCTCCCCCTGCCATCCTCTGCCCTCCCCAGACGACCACTAGGCGGCTGCTTAAGTGTTTTTCTATTATGGCCTGCCCATTTGCCCAGTGCTTGCCTGCTACCCCACCAATATTATATTTGCTTTTAAATATTTTGATATACAGCACAGTTGAGGCTTATAACTCGACGCACACACCGAAACAGGGATACCCAATTGGACCTGCTGCCAAGAAGTTAGGCCGCGACAGACCTTACCAAAGGATAAAGGCACACAAAGGGTCACATTAAAAATAAATCTCAGTTTGATTTCTTCGTTGGAAATTACTTTTATAATAATAATCAGAATATAATTTCTTAAATGAGCTTGCAGAGGAATTTTTAGTAATATATTTTTGGTTCTCAAAAATATTTGTATATCTTTTATATTAGTCGAGTAAATAAATAAAAGGTAGGCGAAAAGACAGGCTGTGTAAAGTATGTATATCATGCAGTTCGGTCCAACTGGGCTGCTCAAGCAAACTCACACACAGATACTCAACCAGAAACAGTAGAGCTGGCAGGCATTTTCTCATAAAAATTTCGTACTCGAATAAGACGAAGTAGCTGGTCACACACATATACACATAGAAACCAACACACACACACAGACGCACACACACACACACCAACAGAGAAGCAAAAAGTAACCCGCAGGCATTTAGATAGGTTTGAGGGGGCTGTGGGTGGAGGAGGGGTGGTGGTCGCACAAACTTTGAGCCAGCAGCATGGCCAGAAAAAAATAATGTAAAGGATGTGCCATGGCGACTGAGACGAAGAGCCGTGTGTAACTGGAAAATAATATTTTTGCCTCCTTTCTACTACAAGTTTAGCGCCGTACCATGTAATTCCTTTTTTGTTCTCCTTCTTCTGCTTTCTTTGCGTTTCTTTTGAGTGTCAGAAATGGAAAAGAAAATAATTTGATGGTTTCATAAAGTCGCTGCATGTCGGCAACACAGAATGGGGTGTATGTGTGTGGGTGTGTGTGATAAAATTGCAAACTTCCCCTTTACTGTGTATGTTTGTGTGTGTGAGTGTGTGTGTGTGGAGGAAACGAGGACGAAAGCATAGCAGCAAAAATTTATGGAATTTATTTGTTTTTGTTGCTGCTTATTTTTCGTATAGTTTGTGAAAATTTCTCAGATAGATTTTGCCTGTGCTCTCGAAAGTATTTCACTGCATACTTTCAGGGGTGACTGTGGGTGCCTTGTGTGCGAGATAACGATGCCGATGATGATAATGACGATCGCTGGCTTTCCACATACCTCCTCCTGCCACCCCCCCTCCATTTAGCTACCCATTACGCAAAACTTGGCGTTCAGTTCGTCCGGTCAGATACACTTGCATTATTATAAAAATGATTATTATTTCTGACGCCCCTTACCCAAAAAAAAGACACACACGCACTCACTCTCTCTCTCTCGCTCTCACACACACACACTCACTCACACACACCCACACGCAAATGGCTTAGCTTATGTACACATATATACATACACACAGTGCTTGTCCTTGTCTCTGCGCTAGTGTGTGTGTGTGTTTCATTATTAATTTTTCTTGTATTTTTTCCACATTTTTCGTATTTTTATTTTATCATGCCCTCACACTCACACACATATAAGCACACATTCATTCGCTCAGGGGATGGAATACATATACATTTTCATATACGAATACAGTCACTCATTTTAGTTTATTGTACAAATAATATTTGATAGAAAAAATTTAGTGCACGAACGAGATGGAAATAGTAGTTTTCTCATTGGCTTTTCCTTTCGATACGCCTTAGCAAATATGCTGGGAAATTAATTTTTCACTCTGTCCGCCATTCTCCATTTCCACTGAGATGCGAGAGTAAAATGAGGAAAAATATATATAAAAATTTAACTAAGCGAGGCAAAGGCGAATACTAAATTATTGCCAGTATTATGAAGCGTGTGTCCTGGGTGTGTGTAGGTGAGAGAGAGTGTATATATATATATATATATATAAGTGTGTGGATGTTGTTATTGCAGTTGTGTTGCCAACGTACCTTCATTAGTTTCTAATGAGATTTCATACTAATGAGCACACTAAGAAGCAATGTTAGAAATTCTGCTACCAAATCAACTGTAAAGAACATTGTACACTCATTTGTGAGGGTGTTCTTTATCGGTTTGTATACTTGAGTTATTTACTACCATTCTCCCTTCTTGATCTAAATATATTTGTAATTATTTCTAGTATTGATTGCAAAGAAACTTTGCTAAAAAAGGAATTAGTGTGAGAATCTTATCTCAATTTGTTGTATCTTGACCTAATAGCTAAAAGCAATTTATATTACTAATTTATTCACTGACTTACTGGTGGCTGGTATATAACGACAGTGAATTAGAATTAGTCTAGAGAAAAAAATATATATTAAGGATACATCATAGGTTTGTCAACATTTTGGCTATATGACATGGCTGTATGATATGCACTAGAGTATCTCATATGTCAGAATTATTGTTACTTTTGGCATGACGGAAAAATGAACAAACACCAATGCATCTGCAACTCAACAATTACTAAAATAATAACAACACCCGTAACTCTCTTCACTCCAAAATCAATTTGTCGCACACATTTTAGAGTGCACAACCTAACCCATCAACTGAACTTCTACACTGGCCTCCCCCGCAACAAAAACCATGAAATACGAAGCAGGCAGGGGTTGATTTTGAGCCACGAATAATTTCAATTTGATTTTCAACAAAAATAATAATTACATTTGCAGCTGGAGCGGGGGTGTCATATAAAGTATGGCATATGCGCGACAAGGGCATAACCATGCCCACAGCCATATACAAATATCAATCAAATCTTGCGGCGGCAGCCTCGTCCAAAGGTGCACGCACCCGAATTCAACAATAGTTTCAATACATAATTACACGAACCGGGGGAGGAACAACACCCGTTTGCATGTGTGTTGAAGGCGGTACAGCGGTTCAGTGGTTCTGTAGTTCAATGCGTCTAGTTTTAAAATGCATAATGATTGTTTTATAACGTCCAACTACGAGGGCGGTTGACAGTTGGCACCCAAAGTAATTACTTTTCAACTGCCAGCCTTTTTTAATGGCTGTTGTCGTTTGTTTACGTTTCGAGCGCACACGTGTAGTGTGTCCATCAACAGACATGCGCCTACCAACGCTTGACCCAATACTGAAGTCCCCAACCCCAATCGCAAAACCCCATTCTGTAGCCCCGCATCCACCTCGATTTGGCAGCGTGTGAGTAAATGCGAAAGCGAAAGTGCCGGCATCGGCTATTCCGAATCCGATAGCGACCGCAACGTCACCGTCAGCATACAAGCCGACAGAGCGGACAGGCCGACATGTGAAAAGTGAAAGTCAATAGCAAACCTTGACCACTAGACATGGCCAGACAACTGGGACGACGGGGCTCTCCACGCTCCGACTATTACTCTAACACGGACCAATGAATTTCCAATGCTGTTGCTGTTGCTGTTGCTGCTGTTGGGCGACTTTGTTCGCCTGGTTCGTTCAACCGGCGATTGTGACTTTAACGGCACACACATGCTCTCATATATCTGTGTGACTCCACAAAGCCGCCGCTCAGCCGGTGCCGAGAGCGAGAGAGACCAATATGGATGCATGCATGGAGGCAGCATTAACCCCCCTCGAGTAACCATTTGTTTGGGAATACAGTGCGCATGTCTTTAAATTGAAACCGGTGCGAGTATTGGACATTCGACTCGTTGCGTGGCAGGACAAGCGCTAGAGAGACAGACGAACAAACAGACGACAGGGGCGACCTGGCAATTCACTTTCGCTTTTCGTGCTGTCAAATACTCGGGGGCATCGGGTTGCCGTTGTGTGTGTGTGTCTGTTGGGGGTTTGGTGGAGCAAAGGGGTGGTAACCATACACAGGAGAGAGACACACACTTGCTCACATACGAGAGCATCTTGTAAAGTCAAATCAATCTATCAATCCGTAAGGAAAAACACAAACATTGCGTTAGATATGCCAGGGGAATACATGCTATATCGACATCTATTTTAGGTGGAATGTGTTTGGAAATTTGTAACAATTGGATCAAAACAATAAATGTTATTTATATTTATATACTTATAAAACAGAAAATATAAATAAAACAGAAAATCTGTTTACCCATTTGAACACAAAATGAAACTTTTTACACACGATAAAAATCATTTAGATCTGAATATGCTTCAACTTGAGTTCAATAATTTAAAAGGGATTAATATGATTATAAAAAGGATTAATATGATTATATTATTAAGTTACCTAGTCCTTATATAAAGGTCTGGCATATTTTCGCCACACTCTTGAAATATAGATGAGTGTTTCGCTCTCCACTTTCTTAATTCCTTTTTAATTGCTACTGTACCAGAGACATGGTGTGTACGATATGCTTTTAGTCATTTTTATCCCTCTTCCAAAGACCCCACATGCCAAGATGGCAATTACTTAAGGCCATATATAAGTGAGATGTGTGCTCGGCAAGATTGCGCATGAGAGAGGCACAATTGCTACAATTAGATCCGGTTCAGAACTTCAGTCATACGCAGACAACAACGAAAACATGAATGAAACTTGTCAAATGCACTCAGTTCAAGATATGAATACAATAAGTACGAGCATGAGTACAACAACAACAAAAGTGTGTCTCAAGAATATACCCAAATAATCTCATGGCATCGGGGCGAACCCTCCCGGAATGTCGCGACAAAGTCACAAAATGTTGAATACATTAGAATAACAAAAATGTATGTAGTAAATGCGCCTGGGAGCAATAACTGCGATAGCAGGAACAACAACAACAACTACAATAGCAACTACAACAGCAACAGTAGCTGGAAAAGCAAATTGAAAAACTATCGAACAATGATAAATTGGCACGAGCACGGAAAAAAGTCACTGTTATGAGTCTGCTCATGTGTATGTATGTGTGAGTGAGTATGTGTGTGTGTGTGTTCGCTTATGTGTGGTGGTTAGTGAAAAGTTGAAAAAAGGGGCGGAGCAATAATGGTTTTCCGAGCAGCGACGCTCAGTTATTGTCGCGTTATTGTTGTTGCTGTGTGTGTATATTTTTTTTAAGGGAAATTATTTGATTTTTGATATTTTGGGGTGTTTTATTGAGGTTTTTTTGGGTGCAAACCATTCGGAAAAAATACTGTGGGTAGAGACACTATCTCTGTGTGTGTGTGTGCGAGTAGGGAAAACTATCAAATGTGTTGCGGGGTGTGCATTGATACATTTGTATCTGTGCCAGTGTACGTGTGTGTGTGTGTGTGTGTGATTTTAGTATCAATGTTATTGCTGTTTTGATTTTGCGCTTGTAACTGTTTACGCCGGCGATTTGACAGTTTTTTCTGCTGTTTTCAGTTTGTGCTGCGTCATGCGGCAGTTGAAAACGAGCGCGCCACTTGGCAGGACACGAGCAGCAGCAGCGAAGTGCGCATGCGCCAGCAACTTAATAAACAGCCCGCGCAACCTGAACAAAAGTGAACGAAACGAAAAGAAACGTGAACAAAATTTGAACAAAAATCGTTAAATATCTGAAGAAACTGATAAGCTTAGCTTGGTTAAAAAGTGAGCTTATGATTTAATACATCGAGTGAGCCTTGTGCTACAAAATTAATGAGTACGTGTTGAAAAGTGTGCACCTAGCACTTGAACTCTTATAATATATGTAGTACATTATTATGTTTGCCAATTAGTCGAGGTTTGTTTAGGTTCGTATCTCAGTTTGATATATGGTTAAGTACCAGTCCTGTCTACACTCGGCTCCTTTGCCATTTTCATTTAAGTAGACGAAGCGCTGGCGCAAAAAATCAAATAAAATACCATCAAACTACCTTAGGCTTTATAAAAATCCCAACCACATTCACCCATCCACCCACTCGCACACACACACACACACACACGTAAATGTGGCGCACATCTTGGCAGGCATTTTTGCTTAACTCCTCAAAGTAGAAAAGTGGGCGGGTGGAGGGGTTTTGCCTTCATTGCAGAAATTGTATAAAAGCAAAGTCAACAACAGCAACAACAAACGGCAACAAAATCTACGAGAGAACCAATTTCCAACCATGGAAACTTAATTTATGTCTGCAGCATAGTTGAGAATATTTTTCTTCTGCCTTCTGGAGTCGAGAAATGGGGAAAAAAATTATTTTTCTTCTTTTTTTTTTTGGGTTTATTTCGACATTTTTGCCTTTGCCTCGGCCACCACCCCAGCCCCATACGGTTGCCAGGCAGCCTGTCCTGCCTGTTCGTCTGCCCCTTCCACCTCCCTCAACCACCCACCGCCCACTTTTGGGCCGTCTTCGTGTCGTTGTCGGCTTCCTTTTGCTTTCTTGAGAATCAAATTTATTTTACCAAGTCATGTTGAAGAAAATTTTTATAAGTTTTATGCGCAAGTTCAAGTGATGGTGTCAGAGGGGGAATTGTGGGTGGTGGGGAGGGGTGGCTGGTTGGCAAATATTACACTGTATAAGTGTGTGTGTGTGTGTATGTATGTGTGTATGTATTTGCTTGTGTGTATTGTGGGTGAGGCGGGAGAAAAAGTTTGTGTGTGTTGGCCTCAGAAAATAAGCAAAATTTGTATTCCTTAAATCGGATGACTTTGTATAAATTTCGTGTGCGGCAATGGGGTTGCAAGTGTATGAGTGAGTGTGTGTGTGTGTGTTTTGGTTGATGTGTGTGTGGGTGGCAGATGGGCGCATATCAGGCTCACAAAAACTTTTATATATATTATATATATACACATATATATTTATATATGTAAGTATGTTGGAGATGTGCGCATGTATTTGTGTACATAATGGAAAAATTTTTCATAGAATTTGCACAAAAATGAAAAAGTGCTGGACGGAAGAAAAAAATTACCGAACGTAAAGCAAAAGCAAAAGAAAAATGAAATTAAGCGCATAAGGAAATGAGACACAAAATGTTGTATGCCAGATGCGCGTGTGTGTGTGTCTCTGTGTGTGTGTGTGGTGTGTCTGAACTAGTGTGCGTGTGTGTAAATATATATATATTCTGGTAGGTAGAACAAAATTTTTTGGCAACATACTTTTTGTGGCAAATAGAAATAAAATTGAATGGAAGTTTACTACATAAGCAGGAAGCAAAAGTAGGAGTTGGAGTAGGAGCACGAGGAGCTTAGCACGATTTTAGCCTTAAGCTATTCATACCGTAGGCCACCCCACCGCAAGCCCGACAACCCGTCTCCTTTCGCTCCTCCTATCAGTAGCACATGTGACCCACACAACCAGTTAGAGAGTTAAACCCAATAAAACCCCCCTGTCGTATTGCTCGTATTCCAGCTGGCATGCTTAAGCTTCCTTGCAACTTTAGACACCCAATTAGTTTTTGGGGCTTCTTTAATTAAAACATTGCTCTTATTTTTCTCTGCATGTTGTTTTCGTATATTTTGTACACAGTAATATCATCCAAAATGGCCGCATCCATATATGCCACCCCACCGCCAGATCTGAGCAGCGAAGACACTGCGCTCTCCGATGTCTCCAACTCATCCACACTCAACACAAATCGCGGCGGCGGCAGCAGTAACAACAGCAGCAGCAACACAAACAACCATAGCAACAACAACAACAACAGTAACAGTCACACATTGCAGCCAAATGAAGCCACAGCAGACGCAACAACAGCAGCCACAACAACAACAACAGCAGCAGCAGCAGCGGCGGCAACAACAACATCAACAATGTCACCCACTCAACAACTACTTCTGGACACGGAGCCAAAGTCGAAGCCGGGAAGCAGCACAAATGAAGCAGACATCATCGAGGACGAGGCTGACGGTGACGGGGAAGCGGATTCAACGGCAATGGCCGCGATGGCAGCAGCGGCAGCAAATGCAGCAGCCATGCAGCTGCAACTGTTGGAGGCACTGAACGATGCGGCAAAAAAGCGACGCAAACAACACAATCCCAGTCGTCTGGAGGCGCTCAATTTGAGCGGTGGCGAGACGGAAGAGGGGGCAGCGGAGACGGCGCCAAATGCTGTTGTCGACTACGAGGAGAAACTGTCGAAAATGCTTCTGCCCAAATCCATTGAGAAGCTGAAGGAGACATTCGAGCTGTTGCAGCAGCAAAAGCTGCAGCCAGAAGACATATCAGATGCGGAGGAAAAACAACAGCAACAACAACAGGATCAATCGTTGGTGAACCCCTATCAGACCTATTGCAAGCAGTGCGGCGAGAACTTTGAGACGGAGTTCAAGCTCAGTTTGCACATGTTGCAGGATCATCAACAGCAGCATCAACAGGAACAGCAGCAACAGTTGGCCACGGACGAGCCCATGGATTTGTTATCTTCGATTAAAGTAAAGCTGGAACGTGCTGATAGTCCCACCCAGCTGGAGCTACAGCAGCAGCAACAGCAGCTAGAGCTGACGAATGGCCACAGCAACAACAACAAGGAGCACGAACTCTGGCTGCAGGCAATGGCACAACAGCATCATCAGCAACAGCAGCAACATCAACAGCAGCCAGGACTTCCGGGCATGCCGCCTGCTTTTGCGTTTCCCCCAGAGGCAGCTGCTCTGGGCTGGCCACTACTGGGTATGCCTGGCTTTCCTGGCGTCGAGGGTCTCAATCGTCCGCCGTTGCGCATCTTTAATCCTGAAGCCTACTGCGAGCTGTGCAACAAGGAGTTCTGCAACAAATACTTTCTCAAGACGCACAAGGCCAACAAGCATGGTATCTTTGATCCTGCCGGTGATTTGGCCAGCACGCCAAACAACAATATCAGCAACATGAACAATAACAACAACAACAACAGCAACAGCAACAACAACCACAATGGCAGCAACAACAGCAACAACAACGTCAGTAGTAGCAGCAGCAGCTCCACTTCCATGTTTCAACAGCTGCAAATGCCGCGCGAGGTGCCACCACCACCACCACAAAAACCAGAGCCACAGCTAACACCACCAGCACCACCAGCAGTACACTGCGACATCTGTTCCAAGCGCTTTACCAACATCTTTGCCATGCGTCGCCATCGCGCCAAGCAGCACGAGCAGGCCACGCCCACTGCCTCACCAACGCCCCAACCGCGTCGCGGCAGCCCCAATGAGCGGCAATCTCCAGTCCAAGCGCAGCCTGTAAAGTTAGAACCGCTGGCGGATACGCAGTCCGTGTCTGAAATAAAGCCGTATCAGTTGCCGGATGGTTTCCGCGAGGATTTCACACTCGAGCAGGAAGAGCTTTCGTTTGCGCCACCTCCGCGCAAGCTGCCAGCACAGCTGCAGCAGCAGGCACGTGAATCAAACTGTGCTCCGGACAAGCTACGACGATTGGGTGTACTGCTGCCGGAGGCTTTCTGCGAGCTGTGCTGCAAGGAGTACGCGAACAGATACTTCCTGCGCACGCACAAATGGAAGCGGCACGGCGTGTTTGTGCCACCCGAGGATCTGCAGCTGGGCGGCAAAGAGGAGCAGCCACAAATGCCTGCCGGCTGGCCTTTTATGCCGCTCAATCTAATGCTGGCCAAGGCGGCGGCGGAGCATGAACAGCAGCCAGAGCAGGAGAATCAAAATGAAGACGAGCTGTTGCTCGAGGAGCAGCCAAGCAAGCGCATCAAGCTGGAACCCTACGATGAGTCGATGCCAGCAGAAAAGGTCGACAACTCAGTGATGGGATTGCAGAATCTCCAAAAGTTGCAATCGATGCTGCAGCAGCTCAACGATTTCAACGGCAAGAGACCGCTCCCCTGTCATCTGTGCGGACGCGAGCTGGAGCATCAATATGCACTACGTGCGCATCTCATGACGGAACACGCTAGTCAGCTGTTGCCCGAAGGACACCCCATGCTCTACCAGCAACAGCAACAACAGTTGCCGCTTAAGCTCTCGCCGGCGGGTGGCGGTTCACCGACAGCAGCTGCGGCTGCCACGCCCACGCCCAATGAGCTGCGCTGCCAGCCGTGCGAGCGTGAGTTTGCCAACAGTCAGGAATTCAAGCAACATATCGCCGAGGTGCATCTGGGCCGCATCCCAACCAGCAGCAGCAGTCCGTTGCGCGAGGGCTTTTACACGCCGGAACGGGCAACAGTTCCTCCGATTGCCGGTGCTCCTCCAGGACCACCACGGGGCGCTTATACGATCACTCCGACGTCCAGCTACTGTGAGATCTGCAACAAGGAGCTGTGCAACAAGTATTTCATGAAGACGCACATGCAGCGCATGCACGGCATTGAGATCGAGAATGGCGCCCAAATTGGCGGCGTTGTGTGCAACATATGCAACAAGGAGCTGTGCAGCAAGTACTTCCTACGCGTGCACAAACACAATACGCATGGGATTATCGAGGATGGAGCGCCACTACCCCAGCCACGTGGCCAAAACAGCGCACAGAACGGTATTAAAGCAGATGCCCAACAGCAGCAACAACAACAGCAGCAGCAACAGTTGCTGGAGCCGGAGGTGAATTTAACAACACTCCCCAGCGACTCTAGTGCTACTAATGAGCTCTGCCCACTGTGCGCACGTCAGTTCCGCAGCGCCAAGTGGTTGAGAACTCATCTGATGAACGAACATGGAGCCGCAGGTGTGGAGAAGCTGCGTGAGCTGGAATTACAACAACAGCAGCCACCCAGCTCTACCGGCAGCAAGCCCAACAGTCCCACGCTCAAGATACCCAACGGTAATCCGACTGGCGCCAATAATCTCGCACAGGCGCTGCAGAATGCACAACAGCAGCTCTTTGGACAGATGCAGTTGCCCAAAGGGATGCCGCTTCCCTTGCCGCTTCCTGGCATGTTTGAGCAGACGCCGCGCTTCAAGGAGTACCAGTGCTCCTTGTGTCCGTTCACCACGCCCTATTATGCATTCCTCTTTATACACGAACGCTCGCACGCATTGCTTAACACTGAGGAGACCCATGTGGGCGCCGAGGCGGAACTGCCACGCAACGACAGGGACAGATCCTTTGCCTTGGTACAGGGCAAGGCTAGAACCAAGCCTAGCAAAGAGCGTGCCGATGTGGAGATCGAACCCACGAACCTAACCACCAACAACAGCAACTCAAAGACAGCCACGCCCACGACTACGCCCACAACGTTACCCTCACCAGGTGCAGTTGCAATTGTTGCTGGCTCACCCAAAGTCCGATCCGCGACAGTAACTCCCATACCACGACGACGCAGCACCACCAACACCAACACAACCACCATCACCACCTCACCCAAGCCCGGAACGCCCAACGGCCTTGGCGCTCAACGTTCGGCGGCCACTTCACCCTTTGAGATGTGTAGCGATCTGGCCAATGGCAGTGGTAAACCCGCCAGCTATGCACAGCCAGACAAGGCCGAGGAGGCATATCAGATGCAGGCCTTCCATTTGGCACCCGCTGACGCCGATGCCGAGGGCTTGTTTGCGCCAGCACTCGTCTATTTGCCGGTGCGAGTGCGGGCCTCCGAATCGACAACACTAAGCTTTAGGCTGACACCAGCCTAAGCGAGTCCAGAGATTGGGCTATGAACCCGATAAACAATTCAACACACGACACTCAAGTGTTGCCAGCGTATGTAAGTTAAATTCCATCAGTTTTGTTTTAGAACCATTTACCATATTTATAGCTCAATTACACAAGCCTAAGTTCTGTGGCTTAATCAAAAGATTAATCGAAGAAAATAGTGCATCATATTTGAAAAATGACTAGTTCAAAAAATAGCTATATTTTTAACTGTTTTAAATTAATATTCAATTCGAAGCAGGAAACTTTTTTACTAAGCAAAAAAAGTTTCTTCATGAAATTCCATTGACAACATTGATACTCTATTAAAGGATTAATCTGATGATTAAGTGTCACATTGCAGACAGTGTTACTGAGCTATAAAACGAAAACGACAGCTGGCCACAGTGCTGGCTAGCAATAATCGTCCCCAGTCCCCCCAGCCCGTGAACCGACAAGAAGACAAGACAAAATAGTGGAACTACAAAAGACTGAGTGCGCATATTAGTTGAGCTCATTAAAGTAAAGTAAAGTTTATATACAAAAATACAAAAAAAAAAACTATAGCTACAGCAAACTGCAGACGTGTCTACGAATCTGTAATTTTGTGGCAAACAAATATAGTTAAAAAGAGAATGCGTTTTGTGTATAACATGGAACCCGAAACTAACTAACTAAAACATCAAACGAACATTTATAAACAAACAATAACAAGTCCGTTTCAGCTGGCAACACTGTGTGCTAAAAAAAAAAATAAAGCATATTTTTTATAAATCCATAACCGATAACATGAAGGAAAAGCATGAAAAATGAATAACATTGAACATTGCATAACATACCATAAAATACATATATCTATATCTCTAGTGATTAATATCAAAGTTCCTATGCGTAATAGTAATTTTAAAAAAGCCATTAACGTATCGTAAACGGGAAGGGAAACGAGGTAACTTAGTCAAAGAAAATTTAAATACGTACATAATACATAAGTCGCAAAAGAATGGGGATGTCAGAATGAGAGAGGGAGACAGGCAGGTCGGATTTTAGGCGTGTGGGTTCCAATTAGCGGATATATACATACATATATAACCAAACATATATCGTAGTAGCCATAGCCATGCAGCTTAAAATTACAATAACATAAATGGCTGGGATTTGGGATAATATAGTAGTGCTAACTAGTTATACCTACAAAACTAGACGATACACATTCAAGCTTCAGCATATAAAGGAGAACATTTTATGCACAAATTTGCTCAAAATCAAAAATTTAGCGAAACGGTTCGCGAAAGTAGTAAAAATCAAAAAATTGAGGACGGTGGTGTAGAGCTAAGTAATAAAACAAGTTTTAAAGATGGGTGTGCTTATATTCAAAACAGTTCCGTACAAACACATTCTTAACCTAAATATTGTAGATAATTATGAGTATTTACGAATTTTTCTATTTCTGCTCTAACTTCAATTTTAATTTAAACCTTAGAACATCTATTTGAAACAACTTTCAAGCGAATATAATCTTTCTATAGCCTACTACATTCCTAATTATTCTGTTTCGCATATTTATAACGTAGTACACCCTATGCCAAAACACACACACACACACAGACACACACTAACTGTACATAGAGCGCAAAAAATGATTAAAACAATGCACCCATATAGGGACTATTTGATGTAGTACTTAAAAGAACCGATACAGTGTGAGAAAAATTAATAAAATGGCGCCAGTCAAGGTTTTTTTTGTTGCAAGCAGGCAAACACGAACAACTCAGGGCAAAAGTACAATGACCATATTAGTACTTTTTAAATACTAAATAAAATTAAAAAAAATAACTAAAATATAAATAAATATAAAACATTTAAAGAAAGTAAAAAACAAGTGAAACATATATAAATGCTACCTCAGACGGACTTGAAAACAATAATTTAAATAAATGAATTTATATAACAATATGAACATTTATGCTTATAAACTTTAAACTGCAACTTATAGAGCAGAAGTAAATGAAATTTTTAGTGAATTTACCTCAAAGAAACCAACACTAAAACCCATACACAAGAAACAAAAACCAAATGACAGCGAAAACGCACAACAATTTATATTGATTAGCCTTTAGTTTTTAGTTAAAAGTATTTATTATTTAGTTTTAATTGTAAGTGGAACATTCCAAACGAAAAAAATCCAAAAAAAAAGAAGAAAAAAAACGCATTCCCAAAACGCACATAAAAACTGACCAAATTACGAAGCTAGTCGTAAACTAAACACAAATTCAATCTAGTCAAAGTTGGGGAACAGCTGAATGGCCTGGCCGTTACAGCACCCCACCTTATAGATGATATAGTACTACATATACAAGCACAACTACAATATAAAATCAGGCTCGCTGACTTTTCAGTTTCTGTCACATTTTTGTACATTATTTTGTAGTATTTAAGGCGTTTGTTCTTTACAAAAATGTGCAGCTGAAAAGAGGGTTAGCCTGAGAAATAGAAAAGTAAAAAATAATAAATAAATAAATGAATCAAATAAAAGTAATAATCGATCAAAATATGCCACAGTTAAGCAGCGACGTAAATCTTGCTATTTTTAATTTTATTTTTTAAAAACGTGTGTTTTTTAAAATGCTGCGTGCCTTTTAGCAAATTTCGTCGCTGTTGAACACTTAAAACCAATGACAACAAAAATAGGCTAAACGAAAAATAAATACAAATAAAATAACTATATAAAGAATAGCTTATAATTTTTCATTTACAATTAAACGTAATTATTTTCATAATTTAATTCAAATCTTATTTTGTACTGTATATATTAATAAACACATGTATTTGTTAAACTTAAAATTTCATTTATTTATTTTCTTGATTTCCAATTGATTGATTGCCCAAGCCTTAGGTCCGAAGCGTGCCAGAATTGAGACCCGGGTGTGAAATACTATTCACCGCAAACCCATACGACTTTTTAATCTTATCGCAGCCCATAAAAAATACTGTCATTGATTGCCGTCAATTGACTCTCACACACGCAATTGCAGACCTTTTTATTTGTACTTTAAAGAACTGAGTGTTCTGATTTCGTATAGGGGCCCCTTACTTACAACTTATGCCGGCTGAACGCCTTTGAGAACAAATTATTAAATTGATATTTGATTAAATTTTCGAAGCACAATTTGTCAACAATGCTAGGCGCAGTTGAGAACATGTTAATGCATTTTTAAAAATATTTAACAGCTGCTGTCTCGGATCTAAGTCTGAGTTCCAGTTCGAGTGCGGCTTGTTATCAATGTTGCCACAGGCAAACAACTAAAACGGCACCCTCATAAAAAGTGAGTTTCGTTTCCGGCACAACCCCCACGCAGACGCTGATTAGTCTATTTGCTTAAAAAATACCCTCCAAATGATTAGTGAAAAAAACCAAAAAGCAGAAATGCGATAACCAAAAAAAAAAAAATTGAATAATAAAAAATAGAAAGTAGTAAAAGGGAAAAACTCAGAACGGTCAAATGCAGCCGCTGTGAGGGTCAAGCAGAGCATTTTCCATGGAAAATTCAAATTATGCAGCTGTCGGTGCTGCTGGTAGTAAAAAATATTACAAAAACTAAACAAAACCATATAAATCTTCAAGCTACATAACAATTGATTAAAAATGTGCATACACTTCGAAAAATGTTTAACAAAAATGCCAATTACATATTTATAATTACTAAATGTCCAAAATATTCGGGAATTTTATAGCTTCACCCATTTCAAAAATATTCGGGAATTTTATAGCTTCACCCATTTCAAAAAAAATTAGACTTAAGTTTTTCTAGTAAAACCCAACATTCTTACTCCCAGTGTACTTTGAGATGAGTACTGACCCAAATCGGTGGTTATTTTGTTTTGCAAAGCTAGTTTCCGATATATTATTATTTTCGCTAAGTGTATATGCCGAGTGGCCGTCTGATACTACCCCTCGTCGGCCGGTGAGCATGTCCGTTAATTATTTGTCACGTGTCCAATGCAAATTTCATCTCATTGATTACGGAGAGGACATTTGATACTCTCACTGCTGGCTGCTGCAATTAAAGATACAACTATTGAGTATATACTTTCTATAAATATTAGTTATCCACGGTTTCGTGGCAACGCTGCAACCCTCAAGGAAGTCTGCCAATTGTGCACCCTCCTCATCTCTCGCCATGCAAATTGTGTGCTGCCTGCCTTTTTTCCTATATTTTCTATTGAATTTTTATGGCAATTTATAATGGACTGGCATTTGGCATTGTCCTCGTAATCCTGGGCCAACAACATTTTTACGGCAAACAATTGCCAAAAAGTTGTCCGTGTGTTACAGCGGGGCGACCCGCTTCCGCCCGGGGGTGCTGCCACAATTTGCATGTTTAAAAATGTGTGTGTGTGTGTGTGCAGTAGAAAATGCAATATAAATGCAAGAATATGTGAAAAATGAAAAATGCAATTTACTTGACATCGCGACGGGTCTCGTGACGTTTTTTCCAAGGGTGTTTCAGCACAACAACCCCCATCTCAGAACTCCTCTTTCCACTCCTCGCTGCGATTATGCAATGTGATTTCTGGCAAAAATATTCTGCACCATTTGCCAAATTCTGTATGCAAATTTAAGCGTGGCAGCCATTAAGCGAAATAACATTATTACAAATCTGCCAATTTCAATATCGAATATTGAGGCTAGGCTTGGGCACGTTTATGTTTTTTTTATTTAATTTATTAATATTTCTTTTACATCGTGAATTCAGTTTTCGTACACAAAGAGCGCACAAATCAAAATTGACAAAAATAACATTAAAAATTATATACATATATATATATATAGAGAGAAAGTATGTGTGTAGGTATATATACATACTTACATATGTAAATGGTTAAGTAAACAATTTTACAAAGAACTTGCAACGTACCTTTAAATGAGCATAAATCAAAATTTTGGCCGCAGACACAAAAAGTCTGTTGTGCTGGAGAAAAATCAAAACCATTTTATTAGACTTAAGTAAACACACAAAACACACAAAAAAATACAAAAAAAAACAAATCAAAACGAGATCAAAATCAAAATTCTTAATAGCATTTAGTTGTAAGCAAGATTTGCATTGAAAATTTATTATTAAAACGATGTTGAGTTAAGCAGGAGACGAGCATGGAATCAAAATAAAACCACGAGCAAAA